TTAAGCTGTAGGGCTTTTAGGTGCTACTGGGAGATATTAACGGGCGTGGGCGATACTTGGAGTATATACCGCGCTGTGCGTTTTATTTCTTTTTGAAGATGGATCGGAGGTTTGAATAACCAGGTACACAGCAGACACGGTGAATGTGGTTCAGAGACAGATGTAAACAAAGACCGTGCTCTAGAAGCGCGGTGAGGTAGAAGCGCCGTGGGAGCCGCTTTCCTCAGCTTTTGTGGGCTTTGCGTGGCCACAGAGCCGCTGGGGCTTTCTCGGCGCGAGCGGGGCTGTTAACCATCCCTTGTTGCCGCGCCGGGTTGCTGTCCAGCCACACCCGATTAGGTGCTACAGCGGTGGCGGTGTAGCATATAAGCTGTGCGTCTTATGCAAGAATTACTCAATGATCAGTAAGGATGAAACTGGGGGCTGATTAATACCCGAAGTTGCTGCATGGTTTGATGTGCACCCCTTATAAATAGGGTGCGGCCCCAACCTTTACTCACCCTCATCTCTGCACCTCAGTTCCACTTTTATTCATCACTGAATCCAGCTCTACATCTACGCAACAATGTCTGAAAAGCTTGAAATCCACAAGTTCCAGAACGAAAAGGGGGAATACAAGAGAAAGCCTTCTGAGTTCCGTTCCGTCATCTCCGACGCTGCCAACAGCCAGTTCAAGCCGGAAGCTAACCGCTACCACTTGTATGTGTCATACGCATGTCCATGGGCCAACAGGACGCTCATTCTCAGAGCATTGAAGGGGTTGAGCGCCATCATCACCGTCAGTGTGGTGCACTGGCATATGGACGACAAGGGCTGGAGATTCCCTTCGGAAGGGGATGAGTGTAAGGATGCTACCGAGGACCACGTTAATGGGGTCAAGCGGTTGAGCGAGTTATATTTCAAGGCAGAACCTGGTTACACCGGCAGGTACACCGTGCCAGTCTTGTGGGACAAGAAGTTGGGCACCATCGTGAATAACGAGTCCTCTGAGATCATCAGAATGCTCAACAGTGGCTTCAATTCTGTGTTGCCAACTAACTACGCACAGCTAGACTTCTACCCCGAAGACTTGCGGGCCAAGATTGACGAATTGAACGAGTGGATTTACCCTACGATCAACAATGGTGTCTACAAGTCTGGTTTTGCCACCAACCAGCAAGTGTATGAGCGTGAAGTGGGTACGGTTTTCAAATCCTTGGATGACGTGGAGCAGATCCTCAAAGGGAGACACGAGAAGAAGGAGAATTTCTTGTTGGGTAACCAGTTGACAGAAGCCGATATCAGATTGTTTGTCACCATTGTCAGATTCGACCCTGTGTACGTGCAGCATTTCAAGTGCAACATTAAGGACATTCGCCACGACTACCCCCACATCCACAAGTGGTTGAGATTGTTGTATTGGAAGGTTGACGGGATTAAGGAGACCGTTAACTTTGAGCACATCAAGTCTCACTACACCAAATCGCACCCACAGATCAACCCCTTTGGTATTACCCCAGTGGGCCCAATTCCCAACATTTTGGACTTTGAATAAGTGTCGAGGCGGGGTGTGAACGGAGACTTTTCATTGAGGGGCGATAGCCCAGTTTAACATGAGATTACCCATATGTGGTTGTAGTGCATGTTCAAAGTAAACCTAATTGCCGCTTTGTACATCTAGACGATTTGAGAATAAGGCTAGGGCCGATTAAACTTCTAGGTTTTGGGGGGTTGACCGTAAGCCCTCGTCACCAATGGGTTCACTCCTAGGATGTACCTCACTACCGGTCCATAACCCCCTGCTGACGTGCATATAGAAGGATTTAAAAGCAGGAGAGTTTTCCCGCAATCAGGAGACTGCATATGCAGTGCTCGACATTCTCCTGTTACAGCTGTACTTCTAAGACTTTAGCGCAAAGCAGCTGATGCACATACGGTGAAGTAGGCCAGGGAGAGCCGCAAAACATGCCAGGCATGCCGTTGGCTTGGCTATATGGCACTAATCGGAAGCACTGGAATCCCCAAACTTGGCACTACGAATACTTTTCCAGGAAAATGCGTATCAGCTCTCATCTCGTGATATCGCTCCACCACCCTGCAGGGCCGGGCGTGTGTGGCGTTATTTAGGATGTAATTAGACGTTTTAGATTTCCGCGTGGCTGGGGTCCGTTGGACCTGTGATTTTGAACCTGGAAACTTGGATCAAGTCTTAGTGAAGTCACCGTGCGCCAAACTAAACCACCGAGTCTGTTCAGATGGGCTTAAAGGCACGATGCGCTAGTCACGCCGGCACGCAGCCCAGGCGGCCGACATGTATGTCGCACAGCCTGTACCGTTTAATTAGCGCCCCATCGAGCACACGCACGCACTTTTTTCTCTACCCTTTCGAGCCGCCCCACTGACTTAATGTAGAAAAACAAAAGCTACAACTAAAAAACACGTCTCTTTTCCCGATCAGAATCTCAGAAATAGACACTATACAATAATATTGTCTACGTACTAGCATAGCGGAGTTACCTATACACACATATATGAGAGGTACGTTGTATTGTTTATTTGGCAGAGGTGCCTTATTGCATGAGATGCCTGATACCTTCCGTCCAGATATCTGTCTGACATCCATCCGACACCCTCGTGAATGTCAGATAGATGTCAGATAAATGTCAGATAGATATCAGATTAAGGTCCCTGAGATCCACGAAATGCTCCATAATCCAGAATTTACTAATATTTCAGACTACAAGCTTGTTGTTCTTGGTGCGGGTGGTGTTGGTAAGTCCTCCATCACCGTACAATTTGTGCAGGGTGTCTATGTCGAAAGCTACGATCCCACTATTGAGGATTCCTACCGTAAACAGATCGAAATCGATGACAAAGCATGCGACTTGGAAATCTTGGACACTGCGGGGATTGCGCAATTCACCGCCATGAGGGAGTTGTACATCAAGTCAGGCCAGGGGTTTTTACTCGTGTATTCGGTGACGGATGAGGACTCGTTGAAGGAATTGTTGGCATTGAGAAACCAGGTGTTGCGTATCAAAGATTCTGTCAACGTCCCCATGGTGCTCGTGGGGAATAAATGCGATTTGGAGGAAGAAAGAGTCATCAGCGCCGCGGATGGTGACAAGGTAAGCAGCGACTGGGGCAACGTGCCGTTCTACGAGACCAGTGCCATGTACAAGACCAACGTGGATGAGGCATTCATCGACGTCGTGAGACAGATCATGAGAAACGAGCAGTTGGTGGAGAAGGAGAGAGAGGCCACGGCCATGGCCGCCCTGCAAGCCAAGACCGAAAACGCCCAGACCAGAGGTCTGCCGCTTTCTGGAAAGGATGGTTCCTCCAAGGCCGGCGCTGCCGCTGCCTCCAAGGCTGCGGGATCAAAGGCCGATCTGAAGAAGAAGTCTAAGAAGAAGAGGAAAAGCAAATGTGTTATCTTGTGATATTCAAAGCTTGGACGACTCCCTATTCCCTACGATTCCCTAACGTTATGTTACCTTTAGTTCTGTTTCTTTCCCTGCATTTCCCAGTTTAATTTCCGTCTATACCAATTACATTTGTAGAGGCCTGTGGAAACGTTTGGCCCCCAGTGGTTCTAAACCGCACGTAAATGTCCATATGGCTGTATCGGTGCGTACTTCAGACCAAGGGGTGTCACCGTACTGCCACCTAAGCTGTTTTAGCACCAGGTGGTTTCCAGTGTTAAACCTTTCCAAAGAGACTACAGTCATTCTATCCAACCTTAATCGTTTGAAGAAAGAAAAGAAGCAGATCGTACAAAGCTTAAGCAGTGTAATTGCTCATGCATAAGAAACCACTGAATATGGCTTACCCGTTTGGCGGTATCATAGAATACAAGCTCTAAGACTATTAGTCTATACAGAGACCGTGGTCAAGCAAAATGGCTACTTGCTAGATCCTCGACTCCCGTTAACCATGTAGCCTCCAAAGCTCGTTTAATCCCGGCTGTTCAGGGTAACTTGGTTACAAGCCCGGACCAAAACAATCACGTGACGTACACGTCGACGCGAAATAATTGCTGTTTGCGTGTTTTTCTTTTTCCTTTTCGTGCCTCTAAATCGGGGGGCAAAACAAATTACCACCTAATTTCAGATCTCTTTCTTTCGATACCCAAATTATAAAACCAACTAACCTATCCGAGATTATGACTCAAACTGAAGACGCCCACTCGGGAGACGAGGATGTCTCCATGGCCGCTGTGCCAGTTGTTAACGCTGAGGAGGAGGAGGAGGAAGGCGCCTCTGGCCCAATGCCGATCTCGGCGCTTGAGGGTAACGGTATCACTAGTAGTGACATCAAAAAGCTTATGGAATGCGGGTACCACACCGTGGAAGCTATCGCCTACACTCCGAAAAAGACCTTGTTGCTTGTGAAGGGGATTTCGGAGGCTAAGGCAGACAAGTTGTTGAACGAGGCGGGCAAAATCGTGCCCATGGGCTTCACAACCGCGTCCGAGTTTCATCACAGACGGTCCGAGTTGATCTGCATCACCACAGGTTCCAAGCAGTTGGACACATTGTTGGGCGGCGGGATCGAGACCGGCTCCATCACCGAGATTTTTGGGGAGTTCAGAACCGGAAAGTCGCAGTTATGCCACACCCTCTCAGTCACGTGTCAGTTGCCCATTGATATGGGCGGTGGTGAGGGCAAGTGCTTGTACATCGACACTGAGGGAACCTTCAGACCGATCAGATTGGTGTCTATTGCCAGCAGATACGGGTTGGATGAAAACGACGCGTTGGACAATGTTGCGTACGCTAGGGCCTACAATGCGGACCACCAGTTTCAGTTGCTTGATCAGGCTGCTGCTATGATGGCCACTAGCCGCTTTAGCTTGTTGATCGTGGATTCGATCATGGCTTTGTACAGAACGGATTTCGCCGGCAGAGGTGAGTTGTCACTGAGGCAGCAACACGTGGCGAAGTACATGCGCAAGTTGCAGCGGTTGGCGGATGAATTCGGGATTGCGGTGATCATCACCAACCAGGTTGTGGCCCAGGTGGATGGTGGAGGGATGTTCAACCCGGATCCGAAGAAGCCGATCGGGGGTAACATTATTGCCCATTCGTCCACCACCAGATTAAGTTTGAAGAAGGGTAGAGGCGAGCAGAGAATCTGCAAGATCTATGACAGTCCGTGCTTGCCGGAGAGTGAATGTGTGTTTGCCATTTATGAGGATGGTATTGGTGACCCAAGAGATGAGGAGTAGTTTTTGTGATGCTCGTCTATTTTATTTGATACTTTTTTTTATTGCTTTATATTTTATTTGTTATTACTTTATATTTTTTTTTCCGCTTTATTTTATATCGTCTCATGTTTTGCTTATTTTTATATCGTTTCATGTTTTGCTTATCTTCGGATCCATACTTTGGCCAGGTCCTTGTAGGATAGAGCGCTGTACCAAGCCTCGTTTTGGTTACACCTGGGGGTTTCCTACTGGGATAACGTTGAAATCACTAACGTTGTCTGTAATATGCTATTTAGTAAAGGTACGTATTCACTACAGCCAAATAACGAAATATCCATCGCAGGGGATTTTAACATCACCTTCTAATCTGACACACAACCCATATCTCTACGATGGCGACTCTTTGAAACAGCATTACGTCAGATAAGCATCCCTACCCTATGCCCCTCCCCCCCATTGCCTTTAAAACTCTGGACCCATATTTGAGCCGTCGAACCAGCCCAAAAAGTCATCTCCGTTCTCATTCCAGTTATCCAACGTCTGTTGCTGGAAGAAGTTGTCAAACAGTTCGGGCAACTCGACCGGCGGGTTGCTTCCCATGTTGAACATATTCAACCCCTGCGAAAACTGACCCTGGTTCATGTTGGTAACTGACGGCGTCCGTGAGAAGAGCGACGCTCTCTGCTTGGGGTACAACAGCTGGCCAAAGGCCGGGGATGCCGAGACGACGCGGTTTAACAGGTGGACCGGGCCCTTCGTATCATGCTCCGCAGGGGCAATAGGGGCGTGCGCATGGTTCACCGGCTGGGGTGACTGGAGAAGAGCTGACACACCAGGAGATGACACAACCGGGTACACCCCGTCGGAGACATCCGGAAATGCGGTGTAGCCGCCTTTAGAGTTTTCATCCGCAGCCTGGAGCGAAACAGTAGGCAACACGCTCTTTTTCTCATTGACACTGCCCGTAGCCTCGAGCAAGGCGATGGGAATCCCGTTGATCTCGGTCGGTTTGGTCAAACCGGCGGCGGTGGCCTTATGCGTTGCCTGGCTCATGGCTTGGTGGGTCGGCACCAAGGTCGTAATGGTGGTACCACCAGGGGTCGTCTGGGTAAGAGTCGTAAAATCGTCCTTGGTGATCTGGTTGTAGAACGGCAACGGCGGCGGGCCTCCCACAAGCTTTTCCTTATTAGGGAGCAAGCTCCGCCGTCTTGCCTCGTGGATACACCAGATCAAGTCGTAAAAGAGAGACCCTGTGAGATGCGAGCGCATTCGCGAGATGATGCCGTCCGTATGGGTTGTGAACAATTCAGGACATGTGATGATGACATAGTTGAGCTTCTCCAACACACTGGCCGTGCGCGAGAGATCGTTCTGGATATCCTTCCATGCGGAGAGCATGTTGCGGTACAATCGGTGGACGGTGACGATGGACTGACGGGCCGAGTCAACGTACTTCTCTTCGAGCAAGTCCGTTAGGTGCAAGCGGAACAACACCAACACGGCAAACGACACGGGATGACGCACGTACATGGGCAATTCGATGAGTTGGCGCTGCTCTATCATCTTCGAGAGGATCGTGACAATCCGCGTAGAGGCCAAATAGGCGTCGGTCACGTACTTTGTCTGGTCCTCAATGGGGGTTCCCGGGAGAAAAGCAAAGCAGCAGATCATCAACTTGACGTAGAGAAAGTAGATCTCCACAGACGGGGCGTCGATCTGTAACTTGAACGCCAAGCGCTCGAGCTCACGGTCCAAGATGGAGAGGGTCCCCGACCGGTTCTTAGCCTCCATGAGGCCGTCAGGGCTGGTCACGCTGGAGCCCATCATGCTGACTAATTTGGACTGGAATATGGCGAGCGAGATCAAACAGCGAAAGTTCTTGGGTAACTCGGTGTCGATCCGCGCCGTTTCGAGGAGATAGTCGGTTTCGAGCAACGGTGGAAGCCCCAAGTTTGACGACCAGAACTGCTCGGCAAAGAACACCGACAACCACGAGCGCGTGCGCCACTTTTCGGCATTGGGCAATGCCACCTGGGTCCGCGAGAACTCGCTGATGAACTTGCCACGGTGGAGTCCTAGCTGCAAGCTCAAGTTCTTTGCCAACCCCACAAAGCGGTACGCCACGTCATCGAGCACCTTTTCGTTTGGCAACGGCCAGAATGAGAGAATGATCAACGCCTGGATGATGTGCGTGGACCGTGGCGTGCGGATCCAGCACGTCTCGATCGCGAGCTGTTTAATCAAGGATGCGAGCAGCCGGTGGATCGTGGGATCCGGCTCGGAAAGGCACGCCGTGAGCATCACCGTCCAGAAGAGCAACTGCGATTGCTGGTACAACTCCGCGGCGCTGTCGGAGGTCAAGATCGGGAGGAACGGAAGGTAGTCCGTGATAAACTTGCGGTGTAAAGAGGATGCTTTTTCCAACAGGAGGTGCACGTCGCCGAGGACGAATTCGGAGAAAACTTCGGGGGTGTCCGGCTTGAACTTTTTGCTGGGCTCGTCGACAGTTGTGCGGTCGTTGGTAGGGACGGAGTCGTTGAAGGCGGTTGAGGCGCGCTTCGCCGGCCGGGCGTCGGGGGAGGTCACTAGAGAGGGTTCGCGTTGGAGAAAGGTTTCTGCGGTGGAGGAGACGTGGCGGATCATCGGCGCGACCGCATAGCCATCCGTGGTGCTATCATAGTTGGGGATCAGGGCCCCTCTTACCGGCGGCGCGGCGGCTACCTGCGATAGCAACCCCTCGTTCTTCTCCTGGAGGTACTCCAACTTTGATTTCAACTCATCCACATCCTCCCGCAAACTCTGCATCTGTGAGCCCTTTTTCGGGCGGAATTGCGGGTCAATTTCACACGATAGACTCATTTTCTCACATCTATGACATGGAAGGGGTGCCCGCTCCGATGCATCGCACTTGATCTTGTGCTGGCGACAAAACGTACAACTAGTGACGGGTCTGTGCCCCGGCGGCTTGCCTTTTTTGCGGCCGTCTGACTCTTCAAAATGCTCATAATCATCGTAGCTCTGCGAGTCATACCCGGCTCTTTCACTGAAGACGCCCATACTGGACGGCTCCTGTTTGATTTTTGGTGCTATTTCTGGCGGATAAGACATAGGGCAGGGGTTAAAGGCGTGTTGATGACAGAAGGTGGGGTTAGATCAGCGCAGAAAATACGGTTTGGGTGTCTTTGGTAGCTTTTATTGCGGCGCAGCTCGGGTCTCAAAACCTTCTCAGAGCCTTCTCAGTAACCTGGTGGGATGTTGCTGGCTAAAAGCGGGGAGAAAAATCGAACATGCGAAAGCGCGCTTTACATAAGGCGTGGATCGAGGTTGAGTTTTGATGTGTCGCACACGACGCTTGGTATGCTTACCGCCGAGTGGGTACACTAGAAGTTTTACGGGTTGATGGTTTTGCAAATACTTATCATTAGTGTGGACTTTGAGTATTTTATTGGGCTGATTACCGAAAGGTTTTCAAATCTTTGGTTTTCGCTTCGTTTCGTGGAGGCTACGCCAATGCCATTCCAAGCACCATGGATTTTTACCTAACTAGAATATGGAACGGTATACAGCGACGCTATCTTCTTTGATTGAACTAAAGTATACCTTCTCCCTTTGGGGCAGGTGCCCGAATATCATCTCCTAACCTCATCCTTTACCAATGCAGAATGTTTGTGCTAGAATTCATAATTCTCGCAACTTACACTCGTTTTGGTATACATTTATTGGCTACGTACCTCAGACCTAAACCTTGGTAGTTCTCAAGTAACTCTTCAAGGTCTTGAACTCACCAAACTTGGCCTTGGCGGCCTCATCACTGACGCTTGGTGGGATGATAACATCCTGACCCAATTGCCAGTCGACTGGGGTGGCGATTCCCTTGTTATCGGCCACCTGCAAGGCGTCGACACATCTGAGAACCTCGCTGGTATTTCTGCCGGTGGAGGCCGGGTAGGTCATGATCAATCTGACCTTCTTGGCAGGGTCAATAATGAAGACGGATCTGACGGTAAAGATTGGCTCTTTGTTGTTCATATTTTTCCAGCCTTCGACGTCGATCATGTCGTACAAGAACGCAACTTCCTTGTTGATGTCAGCGATGATCGGGTAGTCGAACTTGGCACCATGGGTGGAGACGTCTTCGATGTCGCTGATCCAGGCCTTGTGACTTTCAGCACTTTCGGCAGACAAACCGATCAACTTGACATTACGCTGGTCGAACTCCGGCTTTAACGCAGCAAAGGCACCTAACTCGGTGGTACAGACCGGGGTGAAGTCCGCTGGGTGGGAGAAGAGGATAGTCCAGGAGTCCCCAATGTACTCGTGGAAGTCAATGGCACCGGAGGTGGTTTCGGCCTTGAAGTTTGGCGCGAGGGATCCGATTCTGATTCTTGGCTGATTTTCCTGGGTGAACTTCACAGAAGACTGGAAGCGCTGGGAGAGCAAGGACTGGGAGCGCAAGGTTGGGGCTGCCTTAAAGGCACATGCCACAGTGGTGGAGGAACGGAGGAATTGTCTGGCCGCAAGCATTTTGATGAAAATCAGGAGCGGTTGATGGTAATTGAGGTGTCAACGGCAATGCATTTAAGGGGAAGCGGCAAGTTGCGGAGGCCGTTATGGGACTGTCTGTGCAGGACACTTGATGAGAGCCTGCTCTGGGAGAGATGATGATTCAGGGATGGTGCGAGCGCACGTGATTAAATTGTACGTGAGGTGGTTCTTTTTGGTGCAAAGGGTATTAATCAAAAGGGTATTGATCAAAAGGGTATTGATCGAAAGGGTATTAATCAAAAAGGTATTTAATCGATATAAGTTCAGGTATAAGTGGACAATGTAAGCTATTTTTGTAGAGGCTGGGTCATCTGAGTGCATCTAACGGAGAAGCATAAATTGACTCTGTCCTAAAGTTTTCATGGTATTAAGACCCATAGTTTTAAGGTGGTCGTACAAGTGACCTTTGCATATGGCTCGTCAATATACCAACGGTTATACCAGCAGGTATGCCAACGGAGATACCGATGGAGATACTAACGGATATACTATATCATCTTGCCACGCTTTCTCTCGGACATTATTATCCAGCTAGCGATAGTGGAGTCGTGTGAGAATTTACGTCAGGGTCACGCAGCTGCCGCAAAGCTTGATAATCGGCAATGGCCGAAACGTCATAGAAGGGCCAGCAATGTATTGGATGTCTGAATCAAGCGTCGTTCTCCTCCTCCATGCCGTTTGATTGCAAACATGCTAACTATGTAATCGTAATATTCGTAGACTCAGATAAACAGTGCCGCCAATTTACAGTGCTTACGAGCTAAGCCAGACCGTATCCAAGTTGTGCAGGACCCTGCCCCTGATAACGCGGAGCTTGGCTCCCGGTCAAAAACATCAATTTTAGCCTATCGGTCGGGCACTACGGTAGAATATGCTTTAGCATTGAATTATCTTGCCTGCAATTTAAATATATGTATAAGCCAGGAAGGTTGCCAGGACGCTTCTGCGGAAGACTAGCGAGGAATGTGAAATTAAGTAGGCCAGAGGTATTTTCTGGGAGAATGCAAGTGAGGTGAAGGGAGCCAAGTATTCCCTCTGGTTGTCTAAACCTGAGCCTTATAGTATTGGATAATCCGCTCAATCCCTTCATCGTCGCTAGCAATCAACGCTTGGTTCCAGTCAACCACCAACGGCGTGACAAAGCTCTCCTCCTCGCCGTTCACACCTTTGCTCATCATCGCTTCGTACTCCAACCTTTCAGGCACCTTCAAGTCGCCCACGTACTTCATCTCTTTTCCAATTGGAGGGAAGGCATGGCGGAAGGAGGTAAAGTTGCTCTTGTGGGTGCTAAGGAAAGAAGTCATGGTCAAAAACTGGTCGTAGGTTGGGCAGGTGTTTTGCAAGTCGATGGTGTAGCGGTCTTCCTCGCTCCCGTTCTTCGGGGCACGCTCGCCGAAGATCTTGGCCAAAAGAGTCGGATTCTTCTTGGACTGAAATGGCTTGGAGTAGTACTGTAACTGCTTGAACAAATGATCCGAGACTCTGCTCTGTGGTCGAGTGCTAGAAAGGTTAGACAATGCAATTGATCAATGCGTAAGATGCTGATACATACAACAAGGTTATGACGCCTGGAGCGCCTTGCATGGTACGGAACATGGACATGAAGTGTTCTGGAGAGGTTGAGTGTCTTGTGGTATGTGTTATCGCTTCCGTGGTGGAGGTCTGAGCTAAGGATAATTGAGCACGTTTAAATTCTTCCAGGGAGATTGGGCTGTATTTATATCTTGCTGTCACCGAATTATTATTTCACGAACCTAAAATCCAACGTATGTGTCGCACCGAAATAGAGCTATTCCTGCATACCGGCATTAAATCTCCCGGTCGTCAAGGCCGCGTATATTACCACGAATGGAACATTGACGAGGGTGACAGAAGGGAGCATTTGTAAGCGGCGTTACATCACGAATCGCCACAAAAAGCTGAGCACGCGCACCAGATCTTCCGAAATCGCAGCGAAATTTCGCGCCAGTAAGAGGGGCAAGAGCGATGCCCGCGTGAAAATCCCACTCCCCTTCCCCTCACCGACACTCTCTCGTGCCTCAGGCCACGCTAAACCGTTGGCCAGCGAAACGGTGTGCAATGGTTTTTCCACCCACCCAACACAACCTGCGCTAAAAATCATAACACCGGATAAACAAAATCTCACTCCCCTCCTTGCCTGCCACAGGCGGAGGTTTTACAGGGGGACTCCCCTAAAGACAATAACAATTGTTTTTTTTTTACCCCCCCAACAAATCTCTCACTGATGAACCAACGTTATTGGTCTGCCTCGGTCCAGCGTGAGCCTTGGGTGTGCCACTCGGGGATTACTCTCCGATGCATATAATCATTTATTAGTGACCCTTCCCTTCATGATCAATTACGTCGGCCCGATCGTTAATAAAACCTTAATGTATAGTGGCACCCTTGATAGGATAGGAGAGGCGTATGACTCGGGACGTACAGCAGCTTATCTCACTGACTCTGTTCCCGATAAGAGTACCGTGAGAGTGGGCTTCGTTCTTGAGGCTTGAAACTGCACTAACCTTTGTATCAGTCTCTATTTGATCTCCACCAGAATCGCGAAATAACAGTGCAAGAATTTGTCAACTTACTGGCAAACCAGGTGGACGCTAAGCACGTTATGTAATAATGTTGGCTCGGCTACAGATGGGTGCATACAGCTTTCTTATCTTGCTAGACGATGTGCACGTGGTACGTTTGATACTTCCGAATTCTGACAGGCTTCTATTGCTTGTGGTGTTCACGCTTTATCTTGGAATGCCTAATGATATTACAAGCACCTTCACGCTCCTACAATATTTCGACACTTTGACTTACTATAGCACCCTGGGATATAAGCCGAATGCAGTTTATTCACCTGTATGCTGATCCAATCAAGGTATAAAATTCCTACCAGGGTACACTTGCGATTCACAAAGGCATGTTTAATGACCTTCTTCAGGCTTGGTCCACGTTAGATCCTGCATAATGCTTGGTATTTACCGTTACTCGATTCTGCTTCGATTGATAAGGATGTCTTCAAGTCAATTGTTTTCTTTATCTTTGCTGTTTCGAATGGACACTCCTCAAGGCGGATCAGACACCTGTGGCTGTCCCTTATCCGTTAACACTGTATCCGTAATTGATCTGTAGGCCATAAGCATAAGCCTTGCATATGTTTACAAGGCATCCTGATCAACTTCTTTCCTCTCAAGGTAATACACAACAAACCCGCGTTTTAACTCATCGCTCAAAAACTCATCCTTCACATAGTATACCTCAACCCCGGCTTCACCCCCCTTTTCCACTAAACAGTTGACAAAAGCCTCGACCATGTCGCTGTCTCGTAATTGAAGCGCTAGGATAGCCACGGTAGTGCCCCCCATTAATCTTAACAAGCTGTCAGTGAAGAAGGGAATTAAATACTCGTTATAAATTGTATCACAAGCCATGATCAAGTCCGGGAATTGCCCCTGAAGGAGCGTATCCTTGATTTCGTGGACAGGGTCGACCGAGTCGTCTTCCCAGTCGTATTCTACTACGTCAATGGCGGAAACACCACTACCGGGTGCACTCCTAGCCTTTTCCGGGATAACCTTCGTTTCCATCGTTGTTGAGGTGTACCTTCCAGTAACGTTTTGCTGGATATTTGACCGCAACAATTTAAGAATGCTTTGTTGGTGGTCAGTAGCGATAAAATGCAGAGTTGACGGTAGCGTGCCAATGGTCGATCCAAGTATCCCGCTCACACCAGAGCCTAGCTCCACGATGGTGATCCTCGGTTGGTCCAGCGAAACATCAATAAATTTGGTATTAGTGGCTTTCCTGTTCTGTCTGCTTTTTACACTTTTAAGCTTGGCTTTTTCGGGCCGGAGAAAGAAGAGTGTTTTAAAGGGACATATCTCGCTGTACAACAACCATTGGACTAACAAAGGAGATGTCTTCCAGCATACAAACCCAGTGGTGCTGTTGGAAGGGTTTCTCGGGTTGGAGTTTGAGTTCGACGAAGAGCTTGCCAACAAGGACGGGGATTGGTCGATTTCTAACTCAAAATCGGGGCCAAGTGCAAGGTGAAGCTGCTTTTCACGCGGGGAGATGAAGCCCAAGCCCAAGTCCTCTGGTTGGTTAGACGAATATAGGTCCATGATATGGTTGGCTACGACATCGGAAATGTCGTGGCCGACCTCTTGTGGCAGAGAGAGGCATGCTAGGCCGCTGTAGTCTATGTAGTCCTTTAGCATTGAAAGCTGCTGGAAAGGTAGATTGGAATATACTTCGGTCAGAGCAAGGGATCAGTTATATGGAGATTGATATCGACATAGAAATAGCGAGAAGCTGATAGATGCAAGCACGTAAAAAGTTATTCGGGCCCTGTGTGCAGTCTGGTCATATGTCTAAGAATAGTAAGGACACCCTCTTACCTTTCATCTTTTGAAGCACAAAGCACATTGCGCAGAGGTATTAAATACCATTACAAGTCTAACAGTGCTTTTCGTCCTGGGGGAGTTTATTTTTTCTCTCTTTCTGCTGATTTGCCGAGCCATGGTGAAGCGGAGACTGCTTCACCATGGCACAATTTCATCAGATGCTATATTGGCATTTTGTCAGTCTTTCGGATAGTGCTGTCGGGCCAACATCGGAGGAAAACGTATTAATATGTCCATATTCCCCGGTGTCAATATCGTAGGACTAGCCTCTTATTGTGCGTGGAATTAGACTTACGCAAATGTTGGCCAAGGGTATCAATACTATTGCCCTTTGTTTAGATACGGAAGGTTTAAACCAGAGAAGCAGGGAAAGCCTCAGTTTTATGAAGTAGGGCTCTACATGCGGACCGGGTAAGCTGATGAACTGGCAAGGACTCACTGATTTCCAGGATCAAGTTAGCCCTACGATTTACTTATGTCTTGTAGCTTTTACCTGATTTCCGGAAATTTTTTATTTGTTTGACCTGACTGTACTCACACATAGATGCAAAATCAATCATGTGGTGGATGTCACCAGGGTAATCATGACACTGTGGAGCGCGTCCCTGAGTCGGCAGCTCTAACCTTCTAGGCAAGCCCTCATTGTAGATTATCGTTTAAACGCAAAAGTTTAGTAAGACGTAAGGCTAATTTGACCCCGGATATGTACATGTAGTGGACTACCCCTCATACAAGCCACCAAATTTAAATGAAGGATAGCTTGGTACCACATTCTACTCTCTAACACTGGTTGGTGAAAAGATAGGAGATACTTTCACCGTTGTGCAATCTTCTGATGGCCTCGGCTAAGGTGGCACTGATGTCGATCTGCTCCAACTTTTTGACTTGCAAGTCACCAACCGGCATGGAGTTGGTGCAAACAATCTTCTTCAACTTGGACTCGTTCAACTTGCCAGCAGCGTTACCAGAGAAGATGCCATGAGTGACGATAGCAATAACCTCCTTGGCGCCGTTGGCCAACAAAGTATCGGCAGCCTTGCATAAAGTGCCACAGGTGTCAGCCATGTCGTCAACCAACAAGCAGGACTTGCCGGTAACGTCCCCAACAAGGGTCATTTTGGAGACCTCGTTTGGTCTGGCGCGTTCCTTGTGGATCAACGCAAAGTTCAAGTCGAGGCGGTCGGCCAAGGATGCCGCTCTTTTGGCACCACCAGCGTCCGGAGAAACGATGATACAGTTATTCATGTCAGTGGTTTCCTTAATATATTTCAACACAGAAGGCTCGGCGTACAAGTTGTCCACTGGGATGCGGAAGAACCCTTGGATTTGAGACGCATGCAACTCTAAGGTGATCACATGGTCGCACCCAGCAGTCTCCAATAACTTGGCAATCAACTTTGCGGTGATAGGAGCACGGGACTTATCCTTCTTATCCTGTCTGGCGTAGGGGAAGCTTGGAATGATGGCGGTGATTCTTCTGGCGCTGGCGGTTTTGCAGGCATGGATCATGATCAACAATTCCATTAAGAAGTCGTTAATTTCTTCCTCACCGCAGCCGGTCTGGATGATGTAGACGTCCTCATTTCTCAACGACTCGCCGATAGTTACGGCGGTTTCTTGGTTGGAGTACTGGTAGACACCAATCTTGGACTGCTCCAACCCCAACCTCTGGGCTATCAAGTGCACCAATTCAGGGTGCGAGTTACCCGCTAATAACTTGATGCTGTTGCTTGGCATTATGCGAAGCTTCTGTGTGGATATGGTAAAGTTGGGATTTACTTGCAGTCTGGTGGTATGCTTTTTTAAGGGTAAACAGAACGATGAGCAGTGTCAATAAGTTGAAATAAAGTGCTTTTTTCACAGGATTAGGAAAATTTTGTTTTCCCTATGCGGCGCAGACGAACGCTCCCCAAGTTTGGATAAGAGACACACGTGGACAGGCACACGTGATAATGCATGTGAAATTCACGTGAAATAACAGGGCATTGGCCATCTGGGGCTAGTATACTCCATATCGTGTTGTCTGTCCCATACGATAGTGCGTGATTGAAAATAAAATAATTTAATTAGAGGTTATCTTCCTGGTATCTTCGAATTTGACATATATGTTTTAGCCCTAGTACGCTCCCATCCAAACACCCCCTCCCTGCAGTTCGTTCTTCAACTCAGACCAAGTTCAATCACTTTATAAGATAAGTCTTTCGGAAGACAAGCTGAAACGTGTAGTATTATTTAACATCTGATAGAAGGATTGGATAGAAAAAAAAAACCACAATGCTCCTACAATTTTACAACGCCATGCTAAGCTGCATAATCAATAATCCTATCGAGAGCTCCTCTGCGTGCATTATATTCCCATGGCTATTATAAAATTTCAAATTTACCGATAGCATAGGGCTGGGTAGTTTCCGTCGCTTAGGATATTCACCTCATCTTAATGACTAATCAGTACCCCAGCTGTAGGGTAGTGTACAGCGCCAGATGGTCGTGTGCGCACACCTCCTTTATCGTGGAAGAGGCGAACCGAAAAAAGAATATGGGTGGCCAAACCGCGAAGCAGTCCGCAAAGTCGACCCTGATACCTCACGGGCGGCTTCTATCTACATACCCTACCTCAATTAAACAATTGCTGTCTTGACTACTTTTAGTTAGAGCCACCCTTTTGTTCTTAACCTTTGAAACTTTGTCTACTTGTTGATTAAAGCTCCCAACATCGATATATTTCCCACGTATCCATAACCCCACTCCTCTAACTTATACATCAAACATGTCTGATCCAAATTCTATCAACGGTATGTTGCCTTTGCGTCTCAAACCCGAGCAGAAACTTCTTTGGCGTCAATTGAGTGATACGACACGACAACATGGTGACGCCACCCAAGCTGCTAGCCCCGGAGAGCTCCTCTTGCGCTCCTTCCCGAGTCGTTACTAACATCTTTAGGTGGTTCTGCTGTCGCAATGGTCGGTAAGGACTGTGTGGCTATTGCCTGTGACTTACGTCTAGGGAACCAGTCTTTGGGTCTTGCCAACAACTTCGAAAAGGTGTTCCAGCTCGGCCACACGTTCTTGGGCTTGACCGGATTGGCCTCCGACGTCACCACATTGAGCGAGACGTTCAGATTGAAGACCAACTTATACAAGATGAGGGAGGAGAGAACCATCGAGCCGGAAACGTTTGCCAACTTGGTCAGTTCTACCTTGTACGAAAAGAGATTTGGGCCGTATTTCGTGGGTCCGATTGTGGCCGGGATCAACTCCCAGACCAAGAAGCCTTTCATCTGTGGGTTCGATTTGATCGGATGTATTGATTTTGCCAAGGACTTTATTGTCTCCGGTACCGCTTCTGACCAGTTGTACGGTATGTGCGAAGCATTGTACGAACCAAACTTGGAACCGGAAGACTTGTTCGAGACCATCTCCCAGGCCTTGTTGAATGCCGTCGACAGAGACGCATTATCCGGTTGGGGTGCGGTTGTGTATATTGTCACAAAGGACCAGGTTGTCAGAAAGGTCTTGAGAACCCGTCAAGATTAAAAGAGGCTTTTCCCTCATTCTCTTAGAAGTGGCTGCCGTAAGAAGCTACCTTTATCTGTACTTTAATGCCTTCATATTATGATAATCCGCTTTAGAATGCGTAGTTGAGTGACGATCTGTGAGCATCGAAATATGGCACAGCTTCCACCGTAGACTCAAAGTTTAGATATTCCGCGTTGTAACTGCTTGGATCTCTAAGCCTATGTAGTAGTCAAGCTTGATTATTTAAAGCATAAAAACAAGCTCCGCGACGGGGAATTGAACCCCGGTCCCCCGCGCGACAAGCGGGGATTCTAGCCACTAAACTATCACGGATGGTGCTTGTACTGTCAGAGTTAGAGAGTTGTTTCAGGAACCTTATGAGGTTCCAGTTGAGGCTACTAGGATTGTTTGATAATGAGTATCTGAAACTAATCCTGTCGCATAAAGCAAATGAGGCACCGAAGAAAGCTATATAAGGAAGTAGTTTTCCAGATCTAAGAATGATCTTGGTTTTAATATTATCTTTATTTTTGTGGAAGATCACGATAAGTAACTTGTGAATCAATGACTGATTACAACCCCCCGACTGGAATACCAACAGGCGCTGGAACCCTGACATGTACTTGATTGGTTTGGACACAACCTGACAATATTGCATATTGCTTGCCATATCAAAGCTAGAATTCATAGGGCATAATGAAGGGTAAGGTTATTGAGGATACGAGTGAAATCAAAGACATACTAGTAGTTTACTCCAAATACCCTCGACATCGTACAGAGACGATAAACAGGTGAGTAAGGAGCTTTCAGATTATCTCTATCTAGTGGGGACATACCAAAATCGTATGCATATATTAACGCGGCGTCGATGTAGACATGATTTATACTTACCTATTACGTGGTAAACCATCTCCTATATAAACACCTCTTTAGCTACGTAAAGCTTTTTGATAAATTCCATATTTTAGTGTAATCTGTTACTTGGACAACTCATCCAACACCCCTTTGATCTCAATCAACTTTTTGCCCAAACCTGTCACGGTCTTGGCATTCAACACCACCGTTTCGCCGATTTCGATCCCAGTCGAAGTGCCGATCAAGTACGTGAACTGCTGCAACTTCTTACCGTTCTTGCCCTTGAAAGCTTCGGTATAGTCGGTGGCAGGAGCCACAAGTTCTAATAGACCTTGCAAAGCGGCGGTAAACTCAGCAGAGACAGTGGCCGGGATATCAATGGCGGCTACCCGAATTTCGAACGGACAACTGATGTAGCCGACGTTGTGGTGGTTGCCCAAATGGTATCTGACCTCGTAGATCCCGGCCTCCAACACAAGCAAGTCGCCCTTGAACTCTACGGTGCCGCTGGTTGTGTTGTCTTGCAACACGCATTCGCGTCTAGCGGTCTTGGAGGCATCAGTGGTCAACTCCGAGCCGGTAACATAGTACTCGGAAGTCTGCGAAACCCCGATCCAGTGGCCCTTGGAGGAGATCTTGGTCGCCTTACGGGAAAAGCCGGTGTTCACCACCTTGTACAAGCCAATCCAATCGTCGGTGGAGTGCGTCTCCGGAGCGGTCCATTTCACCCGAATAGGCTCTCCCAGAAGCACGTATCTTTTTGTGTTGATCGAGTCGACCGCAAAATCCACCTTGTAGCCCTGAACGCTGTGATTGCAAGACAAATCCATGATCTTTTCTGAGAGCGAAATCAAGTGCTTCTGATCCGTAGAGTCCTGGAATTTAGACCGACGCAAGTCGCGGAGCAACTTACCGGTGAGAGACGAGACATTGTTCATGGACAAGCGGCGGGAAGGGCTGAACCCCTCAGTCTTTAACTGGTCGGGAATCAAGTTCTTGATCGTGCGGGAAAGCCCACCGTCCAGCAAGACGCTCTGTTCGCCGTACAACTTGATCATGTGGGGCTGTTCCACAAAGTTCAACAACACCACGTTGTTGATCGTCCACACGCACGCCAACAAAAAGACGAGCGGCGAGTAGGTGGCCAAGGCGAGCCCCCAGACGCCACTAATACCGAAGAACCGCTCCGGGTTGTTCAAATAGCGGTAGATCCCGGATTTACTAATGGAGGACAATTTGGGCAAGAAAAAGTCACCGTAGAACCAGCCAAAGTAGCCGATCTCTTCGAAGATCGAGTACTGCGTCCACAACTGGAGTGCCACCATCATGGCACCCAAGATGTAGCGCAACAACGGCCAGCTGTTGGAGGAACGAACCAAGGAATCGGAGGTGTCATGGAAGAGGAGCTCGCGCGCGCTAAAGGCGGCCAACGCGGTGTAGGTCAAGCTGGAAATCGCGTTGTACAACACGGTCCAGTTCTCAAAGGCATTGTAGAGCGTGTAGTCGTGCTTCAAGAAGCGCTTGGTCCAGGCCTTGGTGGTAGACTGCTGGTGCAAGATCACGTTCAACCCCACAGATTGGACTAGCTTCACGAGCAACGTGGCGCCAAAAACGGTGTAGCGCGCGGTGGCGGTGCGCGGAAGCAAGAAGGGCACTACGAGAGAGGATGCCCACACAAGCACGCTCAAGATGTCGGAGCTGCGGAACCAGTTGAAGTTGCGCAAGCCAAAGATCAAAGGCTTCAAGTGAAGCTTCTCCAACAACACCTGGTCGCCCTGGCCGGTGCTGTCATCGCTGCCGTAGATCTTTTCGATGTGCGGGTTTTCCACGCCAATGAGGAAAGCAAACTGCAAGCAGTGTGCAAAGAGCGAGACAATGAGCACGGTGTACGACTTGGTCAAGAGCGCAAACCCGTAGTAGCCGATGTAGCCCACCGAATACATGGGATGTGGCACCATGTCAAACACCCCATCAAACACCAAGTCCGCCTTTTGCAAGAAGAAAAAGTCGCCCCAATACCACGCAAAGTCCTTGATGATGCGGTGCGCGTCCAACTTTACCCAGAGGTTGAACAAGATGAATGCCATCCCCAACGACCATCTGATAGCCGTGAGCACTGGCAGCTCCACAATGCGCGCGACGGCGGGGTTGAGCGCGGAACAGGCCACGACAAGACACATGTAGGCGGTAAAGTCCTGCATGAGAATCAAGTCCACAAACTTGCGATAGATCAACCACGTGTTGAACTCGATCGGGTAGCTGGCCGATGCGATGCCCTTTGCGGAAAACTCCTGCTCCATGATGCGCTGCACGCGTGTGCGGCTCGATGCAGGGCCCGCCGCGCGCGCGAACAATTGCCACCGTTGTGCCCACTTGACCATGCGGCTCTCGCGCGACTGGTGGTACAACAAGTAGCCGATGCCCAAGTTGTAGCCGAAGCGCCAGAACACGTAAATGGCGATGAACGCGGAGATGCGGTAGGCTGGCGGCAAAAGGTAGTAGATGGCAAAGTTCGAGAGAAGGGCCACCACGATCGCAGCATCCAAGACGGTTTTGCGTAAGGTGGGGTCAAAGAGTGTCCTCACCATGTCGTGGGTCTCGGGGACCACGAACGAGACGCCACCGGCGGTGATGCCCGTGATAGGGGCCGTAGGAGCGTCCTTGTCCAGTAGCACAAGAGGTTCCAGAGGCGTATCACTGGACGAGGTGGAGATGGAGGGCACAAGCTCCTCATCTGGCAGAAATTCTCTGCTCACTGACTTGGCTTTGATCATATCGTGTATGCAAAAACGAGTTGAGCGTAGATGTATAGACGATGGGTCTTTTGTTGAAAAGGGGTTGTTTTATGTTGAATAAGGGGGAGATCGGGCGGTATTAATACTCGTTATATGAGAAGGAAGGAAAGGTTAGAGAGGAGCCCGGCGAACAATTCCGGCGGCTTCCAGTTGAGCTAATGTTGGGTCCTGTGATCCCGAAGAGACAGAGGGGCGCCATGCAGAGGTGATCGCAGTCACGTCACGAGATGGATGATGTACGCAGGATATCGGCTCTACACATGCCATTGAAAGGGTGGGGGCACAAAAAAGCGATGGATCAGGGCTGTAAGGCCAGGGAAATAATTATGATTGGTATATTGTATTATAACGCAAAAATAGTCCACGGACTGACCGAAGGCTGTATGGCTTATTTTGGAAATGAGACGTGCGCTGACGTCTGCAAGCTAAAATTAGGCGAGCTATATTAGAAGCGATATAGACTTTAGGTTTGACTGGATGATTTGATTCCAACCGCTGCTCTAAACGACAGTCTCGACTATTTTAAGATATCACTTCAGGATCTGCCAGCTATTTAAAGTGATGCCTAGTATCTTCCCCCTTAGTGTTATGGGTGAGGCCAATGCCATGGCTGTGCCGAAAGGTATATGCACGTGATCAAATGGTGCTCATTGTGGAGAAAGATTGCGTAAGCGTGGTTTATCGGTGTACCAACAAAAAGGGGCATCACATGTCAGTGTATAGACGCGCGCCGAGCGTTGGTGAGTTTCTGATGGATATCTCGGGTACATCTTAGGGTATAAGAATCTCCTTTTTCCCCTTTTCTTTTCTTTTTTTGGTTTCTATTGGTTACTGTAACTGTCATGGCGATTCAAGGGGGGCTAGTGTGAACAGGCTAAACTCCCTTGGACCTGGACTCCCCACAAAAGTATTTGTAAGCGTGCATGTGATTGATTCTGAATTTTTCACTTTAGCCCGCGCGCGTCTTTGCCCGATCATGCACAGCATGCGTTTAATACTGGGGGTCAAATGGTAGCGGGAGACATAGGGGAATTGGGCTTCAGAGTATCTCCTACCTTAGCAAAATGAATAGGGAACATATCTGCTATCCAGGCTGCTAAAAGAATATAACCTCAGACATGGTATCTTGATCATGATATCTTGACCATGAAATTTTGACCATGAAATCATTTCTTGGATTTGAAAAGATTGTCTTGGTACTTTCAACCAAGAGTGTCAACCTTGTCATAAGTTGAAGAGCACAGGTATAAATTATACCTCCCTCTTTCCCGATCAACTATGGCCCTGGGGGGTTTATACGAAACTTTGCTCTACACTACGTTCGTCATAATTTTAATTGTATAATATTGTCGACACGCACTATCCCTCTGCCTGTGGCCATGCCCATTTCTGTAATCCCCGCGCGACCATACCTTTAAAAGACCTATTTACCGAACCATTACTAGACCTCTACTAGACCTCTACTTAAAATTAAGCAATTTCTCGCTGCTTGACCGTTTTATTATGTACACATTCTGGCAGCACTCTGTCTGATGCCCATTCTGGCAAAGGCTTCCTACTTCTTCGCTCCGTCTTCGCTCTCCTGGGCCCCTAACTGGGCCTCCAAGTCTAAATTCTCCTGAATATCCCACAATTCGCTATACAACGACGTAGGGTCCTGTAAGAGCTGGTAATGGGTCCCTTCTTCCTTAACCTCACCCTGATTCAAGACAATAATGGTGTCGGCATCGGCAATAGTTCTCAATCGGTGGGCAATCGAGATATTTGTGCTGGACGCCTTCTGGAACACACCCTTGATCGTCTTCAACACCGACTGCTCGGTATGGGTGTCGAGGGCGCTGGTGGCCTCGTCAAAGAAGGTGATGGGGGCCTTCTTCAACAACAATCTCGCTATGGCCAACCGCTGCTTCTCACCACCGGAGATCATCATCCCTCGCTCGCCCACCATGGTGTTGACCCCGTTAGGCAAGTCTTCCACGAGTTTGTCCAACTGCGCCTCCTTGATCACATCAAACACCTCAGCGTCCGTGGACTGCAAGTTTCCGTAGCGGACGTTCTCCAAGATGGAATCATTGAACAACGGGGTGTCCTGGGGAACCACACCGATGGCTTTCCGCAAACTCTCGAGTGACACCTGGGTGATGTCCTGGCCGTCGATGTAGATTTTCCCCTCAGAAACATCGTAGAACCGGAACACGAGCTTCAAGATGGTGGACTTGCCGCTCCCGGAAGGACCCACGATGGCAACCTTCTGGCCTGCAGGGATGGTGAAACTGGCGTTCTTTAAGATCCAGCGGTCTGGATGGTATCCAAAACTAACGTTCTCGAATCTGATTTCACCACCCTTGAGCATCAACGGCGGGGCATTTGGAGGTGACGAGATCTTGATCTTCTTTTTCTGCAACTGGAACAAGTTCTCCATGTCCAACAACGACTGCTTCAACTCACGGTAGACGGAGCCCAAGAAGTTGAGCGGAACTGACAACTGGAACACCAACTGGTTGATCAACACCAAGTCCCCCACAGACAAGTCACCCGTGACGACTCCCTGGCACGCCATATACATCATGGTGGTCAAGGCGCCGGTGAAGATGGCGTTCTGGCCGGCGTTCAAGAAGGCAAGAGAGGTGGCAACCTTGATGGAGGCGTCCTGGTACTTGACCAAGGCATTGTCGTACTTCATTGCCTGGAAGCTCTCGTTGTTGAAGTATTTGACCGACTCGTAGTTGATGAGCGAGTCTAGCGCCACAGAGGCAGCCTGGTTGTCGGCGTTGTTGGCTGCGCGTCTGAAACCGCTTCTCCAGGCGGTGGTGCGGACTGTGAAGGCAGAGTAGGCGAGCATGGTGGCGAGCGTGACACAGGCAAACTTCCAGCCGTAGTTGTAGGTCAAGATTCCGCAGACCACACTGATTTCAAACGCGATCGGCAAGATGTGGAACACCATTGCGGTCAAGACGTAAGAGATACCCTTGGTCCCTCTGTCGATGGCTCGCGTCAACCCACCAGTCTGTCGGGACAAGTGGAAGTTGAGATCGAGGTTGAGCAAGTGGGAGAAGGTGCTGCCGGCAACCTTTCTGATGGCACCCTGGGCGACAGAGGCAAAAATTGCGTTTCTCAACTCCCCGAACAAGACCGCCCCGAACCGGGCTCCACCGTATGCGAGGATGATCCCACCGACGAGGGTTGAAACCATGCCCACCTCGGAGGCCCAATCGACGTTCATGCTGTCAATGATGTTTTTAAAGAAAAATGGAACCTGCACGTTTAAGAGTTTGGAGACGAACAACATCACAAGTGCCATCACCACCCGCACCTTGAAGCCAAGTTTGTCTTTTGGCCACAAGTAACCCAACAAGTGCTTTACAACCTCCCACTGCGGCAAATTTTTTTTGACATCGAAGGCTTGTAAGCGTGATGGTGGGGTAACGGGCTCTGACATCTTGACTGTTTCAGGAATCTTGACTGGTTCGGACATCTTGGCTGATTCGGACATCTTGGCTGATTCCGGCTTGGTGGAGTATCTGGAAAGAGGAATGAGAGGGGATTTAGAGGTCAAACCGGTGTTTCTGGAGAGGATGAGGTGGTGGAATCGTACCTGCTGATATGTTTGAAGGAATACCGGTGGATTTCTGACGGATCGGGCGATAACAGCGAGCCGGTATGGCCTAAAGGCTGCGAGTAATGGCCGCATAACCACTTCGTGGCTTATCATTGAACTTGCTAGAGTTTGAAACGGTATTGAGCCAATGTTACGCCAGAAATAAGAGGATACAGGATGTATATAGGTTTGTATGGTTCTTGAGGCAATCTTGGAGATAGTTTAGGTGTGTAAGATTTTTCCCAACAGAAGCGTCCTGTACGGAGGCCAAGCTTGGGGTTATAAGCCAGTGTCACGTGCATCGATGTTATCGCGTCAGTTTTACAGACAACCGCTGCAGAAAGAAAGACCAAAAGTAAAGGCAGAAGACCCTAGGGCGTGTTGGGGATAACTCAATAATAGTCAAAGCGACGGGGAAGTGGATCCACCCTTTAATATGCTCATAAGGTAATCATAGCTGTAGCATAAAAATAGAGATTTCAAGCCTGGCGGCTCCTCAGCTGCCGAATTCAAAAGCTCCAATATTAACCACTAGTCTTATTAGAATGACCCGTTATATCTATTTGTAAATCACATACATTAGCTAAATATTCAATAGCTTTCTAGGTTTGTTTCCTTATCTTTGGCTTCAACACTGCCCGTATGTTGGTATTTCTCTCCTGCACGCGACGCGCTCCTCCTCTATCACACGTCTCAGGTTGTGTACTTTTCCTGCGCACGTACCTCTCTTGACATTTCTTTTTTCTGGTCATGTGCTCTAACATGCACTCTGGGAGATATCGGTGAGAATGCCCTGCACCCAGAGCGCACAGGCGCTGTTTCCACGAGCCGGGAGGAGCTCGGAGGAGCTCGGAGGAGTTCGGAGTAATTCGTCGATTTGTGCCGAACCTTGTCAGCACAGATCCCAGCGATCCTATTCGCCACTCTTTTTTTTTTGTATAAAATCGAACAAGACGCCCTACGGCAGTAGCGATTGTAGGGCTCGGGGAGAGTTATGCAGAAGTCTCTGATGTGGCGTTCAGTCTACCAACAATGGAGGCACTTTCGACAACACCCAGTACTGTATAATGACGAAACGGCTAAAGTTATTTCATAGCCTTTTAAGACGCTTAACCGAGAAAGGGTATTTCTTAGTATACGGCTCGGGCGCCGCAGTATTTGGCACTGCCAAGTGGCCAACACACATGGGAAACCCGGATGTATACTACGCCACGAAATATGCGCAATTTCCGGAAGTGGAAAGGTCAGGAGTTGTGGGGTGGCGATGCACTGCGCTGATTGAGCCAATGGAGACTCGCGAAATAGTAATTGTACGTCGTTTGTATAGGACTATAACCAATTGTTTCTTTTTCCCGGCGTTATACACAGGATGGCGCGGTTGCCTCCTCACCCGATTCTTTCCACCAGAACCGTGAAATTTCCCGAAAAATAATATATAACGGCTCGCCCTTCACCGGTGGCAGTTTCGAAAGCGTTTTTTTTTTCTTCTTCTTTCGTTTTCATACACACATACTATCATAATGCCAGCTCCATACGAAAAGGGTTCCGAAAAGAAGGGTGCCACTCTCTTCAAGACCAGATGTCTCCAGTGCCACACCGTTGAACAAGGCGGTGCCCACAAGGTTGGTCCAAACTTGCACGGTATTTTCGGCAGAAAGTCCGGGTTGGCCGAAGGTTTCTCTTACACCGATGCCAACAAGAGAAAGGGTGTCACTTGGTCTGAACAGACCTTGTCCGACTACTTGGAAAACCCAAAGAAGTACATCCCAGGTACTAAGATGGCCTTCGGTGGTTTGAAGAAGCCAAAGGACAGAAATGACTTGATCACTTACTTGGCTGCTGCCACCAAATAGATCTAACTGACTACCGCTAGAAGTCTGTTACGAACCCCCGCCCCAGTGTTGAGGAAGAATGCAAGTTGTTTGCCACCTCCATGTCAATAGAACACGAAGGTATGTTTATATACACATATAATAAGTTTCTGTATATATTTAACTGTTATTTATTCTAATGAAATTTTTGATTGAAAAGTGGAGAAATCTTGAGAAGCGGAAGAAGTCTTGATTGAAGTGGAAGGGAGGAGCCGGCAGTCAGAGCCCCGTTTTGAATGGTTAGATCAAGGGCTTGCCTGGTGTTTCCTTCACCTTGAGGCATTACTTTTACTCTTTTCGTCACAAAGACTAAAGGCTTCACTTGCTCCTTGTATGTGCCTCAGACTCACCTGAACGGAAGTACTTCACCTCTTGGTCCATCTCTGTCTATGTGTAGGATAAATTTTTTTAAGTGCTTTACACAGTACCGGAGTAAATTGCATATCAATATCCCACCTTCATCAATCAGTACCAGAACATTAGATATCAGTACCAGGACAAAATTTAGACACCAGTACCAAAACATACTTTAGTTCGATGTCACGAAATTCAGAAAAGTCGCAGTCTTCCCTACACCGATTCCAGGCGTACAAAAACCAGATCGGTGGTGTCCTAGAGTCCAACCCTAACCTTCGGCCAAAGTCAGTCAAGTCCTGCAAGAGCTTGCCGCAAGCTGAGAAGTGGCGCTCGGTGGTTTTAAAGGAAATCAATGGCCGGTTGACTCGCATCAATGACGCCTCTTTGAACGACTACCAGATCAGAGACATCAACGATGAGTTGAACAAGATGATAAAGGAGTTGAGATCGTGGGAGTATCATATCAAGGAGCTCGGCGGAGTGGATTATATCAACGTTCAGACGGCGCGACTGGCAGGCTCGCCGAATTTTGGAGCTCTAGGATACAGTCTCCGGGGGTACAAGTACTTCGGGAGGGCCAAGGAGCTCGAGGGGGTCAAGGAGATCATCGACTTTCAACGGAAGCAGAAGCTGGAGTCCCAGGATCTTTTCAACAACAAAAAGTCTGAGCGAGCTGCCAAAAGTAAGGCCTTGAAGGAGTTGGAGGCGCGAGCGGGACCCTTGTACTACGGGTATCTCGATGAAGCGGGGAGCGGTGTCGATAAGGTGATTGAGACGGATCTCGATGTGTTGATAGACCAAGTGAATGAGGCCTTGGGCGATGGTGTACTCGAAAATGTCGTCCCCAGAGAGCCAGTCGCAAGCAGAAATGAAGAGGTATCAGAGCTACTAACGTTTGAGAGGGCCAAATCGAAGAGGATAGTGCGTGAGTTGCGCAACAAAGAACGGGAAGGAGGGGATGTTTCAGACGCTGGATTTTTAGAAATCAACGATGATGAATTTCAGATCCCCTCGGTGGAGGAAATCGAAGCGCTTTTGGTGAGCAGACGGAAGCAAGCCCTTTTAGAGAGGCTCAAAATCCAGGCGTAGTTGATTTCACATTTGAGCTGTTATTCAGATTTGAAAGATTGCACATACATGTTTAATTTGACCTAGGAAGGTGTCAGTATTTAGTCTCAGATAAGCATACGATCTTCTGACACCATTATCCATAACCGCAGCAGCACAATTCACAACCTGTGATAATTCAGCAGCCATGATTCCTGCTTGTTGCGAGGGGTGAAGGTCCAATTCGCCACAGCAGAGCTTTACGTTTATATATTATATCTTAACTCTGTTGTTATCCTTCCATGTAGGTTGGGAGTAACATTCATAGTGTTAAGGTTGAGCTCAATGTTTGAAATGCGGCTGAAGCGGCGAGATTATTTGTTCAGGGTCTTTTCTAACCTGGCCATTTACTCGATGTGGATACTGTTCTAAGCTGTGAATAATTGCCTTTTAAATAGAAACTCCAGGATATATGCATCTATGCCTTTGGAGTATTAAAACCGGGTAGCAATTAATTTTATAACTAGCACGCGTAAATCTATGTAGCTTACATTAGTTTGGTTAAGTCGCGTGATAGAACACAAAAACATCAGTGAATGAATCCAAATCAGAGTATGGGGAACCGTAAAAGGGTTATAGGAATAATAATCACCAAATAATCAATCCAGTTACTAACATCGGCGTATAAGTGATAACGGTGACCAAGGTACAACCTCCATACTGCTTACTCATTGATAAAAAACAGTAACATATCATGATGGCCTACTTAACCAATCTTTCCAACTTGCTTTGCTTTTTGGTCTTTGGAACTTTAATGTACCTATGTACTGGTACTCTAGAATTAGAAGCTAGGGAAGCTACTGGGCCTGCTATCAATCCATCATGGATGCCGCCGCGATCGTACTATATGATAACTCTTTTGAGTTCCGTCACGACTGCATTGGCGGGTGCTGCCACCTATATTACTCCGTGGGTCGAGAAACTTGTGAGTTCTAGCCATAAAAGCAATACAAGTAGTATAACACGTGTGTACGGCAACTACGAAAATGTTCACTATAAAGTAACATTTATCGGGGAGGACTGCGACCAGATAAATTACAATTTAATCCCCGATCAACAAATGAAAAGGACGAGTTATAGCTTTAAGAAAGCATAAAATGGCTTCTTTTCCCTCACCGGCTTCATTTCAACAAAGATTTATTATATAACCATTACACGTGTGAAGTTGTGCCATTCACACATGCTTATATGCCTTCATATATGCTCTTGTGTTTTCAACTAGGTTTGTAGTATATCTAGTATATAATAGTGAATATTTTTCCTCCGTAAGATATACACAAGAAAGGGAGAGTCAGTAGCCGTATATACTGAGACTGATACGATACCAAGGTGTCCGCCTATCAGAAGTACAGAGATAACGATCGACGGCGTCCGTCTAGTTGAATAGAACCTTTACTAAATGAAGCTCAGACCTGCAAAAACCATCAATAGATACTTTAGAATGGTTTGGTAACCCGTGTACTTCATAATTAATAGGAAATCAGAAAGCGCACAGTTCGATAGTACAATTGTCCTGTTCTATAAACTAGAGTATACGAAGTAGGTAAAATACTATTTACTAAATTTAATTCTACAATACTGTTGTATCAATTCCAACTCCCTTAGTGTAGACACACAAAGGCAACCCAAGACTAGTAACCTATTTAGTCAGGTCCAGGAACAAACGTCACTCTCTACCCAATTCTGGATTGCGGTTCACCTAATTTCAGTGTTATATCCTGGGTATGCAGCAAAAACCAGGATATATTCTTAGACTTAGGCCTATGTGCACTATATTTCAACAGTGTGCCTCACTAAGAGTGAAAAAGGTCTTTATGGTGATAGTTTACGCCTCCGTAAAATAACTTAGAGACTGCAGATACTCTAAAGGGGTCTTATTTGGCCTATCACGGTCTAGACTGGGTAGACAGCAAGCGCAGTAGCAATAATTTTGGTAAAGAAATATCATATAAAAACGGCAAATCCCAACTAGGCGTCATATACATAGAAAATAAGACACTCTACAAACTACACTTCATTTTATTCAAGGCAATCCGCAATGAAACGTTCCGTGTATTACTTACTACGCCTCCTTCAGGTGCTTTTATTATTAGCCGCTGCCAATGAATCAATTAGTGAAATTCTACTTCAAAGGGATAACCACGGTACAATAGGCCCGGTATATGCGATATTGGGAGCCAGCTTCTGTGCCTTGACTACCATATTATCCAAGAAGGTATGGAGAAGCCCCGTGAAAGAATGCAGCCCATCTCTGATGTCCAAATGAACATTTATTAGAGTTTCTATATAGGAACGGAGTGTGACTTGGAAGAAATGTACGTAATGGAGAGTATCACACCGGCGTTGCTGACCAATTGTAATTTTCCGATTGGACAGGAGGCACTGTAAGGGACTATGATACCGTTTATTATTCCATACGCATGCACCTTACTCACAGCGTGTACGTTGTTATTGGCATGGACCGGGGAGCAGTGATGAGACTCGAATGTGAGAGGGTGAATCTCAGTTGGAGGAAACAATCTCAACGAATAATATGGTGGAATATTTAACCCTAGCCTTCTATGGCAAAGATCTCACTTATCAATTATTGTTAAATTCGATTGATTTATCTCTCTATAGGACCTTAGGCTTAATAAAAGATATTGCTCAGAATAATGCTAAGTGTATCTAGTAAGGCTCTTGGTACGGAAATTGGCCTTTGTAAATCAACGATGAAAGCTCCTTTTTCTGAAAAATCGAAAATGGATGAAGCTACAATACTGAATGTCTCGCCGGAGAGTTAAATCTGAGTAAGTTCTGGCTGCCTCTGCAAGAATTCCTGAACGCTGCAGTTACTCTAAATAAATCTTGCTTCATCACAGTCTAGATCAAGTAGATTGCGAGCGCAGTAGCGGTGTTATAGGTAGAGAAATATTATATAAAAATGCTAAATTCCAGCTAGGGGATATCTGAATAGAAAGTAAGAAGAATTACAAACTACATTCCACTCTACTCAAGACAATCCGCAATGTTACTTTACATACGTTTCTATCTGGGCCTCTCTCTGGTGTTTTTCTCACTATTCGCCATAAATGAATTAACGATGGAAATGACACTTCAAGGAAACACTTATAGTACAGCGAATCTGGCATGGGAAATGTTAGGAACAGGTGTATGTGCTTTGACCGCCGTATTATCCAAGAGGTTATTGGATGGCTCTGCGAAAGAGTGCGGCCCTATTTATGGTGTCCAGATGGGTGTTGCTTACAAGGTGTTTTACACAGGAACAGAGTGTGCTATGGAAGAAATGAAGCTAACGCATAGTAGCTTGCAGAGACTGTTGAACAAAGTCTATCTTCCGATTGGGTGGGGAGACTCTGTGAGGAAATATGACGCCATGTGTTATGCTATAAACAAATACCCTACTTATAGCGTGTACGCTGTGATTGGCATGGACCAGGGAGCAGTGATGAGGCTCGAGTGTGAGAAGGTGATTATTTAAATGTTTCAATCGTGATATTAAACGGAAGAATGAGTACAAACATGAGCCATATCTGGATTATAAATCTCAATTGGAGAAAAACGATCTCAACGAACATTATGGCAGAAGATTTAACCTTAGCTTTCTACGGCAAAGACCTCACTTTTATCAGATACTGTTAAATTCAATTGATTTATCTCTCCATAGGACCTTAAGCTTAATAAAAGACATTGCTCAGCATAATACCAAGTGTATCTAGTAAGGCTCTTGGTACGGAGACCGGCTTTCGTAAATCAACGACGAAAATTCCTTTTTTCTGAAAAATCTAAAACGAGTGAAGCTACAATACTGAATGTCTCACTGGGGAATTAAATCTGAGTAAGCTCTGACTACATCTGCAAGAAGGCTCGAATACTGCAGTTACTCTAAATAGGTCTTGTTTGTCTTATCAAAGTCTAGATTGAGTAGATAGCAAGCTCAGCAGCGATGGTATATGAAGAGAAATATCATATAAAAACGGTAAAGTCCAACTTGGGGACATCTAAATAGAAAGCAAGTTAAATTACAAGCTACACTCCACTCTACTCAAGGCAATCCGTAATGAAATATTCCATATATCGCTGGTTATGCCTCTTTCCGATGTTTTTCGCGTTAGTCGCTACAAATGAATCGAGAGAAATGACACTTCAAGGAAACACCCATAGTGCACCAGACGCGGTAAACGCAGTAGTGTGGACCGGAATCTGCGCATTGACTACCATATTATCCAATATGCCATGGGGTAGCCCTGTGAAGGTGTGCAGTCCTATCTACGGTTATGGTCCTGAAGTTTACTATAAAGTTTCATATATAGGAACGAACTGCGATCCTGAAAGAATCACATCTATGCACAGAGCTATATCAGAACTTATTGCGGACCGCGAGTTTTCGTTAACTCAAGGTAATGATGTGAAAAACTATGGCGCCATTTGTTACGCCTCATCTATCCTTCCTAATTATACAGTGTACGCTGTGATAGGCATGAATGAGGCCGCAGTGAGGAGGCACGAGTGTAAGAGATGATAGTGATCCTACACTAATTGTGCCTTTGAAGAGTAGCTAAATATATGAACGAAGTATGTTATCCGTACTTGACCCTTTTCTTCTTGATAAGCCCAGGGGCCGAATGTCTTTCTTTCCGGGCCAGCTTTTTCAATCCTAACATCGCTGCGCTCTGACTGTGTAGTGTTTAACGACAAATACACATACTGTGACTAACTTTCCAACTAGTGAGCCTATACGCCTATTCAATGTGTATATTATCATAGCTTAAGCTTCTACCAAATTAAAATGGCAACTGATTATAAGAATAAGAATGTACGCTGATCAATACTCCATACACCTAGCATAAAGCTTTTGTGTAGCCTATCATAGTGCACTGGTTTAATATATTGGGTGGAAACCGAACGAGGAAGTTTAAAAGGCTTACCGGAAAAAAGAACCTCTTTAAGCTTGCTTTAATATTATACAGAACACTTCGAAATATAAAGGAAAAAGGGAATCTAACTAAAAACAAACAACCCACGGCGAGAGTCGAACTCGCAATCTTTTGATTAGAAGTCAAACGCGTTAACCATTACGCTACGCAGGCATTTCTTTCGTCGAAATTGACGTGATAGAAATTAATTGGAAATAAAAGTACCAACATGCTCACCCGTATTCCCTAGGTCAAATAGTACTAACCGTATCCCAGGAGTGGTAAGAATGGCCAAGCAACTAACACCTTGTTTTCTACTCTAAAGCCACCCACGGGTTTTCCGATGCACCCCTCTCCTAGCCTATACCGAGTAATGATCACACAAAACTCCAACCACTCTGTATACGCGTTGACTCTATCTTCTAAAAATAATTTAATTTAATCGCTTTCTGGTCGTAAAATAATCTACCTGAGAATTCCTGTCGAAATTTCACATCAGTGCACCCACGGATGTCTTGGCTATAAAAGTAAACTGTTACTGTTATCAGGGTTGGCGATGCGATAAACCCTAGCTAGCCGCTTAATCATGGACCACGATAGAAACGGTAAACCGTCCCTATTAGTAATCTTGCACACGTTCCAGAGAATCTCCGTGCCAGGTTTAGTGCGCACTAGTCCGACTGTAGTCTCACCGGCTTGACAGTATTGACGTGAAATCTTCACGACGCATTTTACGAACCCTGTTAGACGCGCCTACTGATAAGGCTGGTTCGTATTAACCACAGATCCTCAGGTAGGGTCAATATTTACCTTTTTCTACAACAGTGAGGGTATTTCGTGAAGATTCTAGAAAGGGATAAGTTTCCGCGTTTGCTATGAAATTCGGTAGTCTCGACTTAAGAAGCACCTTGACAACGACACAGGATGAAGGCATGAGTGAATCAGAGCTATTGCACAACTCCATTCCAACAAGTGGATTAACGTTACCTTATTGATCTTCAGCTGTTATTCCCTAGCGGGTGGCATTCTTCCGTCCGCGTCAATAACGATTTACGTTTGATAGCGAAGGAGTACCAAGAGATATCGATCTGCTTACGGAGTTGGCCACGTGCCGCACAAAGGCAAGGGCATAGGTAAAATTTTCACCCTACTACACGTCTAGTTACGTAATGGGTACGCGGTGACGTGCGGTTGGGAAACTAAGAGATTGTCCAAGTCTCAACAAAGCGATGAAAAAGAAACCTAACTTGATATCGCCGTTTAGATACCGCATTCGGGGCTTGGGGGAGGGAGATTGTGCCGCTACAACTCCAGCCGTAGGATTGCACCAAAAAGGAGGCTTTTGCAAAGTGCAATAGAGCTTTATATAAATGTGTGTAATTATGAATTGCAGATCAAAAGCTATGGTAGCCAGCGGTAGAAAATTTCTGAGAGCCTAGAACATGAGTAACTGTGGCCTGGCGCATATATGGCCAGGGTCAGGCCTTGGCTTGACTCCCATCGCTACCCTTGTCACACAGTACAACGGCACACTGACATAAACCACTGTTTAATCAGCCAAGATACGACATCGTTCACCGTTTGCAATAGATTACAAGAGCTAGTGGGAAAAGGCAAGGTCATCTTTCAGATGTGAGCTAGCCTTACATATCGGGTGCTAACCTCCAAGCTCATGTTTAGCCTTCGACCCTCGAGAACAACGGGGCCTTATTTGATGGGTGGACTGTTTTGCCGAAGCGTCGCAAAATAGCACTTTCACATTTCGCCCAAACGTATGGAGGAATATATCTTGCCCTAACACATAGAGGGATATATTTGTGACCCTCAAGATAGTTTATCGTTTGCGAGACTTGCGGAAAAGCAGTCGATCCTACTTGCATATGCATACTTGCATTTCTACTAGGCTTGGTCAGATCCGAGAGCTCCGTTAAACACGGTAGACAAGAGCTTGCTCCGGATATCTCAGCCTTTGGTGGGTTCTTGGAATGGAATACTTTGAATGTGAAGGGCCAAGAAAGTAATGTAGGCACGAAATCCCTTCAATGACAACAGGTTTGAATAGCCCAAGGCGGCAGGCGTAGTCTGCTGTTTATTTTAAAAACAGCTCCTAGCAGCTTCGTCCGTCAGGTTAGCACTTACATTCACGTCTGACTATTACTCAAGAACGGAGCCGTCTATGGTCATTTTCAGCATGCACTGTCACTCTAGAGGTATCCCGGTATTATCATGATTTGATTCGCAGAAAAGGTTTGCACATGGGCGCCATTAAGGTTAAGCCTAACTTAGTTCGTTGTTCATATGTCCACCCTCTGCTCTGGGCACGTGAATTCGCACATCGGTTGGGACCGGTTTCTATGTTTAGTGTTTTCTCGAATAGTAACCCGACGCGGCTGCACGTGCGTATACCCCCCGGAAAAGCGTGGATCTTCACGTGAAAGTCCCTTATATCCAGTCTTCCTAGTCCTCGTGAGGAGTTCCTTACCCCTCTTTTCGCGGAATGGCTAACCTTCTAATATTACAAAGTACTGCCATGCTGCTAAAGATGAGGTAGATGGCATGCAAATGGAGGTAGAGACTAGACAGAGATCATCTATCAGGGCCTAGACCCAAACTAAATCAACCACTGGTTGTCCCTCCTTGCTGTTTTACCCTCGCGTACCCTTACACAGGTGTAAATAAAGGCCGATCTGGCGGCTCGGTACGATAGCTTCAGGTAAAGCTAAAGCCTAACGTAAACAATCCTAAAATAGAGTTTCCTTTCAAGGATACTTAAACACGACCTGCACTAAACGATGCTCGCCCCGTTTCAGCTGTATACACACAACAAATACTAAACACACCCAAACCCCAGATGTTTGTACTGCTGGCCTATCTACCTCCAAAAATCCAGCCTTCAATAGATCCATCATCATTTATTGTAAAAGCAGACCGATTGACTTCGCATACATAGGCCAATCTCTCACTTCCCAATTAGGCACTACATGGGCAGACTTGGTGACCATGCGTCATGCAAGCTGCACACGGACGCGTGCGCTCCCAAAACGGAAACTTCAAAGTTCTGGGCTGAAAAAGAAACTCGTCCGTCCACCTCGGACAGCCAAACGCCCTCGTTTTTAGTACTTCATCCAAAAGGATCCACTTTTTCTGTTCTCTTTCGCAGTAAGAACACTTCACCCCAGTCACTCCTTAACTCTTCCAAATGCTCTTTAATTCTGCTATTGCCGCTGCCTCCTTGATCGCTACCGTTGCTGCCGCCGAACACGGCCACAAGCACGAAAAGAGAGATGTTGTGTACGTCACCGAGACCCAATTGACCACCGTCACCCAGGGCGCTGCCGCCGGCACCGCCGCCGCTGTTGCTCCAGCTGCTGCTGCTGTTGTCTCGGCTGTTGCCCAAGCCAAGGGTGCCAAGACCACCGCTGCTGCGGTCACCAAGGCCTCCACCACCTTGACCACCGCCGCTTCCTCCCCAACCTCCTCCGCTGGCTTCAATGGTGGTGCCAAGGGTATCACTTACTCCCCATACAATGCGGACGGTACCTGCAAGAGCCTCTCCTCTGTCCAGTCCGACTTGGCCCAGATGGACGACTTTGCCATCATCAGACTCTACGGTGTTGACTGCAACCAGGTCGAGAACGTCTTGCAGGCCAAGAAGACCACCCAGAAGGTCTTTGCCGGTATCTACTTCATGGACGCCATTACCGCTGGTATTCAGCAGTTGGCTTCTGCCGTCAGTTCCTACGGGTCTTGGGACGACATCTACACCGTCTCCATCGGTAACGAGTTGGTCAACAGTGGCCAGGCCACCGTTTCCCAGATTGCCGGTTACGTTGCTGAGGGTCGTACTGCTTTGAAGGCCGCCGGTTACACCGGCCCAGTTGTCTCTGTTGACACCTTCATCGCTGTCATCAACAACCCTGGCTTGTGCTCCTACTCTGACTACATGGCCGTCAACGCCCACGCCTTCTTCGACGGCCTGATCGCTGCTGCGGGCTCTGGTGACTGGGTTCTTTTGCAGATCCAGAGAGTCTGGTCCGCGTGTAACGGTGACAAGGATGTCTTGATTACCGAGACCGGCTGGCCATCCCAGGGTGAGAACAACAACGTGGCTGTTCCATCCAAGGCGAACCAGGAAGCCGCCATTGCCTCTATCAAGGCCAAGGCTGGTAGCTCCTGTATCTTGTTCAACGCCTTCAACGACTACTGGAAGGCTGACGGTGCTTTCGCCGCCGAGAAGTACTGGGGTATCTTGTAGATACCCAGTCGTATCTATACCCTCTTTTCCGACTTGACCAATTTATTTTATGTTTAATCAGTTGTAGGTGAAGCGTGGATGCAATTTTGTAGCGAGGGCACTCATCGGTAATCTGGTGGTTGGATGGTAAGTCTAGCTTAGTGCTAGTATGTTTTAATTGATTAGAGCGTTTGTTTGTCTGCTTTGATTTAGACACCCACGCCCTATTTCCCTAGTTTTAGCCATTTAGTCCAAACATGTATTCTATGCTTTTTGTACCCCCTTTCTTTATCTGTCCCAGATCCATTTCTACAATTTTTTTTAATCGCTGTTTCTTTATCATGCCAGAGAAAAGATTGATAACATATGTGGTGCACCTCCTAACGGAAGAATAGGTATTTTTTTTTTACTCCTCTTATACGAATTTAATTTACTATAGTACGTGTGTTATATAACCCATTCTCTTGACATACCCCACGTAGACCTCTTTATCTTCTCTGGGTTGGAGCACCCCTGCTTATCCCATTTACGAGTAGATTCGTCTCGTACCGCAAACTCCAGAAACGAAATGTAATAAACTGTATAAAAGAAAAGCACCCGAGAGCCCTCCCGCTAGAACACAACCACCGAACTGATGCTATCATTCGAGATGAGCACCTCCCAGATGCACCGCCTCGAACCATACAACATGGTCTGGCCCCAGTTCTTTGTGCGCTCGTCTTCCACCTCCCACCCCACAGATTCTCTCTCTCCCTGCGACAAGTATTCACTGGAATCGATAATCTCCAAGTCATGGATAAACTCAGTCTCGTTGCGGTCTAACAAGATCGGCTTTTTGGCCCCCGTACCGTTCACCGCCACCTCCGCGAAATACATCTCCGAGTTTACAATATATTGCAGAGCACCTTCCTCAACCCAATCAAACGCCGTCTCTGGCAAGTTGTACTGCGATAGGGTTCCCTTGGGGTCCCAGATGCACCAATTGCACTTTTCCCAGCGCATAAAGTCCAAGCTGTCTACGACTCCACTGTGAAGCACAATCTTCTTCAAGACAGGCGAGCCTCCAGAGCTGGCGTCGCACGAGGTGTCGTACATCAAGTCGCAGCCATACCTGAAGTAGTTGTGGAACACCTTCGCCTCCAGCAGGGGAAACTCGCCGCGCGGGGTGGATGGTGCGGGGCCATTGGCCAACTGGTGGATAAGCAATCCAGAGGAATGAGCCTTCCTAAAAGCCTCCTCTGGCGGGCCCAAGCGGGCTAGAACCTCCTGCTGCGTGGTGGAGCCGAGAACCAAGGTGGTGTCGTGGCCGTCCTGGAAGACAAACCTCGCGTGCCCCATTGGCAAGTTGACATAGAGTTTCTGCAAGCGCGACGACCCGTTTAGCGGTCTGATGAGGGTAGCAAGCGGGGATCCCGCACTAGCTGAGTGCACCACATTCTTCAGAATACATTGCAACGATTCGGCAAACCTCTCCCAGGACTGGGCGCCATGGTAGACGGATATAGAACTGCACAACACCTGGTTATGATTAATATCAACGTTCAACAAGTTGAGATCGGTCTGGGAGGCCTTAAGCTGCTCCCAGGCTTTTTCCCCCACGCTATCCAAGTTAAACTTGAAGGAGATGCCGGGATACGACAAAATGTACGTCTTTTGCGCGGCATTGAGTTTTCCCGGAAACGTCGGTCCAAAGATCTTATTATAGATCTTTGCGAACGAGGGTTTGGGTGTAATCCAATGGGCGTTATACGTGAAATTGACCGTGGTTTCGCTTTCAGCGGATTCGAGGAGAATCTCTACAAGGATGAGCTTCTGGTGGAACGGCTCGAATGTAAGGCGAAGTTTGAGCAAAGGGCAGAAGATGACAATTGGCGTTTGCAAGATATCTCTGTGTGAGTAGGTGAGTTTGAAGGCATCGTGGACGGTCCGCTGAAGGTAGTGTATAGTTTCGTAGAGTGACTGGCCCAATTCTGAGGTGTTAATACGGGCTATTAGACACATCTATCGTAGGCGGCCACCTCAAAGTGTGGTGCTTTGTTGGTTCCAACCTAGGAGGGATATCAGATGAAGGATACGTACGGAAGGGTCCCACGGAGTGGGTGGGTTTGATGGCGAGGGAGTCGGGGTGGAGAGTACTCATTGGATGTTACTATTTGTGTCGCTGTGGATGCCCGAGAAGAGTATACTAATAGTATATTTAGACAGTGACCAGAATAATCTTCTCTGCTTCCCCACTAATGACTTGGTTGTGCCAGGGTGTTGGGTAACGTTTTGGGTTTGTGGGTGTCGCCACGATCGAAGCTTATCGCAACTTTCTTATCGGATGCCCATGGCTCGCCTAGTCACGTGAGCGGAGGGTCATGCATTGGTGTCTATCGCTTGGTCCAATGTTGATATATAAATATAATGAATATAACCGGATAATTGTAATCGTGTCTAGTTTAATTTTTAATATCGAGTTTCTGTTTAACACTAATCACTTTTTTCAAGTGCCATAAAACATGGTGGGTGCAGTATCTTGGGGAATCGAAACTGCACTTTTAAAAGGCCCAACTTTAAGGATAACAGTCTGTGCTGACTCACAACCTGTTTGTGTCATACTCATAGCCCAATGTACTGGTTGCCTGACCCGAAGTTGATCTGGTCATCTCTCGTTTGGTACCCTACATCCATGTCTGATCCGTTGACAGACAGATTTCGGTAATATCCATGTTCCACCATCCCGCAGTAAAATTCGTGCATATTCGCAAGCATGTTTCCGTCAATGTTCATATTGCGTTGCTGGATGCGGATCACCAAGTACTTGTAGATCAAAAGCGCATTCATTGACAAACACCCGGTCACCCAGCAGAAAGCGACCCTAAGAAACGGAAAGAGAAATGCGTTTATCAAGTCCCACACCAGGTTTCCATGTACCTTTGCCTGAAGCTTTGCTCAGAGGGGGATCGGCACCAATTACTGGTAGGATTGCTGGAAGTGGTTAGTACGTGTTACGATGTGTCATAGGGTTGAAGTAAACCAAAAATAAGGTCAGAGCTCTAGGATAAAAATAGCCCAGAAACCCCTTACCCCGGCATGGAAACAAATTCTAGACATACCCACAATATTCCAGTTCGCATTGTACAAACAGGTACAGAAGCACATGTCGTCGTGGTACGCCTTCCATTGGATCAGCTTCCAAACGGTTTTCTCCATCGGGGTTGTGCCTATAGGCAACTTCGACCATTTTCCGGTGGGTTTATCAATAAACGGATTGCCCTGTGTGGGGTGCTACATGGCCCACAATTCTGTGAAAATGCCAAGTCTGAGGATCCCTTCTATGACATTGTTGGTCGCAGTGGCCATGGTTAATGTTGCTATTGGGTATGTTAATTAGCTGACTCTGAAATTTTTCTATTTAAATATCTCGCATTAGCTGTGCTTGGAAACGGAAGTTTGCACACGCATGTCGAGAAAACATACGCTGACCGATATCCGCATTTGACAGCAACCACAACGGGGTGCATCCCATAACTGGAGATGATGGCTGAAAAAGGTGAACCATTTCATGGTCATATACACCCCCAGAAACTCTATACCCTCAACGATTAATCCCGAACTAGATCGCGTTTCTTTACTCTCAGCTACCTATGCATACCCCCACCCACTTATTAACACTGTACCATTTATATAAACGCTACACATCAACAACACCCATACCGCGCGCCCACGCGACAAACGCACCGGCACCAGCGAACGAGTCGCACGAAACATTGCGCGCGTGCCGTGCGCCGCGCGGATCCAAAATGCGGTGGCACATCTTCAACGCCTCGTAGCAGCGTGTCTCGCGCGCAACATCTACCGCGTGATGCGGATTCGCGGGCCCGTTGCCGTCACGCGCAATCGCGACCAACAGCTTGTGGTTCAACAACTTGTCCGCGAGGTAGTGCAACCAGTACACGTTGGACTTCAAATCCACGGACCAGTCGACGCCGTTGCGACGAGCTCTCTGGAGGTAATCTGCCTTCATGAACCGGTAAATCTCAAACTGGTAGTCACCCTTCCCCGTAAACAACTCCGGGTCATCGAGCGGTTTCCACACCACCTGGGTATCTAGCTTGAGCTTGGATAGCGTAAAATCAATGACAGTCACCTCCAACTCTGTTGCGGTAGGGTCTTCACCCATAGCGACATCCATTTCGGCCAATTTCTGGTAATTCACGTGCTCCTTGATGGTGATATTCCCCCAGTGCAAGTCGCGGTGCTCAAACTTGTGCTCCACTTCGCCGAGCGCGAGCGTGCGCGCCACCAGCCAGAAGATGCGCGACGCCTGCTGCCAGTCCTGCACGGGGAATCGCTCCAAGTCAGTGCCCGCATACTCGAGCTCAATCACAAGGAACATCTGCGTCGCGGAAAAACCGTCGGGGCGGGCATTTTCCGACGAGTTGGAGCGTCCGTAGCGGTCCCAGAGGCGGAGAAGAAGCTCAGGATAGCTCCCTTGCACCACGTGCGAGGAAGTGTACTTCACAAACCCGTCCAAGTGTGACAAGTGCTGCGTGATCTGCAACTCCTGCACCAAGTCCTGCGTGCAGACCGCCGCGTGCGCCGCGAACGGCACGATCTTGAGCACATGTCGCGCGTCACCCGAAAAGCTCGCCTCGAGGAACACCTCGCTGTACGTGGACTCGGCTAGCTTGGAGAGCTGGAACCGGGGGAGGCGCGAGTTAATGAAGGACAGGAAGGGGGTGACATGGGGGGAGGATGTGAGGGCGAGGAGGGGGTGCAAGTGGTGGTCAGCTGTCGCGGAAGAAGAGCGTGCGCGAGACGAGACGAAGCTGCGAACCGCAGGGGCGGAGGAAACAGCGACCGGCTTGGTCTTGTCCGACCCAGAGCCGTTTGTGGTGGTACGAGTGGTTCCCGTGCTAGAGTTCGACACATTGCGTGAACGCGTCTCGCGTGCGATCACGCCCTCGTTGAGTGAAATAACCGAACTTCCAAACTTGTTTTCAATCTTTTTCTGCGACGACTGGTGGAGCACCGGCTGCGAGATTCCCGGAAACTGGTATTTCGGCTTCTTCTCAAAGAGCGAGATGCTGCTGCGCGGTGGGTTGCGCGTTGGCGAGCGCTGGCGCGCCTCGGTCACGACAGGGCCACGGAACGATTGCGACATGCGACGGAGGAGTTTCTTTCCCTTAGCAATCGCATCCGACTCCAGGATCGATGTGGAGATACTGCGGCGGTGCGTCGGGTTGCTCGCGGCGCGCAGCTCGCGGTCTGGTGCGGTCTGAATGCTGTGTGTAGTCATAGGCACACTACTTGAGCGTCCCGTCGCGTCTATCACTTCTTTTCTCGGGTTCATGGGCGCGGAAATGCGGTAGGCGGTAGTCGTGCGTGTATGTACATGTGGATTCGGTTTGTCCTGTTCCAAATGGACCATCCGATGGACGTTGGGCGACAACAGGGCGAGAGGTTCACGCGCGCGCACGCGCGGGACCTCAAGTGGCACCAGCTCTAGCGACACAATATCCGCGTCTCTTGCGAGTGGTGAGTCGTTAAACGCCGCAAAAACCGGCGGCTGGATCCCGTAGGAAATCCCAGGAGAAGGCTCTTCGTCGTCGCTGTTCTGAGCAAACGACGTATCGGAAATCTCGTGTTCCTTGAAGGTGTCCCACAAGTCGTCCAAGTCGTATTGGCGGGTGTTGCGACGCTTTCCGTATTGTTTCAACATCGGAGAAGAAATACGTGGGAGCTAGAAATGGGAGCTAGCGAGGGACGAGGTGAGGGCAGTAGCTGAAGCTGGAAATGAGCTAAAAAGGTAGCTGGCGAGAAAACAAAAAGCTGGATGAAGTCACTAAAATAGCTATCAAGAGTTTTGGCTCCGAGCAATCAGAAATAAATCGATGATGGGAAAATAAAGAGTGAACGTTCAGCACGTGTAAGTGGGTACGGAAAGGCGGCGTGGTTTTCGCCCTCTCGTTTGGAACAAAACACATAATAACATATCAGCTTGACGCACCATATGCGGCCTCGGTACAGGGAATGCCTATTCGCAGAGATATTCCTGCAGGTATATCCGAAGGCATGTACTCGCAGGCAGGCGAACAAAGGCAGGAGACAAAGGGAACCAGGGGGGATAATGCCGGGGGGCTCTTCTTGTTGGTCTAGTCTGACCAGATATGTGCACGCTACCAATGCGCTGGATATAGGATATTTTTAGCACTTCCGAGTAGAATTGGCATTGCCAGATGCTGTAGATAGTATGTGACACAACACGGTCCCTATGGTATAGGAACAAACATTTACAGCTTGCTTAGGGCTGTCCGGTTTAGATTGTGTGTTGTCTAAACTTCCTTTTTTCCCCAGCCAGGCTGGAAAGCGGTCGGAAAGAAGCTATCCCCATTCAAAGGAAGTCCTGGATGCTACTAAGCCACCGCCCATTTAACTCCATTCGGCAGGGCAATCAGGCAAGCTAGTGGTTCCTAGGAGGAGTCTGCCGGTGTTTACGCAGAATGTGCACATATGCGCCAAACTGGACGATTCATTGCTTGGGTGATTCCGCAAAGCAAAAAATAGTTACACAATGTGGCATTTGCAGATCAAGACAGGGTGCCAAAGGGGTCGTGCATTTATATCCCCAATGTTTGTATAGCAAGGCTGTTTAAACAAGACAAAGGGCCAGGGCGGTCCAAGCTGCTGCCAGAAGCCAAATCTGGAACAGTCTGGTCAGGGAGATGTAAATTACCTCAGCTGCTTTTATTGTATACGTCACTTACCTCAATGTTTAGGTGTCTGTAATTCAAGTTAGCACTGGCGATGGAGGCTAAATATGTAAATGGGATCCACTCGAATGGCACTGATGCAGGTTTGACTCTCGACGAGGACTACCTCGATTACCATGTAGAGTGGGTAAACTGAACGTTCACCTGGATACCGTTGGCCCTAGTATTACTAAACGATATAGACTTGGTGGCTTAACTTCAAGGACTTTGCTATAATTGAGAATGGTTCACTTTCCAAGTTATGCTAGACGACTTTATATATGCTACGAGAAGGAGCAGCCTTTCATGTGCCTTCACGCGGGCGGGGTGGTTACCCAAGGTAGAGATGTACGATAGGCTGAACGTTGCCATGATGATTGTATAGGAGGAGATGAAGAGATAGAGGAGGTCAACGGGATTCCCTTATTTTCCTTCCAAATGTCAACATGTGTGATAACATTCATCCGTTTCTCGTGTACATGGAATCCGCTAGATCCATGCATGAGGTCCTCGTAGAAACCGGGTACGGTCTAAACTGTAACACTGTTAGCAACAAGTTTATTTAACTGAAATGTATCCCTCGTCTGGATTAGTTTTGAGATTTACGTAACAGCAAAATTAAGCGCTAAGCACATGGTATCAGATCCTACAAATCGGATAAATAATAGCCCTATACATAGCATGTGCATTGATAATAGAGAAACGTTGAGATTTTCTGGTGAATAGTACAAAAACAAAAAGGAACTCATGATTAAAGAGACAAGGGTAGTCAAAAAGTCCTACTCCTCAAAGGCCCAGGTAACTTGGATAACACCGACATCCTTGTTGGCTAATTGCTCAAAGGCCGCTGGGGAAAAGTCAAGGTCATTGTCGGTGCAAGATTCGCAGGAGTCAACCACTCTGACTCTAACAGACTTGTTGTCGTAGCTGGCATTGATGTACTTACCGCAGTAGCCACTGATATCATCTGTGCCAGCCTCGGTCTCGTACAATGATTGGGCAATTGCCACTACGTATTCGCTATTGGTAGAGACGGTCCCACAGTTGTCGTTTCCGACATCATAGTAAGTGCCGCGGCCGGTGGTTTCACTGACAGGTTCTGTAGAAGCTGAGGCATCGGCGGCAGGCTCTGTAGAAGCTGAGGCACCGACGACAGGCTCTGTAGAAGCTAGAGCATCAGCAGCAGACTCAGCGGTCGTGTAGACGGTAGCTAAGGTGGATGGAATAGGTGGGGCAATGTTTGAAAACAAATTACCAGACTTTGCAGAATCAAAGCTAAGACCTTCGGGAATTGGAATCACCACGCCAAACACCTGTTCGATCAAGGCTGCAAACTCTTGGCTGTTAAGAGCTTGCGACTGAACACCGGTAAAGGCCATGACGGCAAGGAAGGAAAAGCGGACCAAATTGTTCATAGTGTGTAAAGGAGCGTGGTTTTTTTAGAGCCTATTTTAATTAAACACGTTGGATTAATTTCCAGATCAGGGTACACTGACCGTTATTTATACAGAAATATCAGACGCTGGGGATAGGCTTTGTAGCGTTGCATTAAAGGTCTAGATCACTAAAATATAATTAAGGCACTATCCGGAAGTTGAGGCACTATGTTATTCTTTCTTTAGTCCAGACAAGTCCCCTTGTTACTAGCTACTGGTACCGGAGTTATGCGGTGGCTCCTAGATAAGATGTTTCAAGATGGCGCACGGAAGATGCAAGGTGACGGGTTAGTGGTTGGACCGCGTCGTAATGTATTCCATTGAAGTAAGACATCCTTCATTCAGAACGAAACTACTATAGATCTGAGACTGGTTAAGTTACCCGAAATTCCATACGGCATGAGCTCGAAAGGTGCATTGCGTTATAGCAGCGTAGAATACACACCCATGGACAATCACACTTTATGGAGCGGAGAGTACAGACTGCTTTAAGAATCGCCAAGTGAGCTAAAAAGACTGAGTTTCCATCAGTAACGAAACACAATTGGGCCAGACGTAAGGATTTTCCTCGTAACAACTTCAAGTGCCAACGATCTATTTGATGGCCCGTATGGACCATTCAGAGGGAATCATTAAAAACACCGTTATACCGAAGTATTACTGATCCATCGTGCATGTGAAACACTGCCTCAATTTGTGCATGGCTCGCACCAAAAGGCAGCTCTGATTAGCGTCTGCAAGATCCTCCGTGCTGATGGTCTTATCGAACCGGAAACCCACAACCGATTCAGACATGCACTTCATGCGATGCATTTTCAATTAACTCCTAATGGGGCACGCTTTGTATGTAAAGTGGAAACGTGAAATGCATGTCTCACATTTTGGTCACACCGTACGCACAAACCAAGAGGGACAGTACATGATTCATAGGAAGCGCCAAATATACGGTATTTACAATATTCCCAAAAATCTAAAGCGGATGGGTTGTCACATCCAAGACAAAGTATAGTATATAGAATAATATTATCATATATACAGCAGTTTGATACTTTGAAGAAAACAAACCAGCGTACAAACCCCAAAATTCATCAGTAAATAATCCCTCTAGGATCGTATTTCATCTTTGGGGCTGCTAGTGGTCACACAGAGGGTTCCTATTCCTTGAGGTGATCTTGGGCTGAATGGCTTATCTCAACCACCAATCAATCATCCAATGAGGCAACAAGCCTCCGATAATATCATAAATCCTTGCCCCACTACCGCAATAGCACACACCGCCCAAGACATATCTCTTCTGGTCATAAATCAAATCATACACCAAATGGTACAACTCGCGCAATGGCGTACCCCTGACTCCTTGAATAGGCCCGCTGGTGTGCTTTACCTTGGTAAAGTTCTCCGCATAAATCTCCCTCGTCTGGTCGTCCCACGCCAACATCTCTCTCTGGATCGAATTGTCGATCTTAGTTGACGATATCGGCTGGTTGGAGATCAGCATGTTGCCTAAACGGATCTGGGTGACCTGGATGTCGTTTCCTGACGACAACTCGCGGTGAAGACACGTAAACAAGTCCTGGACAGCATTGAACGTGATGGTTTCCGGCGAGTGGAAGGGCAACTTCAACGCTGGGAGAATCACGGGGTTGACCAAGATAATCTTTCCGCTGCTAGCACGCACAATATCCACAAGACCAAAGGCAAGGAAGTTGAGGTACAAGTTCAACTTGGCCGTCACTCGGTTCCAGGTTCCGCTCGAAATGTTCTCCACTGGCCCCACGGGATACGCCATGTCAGGGATGAAGATCGCAGAGGTGAGGTGCAACTTGTGGGGCTGGGCACCGGCAAACGGTACCACGCGTTCGTTCATGCGCTGCTTGAATTTCATCAACGCAAGCTCAAAGTCCTGGGGGGTTCCAACCATGTCTAGATAATCAAAGTCATTGTAGCGATTGGTCTCCACAAATTTGACTTCATGTTCTGAGGTGAGCGTAATGTACACAATGAACCCCCGCTTCTCCAAGTCCAAGGCGATAAGGCGGGTTAACGGTTCTACCGGCGAGCCAATAATCAAAACCACCTCATACCGCGCCCCGTTTGGCATTCGCTTGGCCCGTCGTTTGTTCTCTGTGCTGTCCTCCGACAAACGGGGTAAGTAGCACTTCTGGTAGTAGTAGTACCCGGAAAGCGACGCGAGGCCGATGGTGAGCACCGAAACAAGGCGTTTGCGGCGCAAAAGCGAGCTTGTCACACGTTCGTAGGGCGTTGAACGGTGGAATGGCAACCGTGGTGTGTCGCTAGTCTTCTTAGCAAACCATCTGGTGGACTGCTCAACCGTTTCGGAAACTTGCTGGACGTATTCCGAGCCGGTGATGCTGTGGTAAGTGGCGTTAGCCATCGATTTGGTCTGCGTCTGGAACGCGTATAAGGCGTCAAATACCTTTTCTGCAAGGTCAGACATGATCTGAGATTTAGTGGGAGCTTAGAAGGCGTGGGAATAAGATAATAGATGATTTGTCCCTCGTTTGAAAGGCGTGTGAGGAAGAAGTTGAAGTTGATTTGGCGGCAAAAGGTGACTGAATGTCAGTGCAGGATATAAACTGGGGAATCTATATCGTTTAAATGGGAACGGGAAAATCACAAGGATTAAGGTATATCTAGCCGTTACCTAACTATTCATCAGCACTAATTGGGATGAAACTAATGGGAGATTTTTTAATCTAATTTCAGAGACGTCAACCTCTGCCAACTACATAGTGAGCTCTCGAGATTGGGTAATGGAAAATAAGGTAACGTGAATCTAGAGAGAGAAAATAGCACCTATTTATCTTAGCTATTGGATGTATTGGGAAATAAAAGCTGTAGCACGAGCCATGCCTGAAGACAGAATCTGAGGGATGAGTTGGATATAGCAATCTATAGCGGAAACAGCCTTTTGTTTTATGATGTGTTGATCTATAATGTCAGTGAATCTTCCGATATAGTGTAACGGCTAGCACGGTTCGCTTTCACCGAGCAAACCCGGGTTCGACTCCCGGTATCGGAGCTCATTAGTTTTTGCTTACAGCCATTTTTAAAGGCTCCTCCCAAAACATACGTCGATTGATTACTGGGTTTAATACATTTTACGGCTTACCACAAACCAAGATATAGAAATCCACCATGAGTTGCGTTCGCCAAAGTACAGCAGCTCCAGATTATGTCCTTGAGAAAACCTCTAATTTAGATGTAGGGCCACTGTCAATCGTCCTTTTTTTTTCGCAGGCTGTGTTATAATCCGAATGGTGGTAATTTATTCCCACGGCAGTCTCCGGGGAGATGCTGACCTTAACCATTTACATTTCATTAATAACATTCATTACAACTTTTAGCCATATATACACACCGGGACACTATAGTTATCCCAATATCTGCAAGATCTGCTGGGTTAAGTTGAACAACTCCACCTTTGGATCGTCGGAACCCTCCTCCTCACCGCCGCTGTTCACGGCATGGGCAACCTGCCCACTGACGCTCTTAATCCCAAGCAAGACTCGTTCGTTCTCCTTGATCAACCCGTTGACCTCCACATCGTTGCTCTCTAACAACTGGAGAATCGTCCAGAGGGCAATATGTTCGAAGGTTGGGTTGCCCGAAGCCAAGAAACGCGTGAGAAACGAAGAAATGCCCTGATGCGGTGACTGCCAGTTGTCCACGATAATCGCGTAGTCAGGAATCCGGGAACACAAGTTCGCCAAGGCAGCGGCCGAGTTACCACAAACCTCGCCGTTTGGCGAAAAGGTCAACGGGATAAGCACTGACAAGATGCCCTGCTCGAGTAGCTTCAACTTCAAGTCGTCGGCAAGGGCCAAAATGGCAAAACAGGCGGAAATCTCCAGCTGCACCGCCACGGAAGCATCGAGGACAAGTTCCATGCACTTGGCCAAGGCCCCGGCGTCAAGCAAGGCCAAACGGTTGCGTTCCAGCGAGGCCGCCAAGTTTCTCAAGGTCGAGACAGCGTGGCACTGGATCTCCTCAGAGTCCTGGTAGTCAAGAAGAGCCACCAACGGCTTGAGGAAGCCCGCGTCGATGATAAGGGCCTCGTTCATGGGGTGGATGGAGATGTTGCGGATACAGGCGACCGAGGCGAGGATGAGGGGCAAGTGTGCAGAGGACTGTAAAAGGTTCACCAAGTGCGGCAACCCGCCACACCGTACAATCTCAAGCTGGTACTGCGCGTCCGAGGCCAAGTTCCGCAAGGCAAGCGTCGCCTGGCACTGCACGCGCGGCGACTGTGAGTCCATAAGCGACACCAACTGCGATACAAGGCGTGGCTCGGTGGCTGCCAAGTTCTTGCGGTTGATTTCGTCGACGGCAATGTTCGACAAGGCAGTGGTACAATAGTACTGCACGTCGGGGTCTTCGCTTGAAAGTAACTGCACGAGCACTGGAACGGCGCCGGCAGCCACCAACTCCTGTCTGTTTTCACCCAGATGGGTCATGTTGAGCAAGGCCCCGGTGGCGTTTCGCTGGACCCGCAAGTCTTTGGACTTGGCAAGCTTTGTGAGCGGCACGAGCGCGCCGGAGGTGGCTATCTTGGCCTTGTTATCGTCTTGGGTGGCCAAATTCGTAATGCAGCCCACGGCATTGCACTGCACTTCGATATTATCCGACATCATCTGACGAATCAACGGCTCAAGCCCACCCATGTCGACAATCAAGATTTTGTTTTCGTTGTTGACGGCAAGGTTGCCCAACGCGGCGCACGCGGCCCTCTGCACCTCGGGGTCAGTGGACTGCAAGAGGATGAGGATCGGCTCGAGGACGTCTCTCTGGACCGGGCGAACATCCTTCTCGGTGATTTCTGCAAACGCCAACGCGGCACTCCTTTGCAAGTCAATATTCTCGGAATAGACTAGCGTGGACAAGGCCCGGAGCGGGCCGTTGCTAAAAAAGTCCACGTCGGTTCTGTTCTCGAGGTACTGGAGTAACGCCGATATGGCGGCTCTTTCATTTTCAGCCAACAACGGCGGGTATATCCCCTCGGAGTTTTGGCGAGAGAGGCAACTGCAACAGATACCCATTGTGATGTTCAATTATGACAGGCGTTTTGGTAGGGGGAGCAATAAATCAATCGGTGGTACTCTAACGGGCAGTATACGCAACGAAGTGTATCCAGATACTTTTGTGCCACTAACAATGCGAGTTCGGTGAAGGCGGCAAGCAAAAGTGGTGGAGGTGAAATTTGCTTGGGCGGAGGTAGGGTTTGCTGATGAGTATCTTTTTCAGAATACGTGTGGTGAGTAGCAGGTAACAAAAAGAGCAGAGATAATGGTGGGGTAGACTTGAGGAATACCCGGCGGTTAGATACCGCTATCGTTTTTGCTTTGCTTTTTCCCCCCTCGCCGTTTGCGTTAGGGAATACTTGGCGACGCACGACCTTACAGGCCCTGCGGCGCACTTATTTCCTAATTAAGAATATGCGGAACAGGAAAATAGGCGGGGTGGAGGAACGATGACAAACCTTAATTGGGGTCTGTTCTCTGCGTTTAATTTGTGCTACAACGTCTGGTGCATATCTGTAATCAGGTTTGGAGGGGGGATGCTATCTGTGTTTATCGGTGTGTGCCCTGGTTAGGTAGTGGGGTTCCAAGGGGCTGGAGCATTCGTGTGTCTATACATGTCACGTGATCGATAATGCTGGGAGGAGACTGGGATGGAAACTGGGAGCCGTACTACCGGATCTGCTTAGCGGCCAATTGGGAATCCTCTGAATACTTCTATTCGGGGGTATTACTAAGGACGGATTAATAATTTTTGGTACTTTCAACCGTGAATCCGTGATGACACACGGATTCACGACGGGGACTTCTCTCTGCATAAGACTTTACGGTTCAGCGTGAGCCTAGGTAGATTGGGGCGATCAAGAGATTTCAAAAGCCGGTAGGTGCTCTCCCATAATTTAGAAGAGAGCACTGAGTATTCATGTAAGCACTTGTCAATCCGAAGTTCACAGGCTCGCCTACAGAAAAGCAATGGTCCAGTATCAGAGTTTCGCTGCAACTGTTAGGTAATCGACTGAAGCGGTTGGTTCGGACCTTAATGCAGATAACATCTAGAATGGCAGAAAGCAGAGGTAGATCTAGAGCCGTAGCAGTAATTTGAGCTATTTAATGCACGTGACGGACATAGCCTTGTCGTACAGGCTCGTTCCCACTCGTTCGTCGTACCCGTTTCTTTTGCGTGGTACCACCATTCTCAAAAAATTTCTTTTCCGATGCAACTGTTTACAACACTCGCCCATAAAACAGATCTTAATTCCGCCTCTTCTTCATCGCCCACCGCACCCACCACACATTTCGTTTCAACAACATGTCCAGTGTGTTTGACAATTCCGTGCATTCTGGCTTCCAGGTGGCTGCCGCCTCCGTCAACTCGACCAGCCCTACTTTTCAACAAACCTATGCCGCCGTATCTGGCTTGGCGGGCTTGAGCTGGATAGAGAAGTTGTGGGCATCGTACTACACGTGGATCGGCAATGACTTGTTCGCCACAGGGCTCCTCTTCTTCACCCTCCACGAAGTTATGTACTTTGGCCGCTGCTTGCCGTGGTTCATCATCGACCGTATTCCATATTTCAACCGCTGGAAGATCCAGGACACCAAGATGCCATCCAACCGGGAGCAGTGGGAGTGCTTGAAGTCGGTTTTGACCTCCCATTTCCTTGTAGAGGCTTTCCCTATCTGGTTCTTCCATCCGTTGTGCCAGAAGATCGGGATTTCGCACGACGTGCCGTTCCCGTCCTTGGCCACCATGGCCTGGCAGATTGCCATGTTCTTCGTGTTGGAGGACGCTTGGCACTACTGGACCCACAGGGCAATGCACTACGGGAGTTTGTACAAGATGATCCACAAGCAGCACCACAGATACGCCGCGCCGTTCGGACTCACCGCCGAGTACGCCCATCCGGTTGAGGTCATGGTGTTGGGTTTCGGTACCGTTGGGATTCCTATCGTCTTTGTCTTGCTCACCCGCAACTTGCACTTGTTCACCGTCTGTGTCTGGATTGTTGGGAGATTGTGGCAGGCAGTTGACGCTCATTCCGGTTACGAGTTCCCGTGGTCTTTGCACCACTTTTTGCCTTTCTGGGCCGGTGCTGAGCACCACGACGAGCACCACCATCACTTTATTGGTAACTATGCTTCGTCTTTCAGATTCTGGGACTACGTCTTGCAGACCGAGGCGGGTGTTCCAGCCAAGCAGAGTAGAGAGTCCAAGATGAGGGGTGCTGCCGAGGGAAAGGCCAAGAAGAATATCTAGATGTCAATAAGGCCAAAGATAAGGCCAAGGATATCAGGAGAAGAAAAGTCTGAGTTGAGAAAGTCCGGCCAAGATTATGGCTAAACTCTGTAAAGCGATATCTATAAATCCTGGTGCTTACATCGTTGCTAGTGTGCACCTTTTTACTATTTATCATAGCATCCTAATTTCCGAATAAAGAATATTAATAATTAAAGCTGTCTCCTTTTCATCTAGACGTCTTCCAATCCCTTTCATTGGCTCTTCGGGTTCATGTCAGGGATGCAGACACACGAATCCCCAGTGTCGTCTGGTACGACTGAATTCCTCGTATCATTTCCCATCCATTTACATCTCGCAGTTTAGCTTCCAGTAAATGCCTGCATGTAGGGAGCAATCTCTCTTTTTTTTAGTCTCTTCGGCCAAACTCGGTTTCTTCTCGGTTAAAAAGGTTATATGCAGCCAAAAAAAAATAAAAATGGCGTGGTTTCACGCAGCTATCTAGTCGGTACTCCAACGTGGGGTAGTCGGCATGCCGGTGATATGGAACATACGCACTCCGGTATACCCCTTCACTTTCTGGAATGAGACATGTATACTATATTCTGGATCACGATTTCAATTCCAATAGCTCAAACGGAATGGAACTAAAACCCTCCCAGGAGCTTATTGCATGGCCGTAACCATGTAACAACAGTCCTGCACTTGTTATCCCTTCCCTTTATCGTCGACCGCGCCAACTAAACCCTGTAAATTTGTATGATAAACTATTTCTATGCTATTCAGCAATTGGTGGCCCTTCGTATGGGCCCCTCTAGTTCGATACCAGCAAACTGGCCGTGTTGCTTCTATTTTGGCATGTAGCCCTGACAGCCAACCTCTACCGTTAACCCTTGGTCACGGTTATGCCCGATGAAGGGCCGAGCTAATTAAAAACAGCACCACACGCAGGGGGGAAGTAGGAGAATCCCCTCTTCGATTGTATTCATCGTTCTACATAGCCCGGAACGCCGACCACATATCTTACAGTAGCACTACAGCCGATAACTAAGGTTATCTCCTGATAACTTCTGGACACCCCCTTGCTACCATATCCCACCGGCATCCCGGTCCTGCACACACGCTATCTCCCTCCATGCATGACAACACGGATAAAGCCGATGGATAAGGCCCTTCAGGCATCATTCGCGTGGCACACATCAAAGAAAAATACATCTATAAATACGGCCCGCGGCCCTCCCCCATCTCATTCATTTTCATTTCTCCACTCAACTTTCCAAGTACCACATCCAAAGTACTTCGCCCAGAACATCTCTTTCCCGACTCAATCTCAAGCAACATGGCCGTCTTATTAGAATCCTCCTACGGTAAAAATCTCGTCAAGTTCCTCAAGGTCAAGCGCGATGCCACCAACCCAAAGAAACAGGAGGTGATTGAAGCCACCTGCTGTGTACTCCTCGAAGGAGCCTTCGACGAGTCCTATACCAACGCCAACAATGCTTCAATCGTGCCTACCGACACTGTCAAGAACACTATTCTCGTCGAAGCCAAGCTCTCTGACGTCTGGCCAATCGAGCGCTTTGCCGCACACTTGGGCCAGCACTTTGTCAACAAATACTCGCATGTCACCGCTGTCAATGTTTGGATCGAGCAACAACGCTGGGTCAAGTACGACGTCAACGGGAAGCCACATGACCACTCGTTTATCCACCAGTCCGGTGAAACCAAGAACGTCTACCTTCACTACTTCCGCAACGGTAAGTATGACCTCCAGACCTCCATCAAGGGCCTTACTGTTTTAAAATCCACCGGCTCCATGTTCTACGGCTACAACGTCTGCGACTACACCACCTTGAAGCCTACCAAGGACAGAATTCTCTCCACCGACGTTGATGCCACCTGGTACTGGGACTCCAAGAAATTGGGGCCAATCACCAACATTGAAAGGTTGGCCAACGCAGGCTTGTTCGACAACGGTTACGATGCTGCCAGAAAGGTCACCTTGGACTTGTTTGCCTTAGAAAACTCCCCATCCGTGCAGGCCACGATGTACAACATGTCTGCCAAGATATTGGAGCTTGTGCCGGAGGTTGAGAAGGTCCAGTACTCCTTGCCAAACAAGCACTATATGGGGATTGACTTGTCCTTCAAGGGCATCAGGGAGAACAACGAGGTCTTCTACCCAGCTGCCCATCCATCCGGGTTGATCAAGTCTACTGTCGGGAGAGAAGTCAAGGCGAAGTTTTAAGAGCCAAGGGTATTTGCTTTTTGATACCGCGAGTTCCTCCATCTATATATTTTGGGCCCAGTCCCTACTGTTATGCAATTTCATTAAACAAGTCTGTAGCGTCCCCAGAAATATTAATCATTGCTAAACTCACGTAGAATGCTTTCCTTATCTTGCCTTCACGATCCACATTGCTCTACGCCTTTGTGGCATCTATTACTATATACATTGTTGTAGTCGGCTAGAAGATCCCGCCCATGCCCTTCTGGCCCTTGGTTGGAGTGGTGCCAAACTTTTCAGCATTGGTGGCAGTGGGGTCAAACTTCTTCTTCACGGCCTTGACGGTGGTGCCGGTGATTTTGGTAGGCAGCAACGACTTCTTGCCTATGTTGAAGCCGTACATCCTCAATCTGGCAACAATACTCGGCGTGATGGCGGCGGTGATCGGAATCCGGATAAAGAATAACGATTTGTGGATGCCGTAGGCCACAAGGAACTCGGTGAACAACTGGGAGTAGTAAGAGGTGGACTTTTCTTCTTGAGCCCCACTGGCCTTGTCCTCTGCCTTTTTTCTGAAGTACTCAGCAAGCTCTTCGTCAGACTTCCCATAGCCAAACACCTGTTTGACGGAGTTCTGGTAGGTCCCGATACGCTCTTCGCCGAGCGAATGGACCGCATAGAAGCAGATAGGTAAGTCGATGAAGGATAACCCGACATAGACTCCTAAGGCTGAATAGCCGTATTCCTGGATAAGGGCTTTGATACCCGTAGCCTTCTTTTCAGGCGCCGCATTCTTAGCAGCATCCTTGGCAGTGGCGTTGAACCGTCTGAAAGAGGATTGGCGGAAGGCGCTGAATTGCTGGCGCAACAACGGGTTGAAGCGGAGGGAGAAACGGTTCATGGGCGATGTTTAGGTATAGCGGCTAATTGTATTACACGTGGACTTATGGCTGCGTGTATGAGTTGTACAATGGTGACAATAAAGAAACAGAGCCACCTTCCATACCGTCGAGTCTCGGAATTCTATAGGCATGCAACCACGGAGGCGTTGCTGCGGTGGCACGTGAGCTGTCACGTGGTAGGATGTATACAGATCAAGTATGTGTAAAACAGTATTAGTCTTCTCTGGGTCTCTTGAACCGTAGTGCTGCGCCTGCGCCAAATATTTGACACTTTCAGTTATAATGAAATAATACAGCTTCAAGGATTTAGGCGATATGCATACCTGGTGGCCTCTGAACACGGGATTCAGGACCTTGAATTCATCTATTTGTATTCACCACCCATGCTGCAAGCTGATTACGTTCCCATGTGTCAATCCTAGCCTGTCCCCATACTTCTGCATCTCATGTTCAGCGAGAGACTAACTGCTTCCTTGTCTGGCTGCTCAATCCCCATTATTGCGACAAGTCTGCCACCTGATCTATCCATGTGTGCTTACCATCACGTGACAAATTTGATTTCTTTTTTTCTCAATTTTTCACTCCTGGTGGCACACACCTCTTATCCATCTATGCTTGAAGCATAACTTGATCTACCCCACTTTTCTATCGTACCATCATAGTCTTTATCATGGGCTGCCACAAAAAATTGTACTTGCTCACGCTTGCCGCGGTAGTGGTGACCGCTGGCTGTGTTGAAGCGGTACACGCGTATCTCAGAAGCCAGAAGAAGAAGCCTACCCCAACCAAGACAAAGCAGACAGTGCACGACGAAGAGTTGATTCGCGAACAGCTTGCGCGCAACTACACGTTTCTTTCCGAAAAAGGGATGGAAAAGGTGAGAAACCAGCGTGTGGTGGTTGTGGGGGCCGGTGGAGTCGGTTCCTGGGTCACCACGATGCTTGTGCGAGCCGGCGTGCTGGCGCTTAGAATCATCGACTTCGACCAGGTCTCCTTATCGTCTTTAAACCGCCACTCTGTGGCAACCTTGGCCGATGTGGGTGTCTCCAAGGTGGAGATTTTGAAGGCGCACTCCTTGCAGGTTGCTCCGTGGTGTGAGATCGATGCGGTCAACTCGTTGTGGACACTTCCGGACGCTGAAAAGTTGATCTACGGCGGCGACTTCAACCCTACATACGTCGTGGATTGTATTGACAACATCGACACCAAGGTGGACTTGCTTGCGTTCTGCTACCGCAACAAGATCCCAGTGGTTTCCTCCGGTGGGGCCGGATGCAAGTCGGATCCGACCAGAATCAACATTGGAGACATCTCTAGCACCGAGGAGGATCCGTTGTGCCGCTCAGTCAGGCGCCGATTAAAGAAGATGGGTATCAACGGCGGGATTCCGGTGGTTTTCTCGGCCGAAAAGCCTGATCCGCGCAAGGCTGCGTTGTTGCCTTTGGAGGAGGCTGAGTTTGAGAATGGCCCGGTGGAGGAGTTATCCGCATTGAAAAACTTCCGTGTGCGTATCTTGCCGGTTTTGGGAACCATGCCTGGGATGTTTGGGTTGACCATCGCGACCCACATTCTCACCACCATCGCGGGATACCCGATCGAACCAATTGAAGGCAAAAACAGGATCAAGGTGTATGACGGCATCTTACAGAGCTTGGCCGGCCAGCAGACACGCGTCGGTGAAAACGACCAGCGCGTGCCGATCTCGATTCATGACGTGCAGTACTTGGTGGAAGAGGTCTGGAGGGGCAAGTCGCCGATCTCCAACTACTCCACCAGATTGACCTTGTGTCGCTGGGACCCAAAGAAGGAGCCAAGCTACCAGAACATTGTGTTAATGACAAAGGAGGAGCAAAAGATGCACGAGCAGAGGGTATTGAATGGGGGAGAGCCGGTGGAAGCTGTATATGATACAAAGGTGCTTGCAAATGTGCGGAGGAGGTTTGCTGAAGAGGAGTATTACAGCCAGTACCGGTAACTGCTGTCTGTACTTCCTAGAGCCAGTGCCCTGGAGGTCCTATAAACTACAGTCGGGCCATATATTATAGATTAATGAAAAGATACGAAGGGCGGTAGAGTAGGTAGATGGGGTAAGGTATTGGTAGGTGTATTTCCTTTGGAGTGTTGTAAGATTGGTGAGGGGACGTTGGTATATTAAAGAACGAATGATTATCGAATAGCGGTCATGGGCACATGGTGTCACGTATAGGAAATGAGAAGAATACGACGGAGGTTATGAATGAGGGATGTAGGTAAGACATAAAGTAAAACTATTAGGTATTACATTCATCGAATAGTGTGTGTGATATAAACCCCAGAGTTATAAGTGAATATCTTGGTTTTCTAAATAGTGCCGTTGGAGAGATCTCCGCGAAATGGAGGAATTGACATGCTTCTCCCGATACTAGGACGTTGTTCAGGTATTGAATTGTTTTGGACTTGAATCGAATGGGATTTCCTCGCTTATTTTTTACAACCCGGAAATTGTCTTTTCCCATCTTGTACTAAAACTTTATTCTGCATTAATTGCATAATCATTTATGATTGGTATCCCAGGAATAGGCTAATTTGGAAAAAACTGAACTATACCTCGATGCATCACTCAGTCTCGATGAATCAATCTGGTGAATCTGCATACTGCTCCATTATTCTGTTCATTGAGACTAGCCAAAGTAACGAATTCATAACTGGTTTGTGGGTTCGGTGCTCTCAGAGGTAAACAAGAGCTCCGTGTAACTACACGACACGTTGGGTCTAAACCTACTTGAGCACCCCCCCCCCGATATACAAATAACCATCTAGGACAGCCGCTAGCGACCAACCTTTTCCCAAAGCCAACCGTTATATCTAAGAATATAGTCATCTGTCGTGTCTGTATGGGAAACCCGGCGACGCTACACGCATGCTAGAAGCGGGGCTTGTTACACGCATGCGGGGCAGCTATAAGGAATTCCCCGGGACGGCAGAGAAAAACGTGATCTAGTGACGGAAAAAAACGAACGCCAAGCGCCTATCAAATAGAGTTGTCAGAGGGCGTATATACATATCAAGTGATAATACGCAATACCGTTTCACCTTTTCCCATTAGTGGAAAAATCCATCTGTTGCTTGTATATTCTGGTATTGACAGTTTTTTATTTCAAGCCTCTATTCCTTCTTCATCCTATCTGGGCCTTGTCTGTTGTTGAGACACTGCAATCGCATCAGTCTCTTACAAGCTCCAACAGCTCAGCGGCATACCCAGTTGCACTCTGTGGCGTCCTCGCTTCAACACATTCATTATTAATACCTCAAGCAGAGATAGTACCCTTCCCTCCGCTTCTCTGACTCATAGCCCAAGGCTCCCACTGCATCTATGCCCAGTATATCGCCATTGCCCCATCCCGAGGCCGGTCCTCACTCTTTGCATACCTCGCTGGAGGCCAAAGCGGCCCCGCGCATCCAGTTCATCGATAAGCAGTCGCTCAACTATATTGTAAAGTCGGGCATAGCGGGCGGGGTGGCCGGATGTGCTGCCAAGACCCTCATCGCGCCGCTAGACAGAGTCAAGATTCTCTTCCAGACGTCCAACCCCGAGTTCACCAAGTACGCAGGCTCCATGACCGGGTTACTCAAGGCGTCCAAGCGGATCTATGCGATGGACGGGGTCATGGGATTGTTCCAGGGCCATTCCGCGACCCTCCTCCGCATTTTCCCTTACGCTGCCATCAAGTTCGTGGCGTATGAGCAGATTCGCACGCTATTGATTCCCACCGACGAGTATGAAACCGCCGGACGAAGATTGCTCGCGGGTAGCTTGTCTGGCTTGACCAGCGTGGCGTGCACCTATCCGCTAGATTTGATTCGCGTGCGGTTGGCTTTTTCCACAAAGCACAAGCATGCTGGGGTGGTGCCCCGCGGCCGCTTGCTCAGCACGATTGCGTCCATCTATAACGAAGCACCGCCAGCAAGAGAGACAGATCCAAACTTTGTGAAGTACGCCAGAAAGAGTCTTCCGTCCTTTGCGGTTCAGGTCTCCAACTTCTACCGTGGCTTTGTGCCCACCATTATTGGGATGATTCCCTACGCGGGTGTGTCGTTCTATACCCACGATCTCATCCACGACATTTTCCGCTCGCCGTTGTTAGCCAACGTGACCGTGAGACAGGTTGCTTCCAGGAGCTTTGTGAGCAAGCGGAGCTCGGACGAAGCAGAGTTCAAGTCGTCTCATGACCAGCGGGCGCCGTTGAAGGCCTGGGCGCAGTTGATAGCGGGTGGGTTGGCGGGGATGTGCTCGCAGACCGCCGCCTACCCGTTTGAGGTCATCAGAAGACGAATGCAAGTGGGCGGGGTGGTCAACGACGGCCAGTTCTACAACGTGAAGCTGTTGAGCAAGGTGATCTGGCGTGAGAAGGGCTTCAGGGGGTTCTTTGTGGGGTTGAGTATTGGCTACATCAAAGTGGTTCCAATGGTGGCCTGTTCGTTCTTTGTTTATGAAAGAATGAAGACTGGGTTGGGGATCTAGCTCTTTTTGCTCTGCATACCAGTCGAGGTTCTCAGAGCGGGTGGCCGTCTGACCAAAACGTTTCCTAGATCCCAAAATGTTCTCTGTTGTAATCCTTATTGAAAGCACCCAGTGTTGTACACTATATTCCTACCATTTAAAATCAGTTGGTTTTGGTCCTCAGCCGTGCGCCATCTCTTTGCCTCTGTAAACCGTCGTTCTATCACACTCGCCTATCCGTACTCTCTCCCAGATTAAACAGTGGTCACATACAAACCTCCCTCCCCCGTTCTAAAAATCATGAGAATCTTAGATTCTGTGTTTTCTGCACCTATTTTTAGCCGTGAATTTCGCTGTTTTGCATTAAAGTCACCTCCTGTCACGATCGATAATTGAATGGCCTTAGATCGTTTAATACTCGCATTTGACTTACCCCCATAGGTTTGGCCATTCTATGTCTTTCGAATTCTCGAAAGGCCTCTCGCTCACCGAAATCTACAGTGTGTGTAGTAAAGATGCTGCAGGTGTCTCGCCCTAAGTGAAACATAGCTTCATAGCCGGTCTATATAAAGACCGATTGACCATCTCCTTGTATATCCAATTCAGATCTAATGATCAATCGATCCTACCCGGTTATATCACTACCTACGTAGATATACTACAGTTTATATAACCAGATCCGACTGTAAAACTATACAATGATGGCTTCGATGGCGGAATATGAAGCTAAACGTATACCTGGCATAATTCCTGAAACAGTAACGGCGGCCGGTACAATCTTCTCGGCTCTGGTTTACAATTCTCACGCTTCCTCCATACCTGGTACCCGGGAAATTTTAGTGCTGGCCTACAATGACGATAAAAGGTAGGGAACGGTAAGACGACCTGGCCAACATTGGGTTAGAGGTGACCAAAGGCATGTAAACTCGGGACATTGTTTGGTCTACATACACAGGTCGAACACCCCCTCGTGGCCGGCTGCGGACTGGTCTCAGATGACAAAGCTTACACTTTTTCTTAATCAAATGAATGGATTAATGCCGTTATGATAAATAGTGGAATATGATAGTACGACTTAGTATCAGCGTCGGTTTGGGGATGACCAAAAGGCATGAAAACTTAAAACTTTGTTTGGTACATCGTGGAGGTAGCGTCCCTCATACTGAGTAACTTTCCCTGATTCTTGAGAATGCTTGCTAGAACGATTTGCATGGCTCTATGGCATCCACCTGATATTTGAATGTCCGTAGGTCTCATACATCTTGATGTATTCATCATACGGATCCGGCAACATCGGCCCGTCTATTACCATACCCACTACCTGGGATACGTCCTTGCCCTGGCTAATCAACTCCATCTCCTTCTGGTGGAGCTTGTAGAACTTTTTCGAATGGTTCCACTCGTTTAAGATAAACGGATTGCCACAGGCGCCTGCAAGGGTCATCTTCTCATGCTCCGGATCGTTGGCCCAGCGGGTGGCCGGCGGCCCCTTGCAGTCACCATCGCTAACCATCTGGCCAATGTCCTCCTGGAAGTTATTGCCATTGAAGTTCTTCTGGGTGTACGAGTTCGGGCCATACTTGATGGTCATGATCTCCTCGCTCTTGGCTGGGATATATGACTGGGTACCCTCGAACAACGTGAGACGGAGCGGCGAGATCTGATCCTCCAAGAACCAGTTGTTGTTGTGGTCGACAACGGCCGGTCTGGTCTTTTTCTCGTCGTTGTTCGCGTAGAACTTGTCCGGCGCGTGCTTGTCAGAACCCTTGTAGGTCAAGCCGGAGAGATCAATGTAGGTGCCGGTGCGGGTATCAAGGAAACGGCCGTCGATAGCATTGGTTTGTGAGCCCCTGGCGATCCACGTGTTTATATCAAGATAGAACTTACCGTTACCAAAACGCGGGTCCTCTATGATGAGCGTGCGGTTGTAGTCACGACCCAAGCGGTGGAGCTCTGTAATCGGCATCTGCACGTCAATATCGTTATCATAGATTAAGTTGTAGCCCATGTAGCGCCAGCCAATCAAGTTCCCATACGACATCCACGTGATGATTCCGGACATGCGGCAGAACTCGAACCACGCGCGGTGCAAGTGCGAAATCACCTGGTGTCGCTCATACTTCTCAAGGAACGTAGACACAAACAAACCCGACGTGTGGTGGCCGTGGTTCAAGAGATCCCAGAAGAGATGATTCTCGCGGAAGTATGAGTCGATCAGGTCCTTGTAGTCTAAGGAATACGCCAACGCCTGCTCGTATTCGGATTCGGGCAACGTTTTCTGCAGCTCTGGTAACGCCTCCAAACGCTTCAACTCCTTGGAGAAGTCGAATTCGTACATTTCATGCTTGATCTCGGTGTTGTGGTAGGCCTCGGTACAACCCTTTGGGAGAAGGTGCTCTGGGTAAATCGCATCCAAGGCGGTGATGGCCTCGACCGTGTCGAGCAAGCGCGAGCCCTTCTTGCCACCACCGTTTTCGCGGTACATTTTCCAGATGCGCTTGTCGCCAAGACGCGTGCGCGAGTGTGTTTCGTTCGCCGCGATATTAAGCTGGTAGAGCTTGTTCTCCGAGAGCATGATCACGCGGAGCGGCGCCGGGAAGAACGAGTATAGCTCGACCTTGGCCTTGAGGAGCTTGAGCTCGATGGGGTTGCGATACTTTTTGGTGTCCTTGATGAAGCTGTAGAAGCGCGCCACCTGCGTGTTCAGCTCGCTGTCCGCGATGCCGTTCTGGCGGTTGTACAACTCCTGAAAGATGTGCGCACTGCCCAAGTCTATCCAGTCGTCCCAGTGGAAGGGTATGGTCATGTCGGTGTCGAAGTTCTTGTAGACGGCCGTAATCTGTCCCTCGGGAGCACCCTGTGCACGGAGCTTCTCGACCTTCGCATTGCGCTTCAGCACCTCGGACGTGAGCAACGCCAAATACGCTGACACTACGAGGCGCGGGTTGTACGGTGTTTCGCGGCCCATGGCCTGCGCTGCGAACGAGCCCATGTGGTCCGTCGTGAGCAACACGGGCGCGAGCTGCACGTACTGGTTCATCATGAGATTTTTCTCCTGGTACTGATTGTACCCGCGGAGCGTCAGCATGAGGCTGGTTGTTGCGAGGAGCATCGACGTCGCGAGTACCACGAGGAGAATGTTATTGAGCGTGCTGTTGCGCGTCTGTTGTGCCGGCGTCGGGAGCGCCAACCGCGCCATCTGCACCGTCCGCACTGCCTGGGTCACGTACTGGTTTAACATGTGATGTGACAGATGTGACGTGGATGATCAGTGGGGAAAGAAGTGATCTGGAAGATCGGTAGAGCCAAAGCGAGTGTGAGAGAAGGTAGAGATCTAATTCGAGAACAGGTTAGGTCTTGCTGGCAACTCAGATAGCAAGCTGGCTTGAACAAATGGTAAATATGACAGGTCTGCTTCAGGGGATGACTCTGTCTATGCAGATACTGGGTGTGAAGGTCTATGGTAGCACTAGAGTATAACTGTAACAAATCTACAAAATAGCAAAGTGCAAAAAGGAACAAAACAGCTCTATATAAAAAGCTAACCGTTGAAGTGATTAGACGCCCTGGCGATTTCTTAACGGGGGGCGGCAGGATAAAATCTTCTCTGACGGCGGCTGTTTATGCATGGTACGGGTTCGATGCGCATGCGATGCAATGCGGTGCACACATGTGCGTCTGGCATTTTCGGTTCCGAGGTGCTCGGAATCCCAGACAGCGTTTGTGACTCTGTCCTAATCAGTGCAACCGCCTTTGTTTAGAACGAATTGCCCGTATTAAAGGTGTTCTCTAACTATTGGTGTGTTTCGTGCCACTCCTGCTATCTGCTTGGCTGGCTCTGCCATTTTATTGTAAACAGAGGACCCCTTTACTTCTTTGCTGCCTTCCTCTCATTGTGTATCACCTTCATATATTGACCCGATGGGACTTGAAAAGCCTATTGTCCTTGGACATAACACGTTGTACAACCAGCTATCCAGTATAGAATAGCCTTACAGACCATACCTAGTTGAAGTCTTTACTCCTTGAGGAGCTGATGCTACAGAAATACATCAATGCTGCATGGACGAAGACTGAACAAGATGCACCGGTGACGAACAATAGTAATCCCTTGTAGTTTTGTGATTATTACTCCGGTATTATACGTCTAGCCCCGTTACGTCATCGGGTAAAGCTACTAACTGATGGGATTCTTTAGACTGATGTTACGGGTTGTCGAGGTTTTGTATAGAGTGGAAGATTCGCCCCAGGACCACCTGGTGCAAATTCACATCCACCATACACATAAGGCCAGATACACGTTTGGAAGTCCAATACCCTGTTACTTTCTTGCAGACGGCCCACATCATGGCTATGTTGAACTAGCACCGTAATTTTAAAACTAGTTTCTGCACCTTGGCTTAAAGATATCCCGAGCTTTGTGAATCCCTGGCTCAAAGCTTGACTTTTCACGGAAATATGTCTGAATGAAACAGCTGGCGCCATGAGCATTTACATCAGCTATTCTCTCTCAATTGGAGCATCATCTAACTGATGAAGCATATTAAAAGAGCATCTAGGCGGGAATACCTCCAAGCTCAGACAATTCGATAATTGTTCGGTTCAATCGCTATTGCATATACTACTTTCTTGGCGCCTGCGCCTGCTATCGCGGAGGTCACGCGATCCTTTCTTGACCGCGTCAACATTATACTCTTACAGGTTGCCCGCAGAGACAAGGTAGGCCTCGGGAAGCTTTCGTACGTGACTGTCTGCAGGCATACATGATAGCTGGGAGTGCTTCCGGTGTCGAACTTGGCCCTCGGTGGTTGACCAATGCGGAACAATTTGTTGTAGTCGAACTAAAGAGGGTTTTGAAACATTGCACTATAAATGCCCTAAGCTCCATGTCAAGGATATGGGAGCCTTCTATTAGTCCTAAGCTTTTGGAATGTTGTAAAAGGTTACGTTATATGATAATCGTAACCACAGAGTCTGAAGCCACCGTACGTGTTCTGGTAGGTGGCCCGTTTTCTACCTCAAATACACGAACGTAGCTCTGACTTCCTTATGATTGAGAAGTGAATTCCCGATAGTATCCTGAGGGTTAGATATCTAGCGTAATTCCCCGTTTTATAAACCCAAATTAGGTTCGATAATGGACTGCTATACTAAAATATCGTTCTGTAACCTCACCTGGGGCAGAGGATCGTTTGTACAGCTCTATATATGGCTTGAGTGCTTTCATACCAAAATTTCTGGCTGCTGGGAGTTGATCGGATGTTAATATTTGGTAGAGCATCCAAGCTCCCGTAGCCGAAACTAAAATCGGTCAGATGATAATGCTGGAGCCGAACCCCTACAACTAAAAACTGTACGAACGATATATCCTTCAAACAGGGTTTGGTCGTCCTTAAACTTCTCCCAACACCGAGGTCCTTTCCGATAGTCTGTAAGGAAATCCTTGTTTCCATAAATGCTGGGCATAATTATTCTTACTGGCCGCACATGAATGTCATAACCAGATCGACACTGTTCTGTGGTCATCGAAGCCACCTGGGCCAGAGCAGTGATTGGCCCCATTTATATGGAAGGTATTTTGGGTCACCCTCATTATCACAAATTTCGATTCAATGTCCTCGGTTTAATTTTAGATTTATGACAATCGTGACGTGTCATAGTAGAGGAATGCCAAGCACTCAGCTCTGACTTTATTTTTACCCTTCAACTATGAAGTAGGTCAGCCGAGCCATATGAAATGTAAATAAGCCGATAGGTAGATTAATATCTAAATGCTAAATAATCCGTTAACGTGCTTTCGCGTTTTATCTCAAAAGATGGCTATGATTAATTATGGAGGTATCGGAAACCGAAGCATTCCCCTATGCTTCGTTCTTCCGACTCTTTTTTTTTTTAGAAGGATTCCGCCACCACTCTCAAAAGTGGCTAATCCATTCCCGAAAAGCGTGGACTAGTAGCACTTCAGATATTTGTAATCTACATGAAATTTCCCGGCCTTATTTCCCGAGAATCCTGCGGTTGGGCCCAACTGTCTTGACAAACTGAAATTAGACAGATAATCCGAAAAACGGGTCGGAAACATATGCCAGTCTAACGCACCCCCGGAACTATACTGAAACTTTATTATATATTTCTGCTTTAAGCATATCTCCGCACCAGGATTTCTCACACCAGGATTTACACAACTATACACGTTCAAGTCGAAGCGCCTGTGCCATAGATTAATATCGGCCGGCAAAGAGAATTTGTTTCTCTACTTGCACGTATATAGAAAGTAGCTAGTTTCCGGGAGTATTCCAGGAAATAAGTCCGTGGCAGCAGCAGTTTCGGAGTTTATCATCGCGGTTAATTCGCAGCTCATTGAGTGACTGGGGTGCGCATGTATAGCAAGAAGAAACGAAAAGACAAGGGGTCGGAATATGAACAATCACCCTATTTGAAAAAGAAACGAAGGGTCTCGTGACACGTATCGTAAAAGTCAAAGGCTCCACGTATCCTAAGTGACAACCAGATGTGGTGCTTAGACTAACGGGGCGGAAGGTCCAGCTTTGTTTAGCACTCACAGATATGCAAAATGCTTCGGATTTGGTTGAGACTCTGAACATCGTTTAGCCCCATACTCTGACGTGTACACAACAACTAGTTTTCCCGGACGGCCTTGGTAGGGATTTTCCGTGGCAATCTCTTGGTTTCTTCCCCTGACGCAGAAAATCGTTTCCCGCTTTGAGCGAGGTACGGTAGGTGGCCCTGTCTATACAGGTTTGCTCGATGAATGCGCCCTCCAATGCCCTGATTCTTTGCTCTAACCAGTGCGGGATTCCGGGATTAGTTCCTGCACCGATAGCAAATCCTAAACTTAAAACACCAGGGGCACTGAAATGTGCATTCATTACGCTAAACCACGTGACACCGCAATCGGAAGAAGTCGCGTGTACCGCTAGGAACACCTAGGCATTTAGCTGGTGAACCCCGATAGAGAACGCTATGGTTTGTGTTGTGGTTTGCGGTGAAGGATTTCCGGGTAGGCAATGTATTGAGACCATAGCGTCAATTGTCTGTAGAAGATTGCTCTCACTCGAAGTTGTACAGGGTTTAGTGCAAGTCGCACAGGGTTTAATACAAGTGTGCGAGCCCTATCAAGCCGGTGCGCGGAGGACTCCAGACCACACACAACGGCCATTTATTTGCTAAATAGCTGAGTGTCCGGTTCATGCAACCATCCAGGCTAGTTGCGTACGACAGCTGGAATTATTCTTGCCAGTGGGAAGCTGGGGGGCAAAGGTGCAAATAAGGGTTGTTGCGAATAGAGTTTTTCCTTACGGGTAGAACTGTTCCTCGTAAATAACATCTCTGAAGGCGTAAGCTATCTTGCAGTTGTCTCAATACGGTAGGGGGAAAAGCGCCCGAAGACGGAACAAAGCTTTATGCGCATCTAATTCTTGGGTGCAAACTTTGTTCCAGGGACTAAAACTGGTTCAAATAATAAGCTTCTAGTTTCTATCTTTGATCTTTCGTTCGACCGGTATACCATATGGCAATCCCTTGGAGACCACTCATCCTTCCAAGGTGGTATTATTTGACTACAGGGTAATGGTTAATTATAGGTGTCCAGTTGCCGATTCAGGGAATTCACATACTATGCATAACAGCGATCCCCACCAGTACGGCAAATCCAGCAACCAGAAGTGGTCTTCTCCTGCACTGGTTCCCGTGTATACCTCGCATCCACATCAATAGCGTAGTCCCCACCATCAGCTCGTCGGACAATAGTAGGGTTTGGGGGTGATTGTGGTGTTGTCAATCAATAATCTATCTGGGTGTTTGCCGACTTGCCGAAACCGCCCATATTAGTGTCATTAGTAGAGGCTTAGGACTCTAAAGATTTGCCTGCCGGCCTAATTTCATGACCGAAACGAGTCCTGCTTATTTCGGTACCTACGCTGACTAGGCCAGAAAAACGACAAGGATCACCTGTGCAGAGACGCGGTTAATCTAAGAGATTCACTATGAAATAGCTGGACGTCTGTCTCGGTGATAAGAGTTACCGCATGAACTTTTTATCTCTTTTCAATCCGTATCCCACACATTCCTATAACTACAGCGTATACTTCCCGATAATTCCCACTGCAGCGTTGAAATAGGCAGTGCTTTCATAATTTCACCAAGATATCTCACCGTTCGTGCAATAGAGCGCGTCGGTGCTGTTCCCACTCTAGCAATTTCATTTATCTTTCCGGGGAGGTTCCGGCTCACCGAGGGTTCCTTTGTGAATCTGAAACCTTACGGTCGTTGCGTCATAACGCGTTCTGCCAAATTGCTTTTTACCTGATACAGGGCGGCTACTGCGGGCGCCATACTAATTTTTTGTTAGCGGCCTGGGACCTGGCGGCAGAGAGCTCCAGGCACGTTTTGATTTCTAGCCTCGTGTTGAAATAACAAGTACACCCATATATGGATTGTTCTGTGTTGACAAAGTGTTCCTCACCTATTACGATTTCCACGTATCGAGATCTTTGATATATCTCGCCTGCTAATTTCGGTGTACTGTTTGCTTGACCCAAAACCGTCCCAGCCAAATTGCAGTCGATCCGCCCGTATTGCATCCAGTTCATCAATCACTGAAGTCGCTTTTGCTGGTCCCTGTCTATTGAACCCGTGTACAGAACCTGACTCTCAACCTCCAGCCATTACTTCTTTAGCGGTCTTTTTTTTCTCGGAGCGTGAAATCAAACTATTCATTGATCTCCTTGCTATCGTTTAGTAAACCCACTTGCCACTGGTCTCTTTATTTGCTTTGCTTGCCATGGCCATCGCTCTCAACAAACGTATCAAGGCGGTCCTTCTCCTGGTCTTTACTTTCGTCTCCCTCTTCTACATCTTCCTGCCCGCACCGGCTGTCATCAACGAGGACATTGCGCACCACACCAAGGCCGGCACGCTAGCGACGCCCAAGGTGGCCCTGTCTAAACATGTGCTCAAGGACGAATACACGGAATGGTACAAGAAGGACCAGTACATCCCCTTGACCGTGTCTTCCATCAAGCCCAATGGGAACTCCTACACCAATACCCTCCACCTCGAGCAGTTCTCGTACAACGACCCTGCGTTCGGCTTGTGCAACGCTAACACCAAGTACTCCAAGGTGGAAGCCATGTTCCTGCAAATCGACACGCACCGCGTGATTGACTCGCTTGTGGCCAACTCCATGTCGCTGTCGTCGCTCTTCAGGGGCTCTAGCTTCCTAAACTCGTTTCTCCTAGACCAGTCCTATTCCGACAATGAGTATAACCGTGACGACGAAATCACGATCCCAGCCGTGCGCCTCAAGATGGACGAGCCCAACAACAACTGTGTATCCACCTGCAAGAAGGTGATGACCCCGGCGCAGCTGAGGAACATGAACCGTTTGATCCGCGAAGGATACGGGATATTCTACCAGGTTGGTGACCTTCCCGTTTATTACTCCAACATCGAGTACAACATCGAGTTTTCGTCCAAATTCGGCAAGGACTTTTTCAACTACGGGGTGCCACTCGGCTATGTGGACACCACCAACAACCGCACGTTGTACTACAACCATCACAACTTCTACTTGCACTACAAGAAGGTCAACGGGCGCTACAAGATCACCGAAATGTACGTGGCGCCAGTCTCTACGTACCGCGAGGACATAGATAACCGGTGGGGCTGCGCGCTTGACAATCCGCTCTTCCTCGATGAGACCGAGGATACCACCGTGTTGTACTCGTACTCCATCAAGTACATTGACGTGGCGAACCCGCAGAACCAAGCCTCCAACGAAGACACTACTCTCACCATTCCATACAACTACGAGGCTAAGCACTTCCGCAAGACCTGGATGCGCGTACAGGAGCTGATTGTGCGCACCAACAACAAGACCATGGTGTACTTGATGTTTGTGTTCTCCATGTTGGTGTATCTCCAGGACGGCATTTTCAACTTTACCGCGTCCTCCACCGTGGTGCATTTTGCCGATATGCGCATCTCGTCCGCGGGAAACACGGTCCTCTTTGTGGCATGCGTGGTGGTCTTCACGGCTCACATCCTCGTGACCATGGTGGTTGCGCTCTTCTTGAAGGTAGTGTTCTTCCACGACTCGGCCACGGTCTTGTCCTCAAACATGGTCAACATCGGGGTGGTGTGCTACATCGTGACCGCCGTGGGGATGGGCAACTTCCTCGTGGGCTACCTCAAGAAGCACTCGTACCTCCCGGTGACCGTGACCGATTTGGTATCCGCAGCGAAAGTGCGCACCGCGTTGTTGACTTTTGTCACGTTCGAGAACGCCGGAATCATCCTTATTGCGTTCTTTATCAATTTGATCTACCAGAGGCTCCGCGTTGTCAACTTTGCATTGTTCGTCTCTGCCGTCAACTACTTGCTCATCGCCCCGTTGATGCACTTCACCGACCAAGTCTTCGACACCGATGTCTTAGGCGTGCTCAGCTTCTTGGCCTTCAATCCAAACCACGCGGCCAACAGTGAGATTTCACATGACTACACCGGCACCTTGCGGCTCCCGGACCGCCCTAAGCTCGTGATGTTGGCGGCCATTGCCGCGTTGGTTTCCAATATTCCCATCTACCTCTACCTCACCGTGCTCAACTCGATTGTCTTCTACAATCGGTTGGTCAGCGTCAGCTACGCCGAGATGCTCTTTGCGCTCGTTTCATTTGTCATTTTGACCGTCTGTGCCAACTACATTGTCAACGTGATCGTCTTCAAAAACCATGTGTTTGTGCCCAGCAAGGACAAGGAGGGGTTCGAGATGGCTGTTTCCCGTTCCGCCTCGCCCGCAAACCCCGCTGGTAGCACCGGTTTTCCTGAGAAGCCGATTGTCAAGATTGATATTCCGGCGAAAGACTTGGGCCAGATTGTGCTTGTGAATGTGTTGACTAATATTGCAATTATATTCTTGTTTTTGGTATATATCAACAAGCAGTTACTTGTGGGCAGTTCCGCCTATACCTTGGTGGGGTTCAGTGTGCTTTATGCCACGATTGCCTCGGTGGTGAGTATTATCAGCGTGGGTCTTTCCCTTGTCACGTTGTTCTAAAGGGAGAACACCCCTCCATCTGTTGCAATTTGGGCCCTTTTCGTCCCTTGTTGTTAATGATTTCTTTTTTTGTTTTCCTTTGGTGGAATCTGGCCCACTGGCTAGGTTACCTCTCTGAGTTGCATCCACTGGCTTTGTATTTATATAAAATTAACCCTTATCGGTTTATGTAGAGCCTATGAAATTGGACGTATCCTGAGTCCAGGTCATATGTAGTCCTGATGGGCCTTCGATATTCAGCTTAGTCAGGGCAATGCGGATTTGTCGGGCGATTCCCCCCTTGGGCTGAGTGCGTTATCCGTGTAAAATCGATAGTTGTTTCGGGTTAACCGTCCTTAGTATCCGAAACCTCAATTGCCATGCACTACGACGGCATCGCTGGTCTGTAGCCTTAGTGGTACCTGAACGGTATCGTATAACACTTGTTACAAGTTGTCCTGGTATATTATATAATAAAATATCGTAGAATGAAAACAGAAATCGTGTTTGGCTCTGTTATGCAACAAGACCATATTGCGCCGCAATGCTGCATTCATTGCAGCACTGCGCTTTTGTGTACGGTCTCGGACAATATTACCGTCAGTAAGTAGGTAGATACTGAGGGGTAATCAAATACCTCCTCTGAGCTTCTGGCAGTTGTGCCCAATTCAAATCCTTCTCGCTATTGCATCTATTCATCTCGTTCTGCACAATTGAATATTTCCCATTCATTCTGCTTTTCCTAGTTGTATCATGAATCTCCCGCCACTTGATGATGATTACCAAGAGCCTCGTGCTCTGTCTCAATCGCCGTATCAACAGCACAACATGTATAACGTTTACCGATCCCAGTACGACCCCTACAAGTACGATGAGTATGCCGAGGTCAGCTATCCTGAAGACCCTGTATACGTTAAGAAACCTTCCGATTCAAAGTACCCCGGGTGTTCTGAAGCAAATGGGATGCCTTTACTGGAGGAAGATATTCACAAAGTGTTTGCTGACTTGGGACATGTTTTGGGGTTTCAGAGCGACTCCGTTGCCAACATGTTGGAACACTTTATGATCCAACTTGACTCTCGTGCCAGCCGGATGAGTGCGCTCCAGGCTTTGGACTCTCTCCATTGCGATTATATTGGTGGTGAGCACTCTAACTACCGCAAATGGTACTTTGCGGCCCAGTTGGATTTGGATGAGGAGGTGGGGTTTGCCAACATCAAGTTTAACCACCAATACGGGAACAAAAAGTTCAAGGGGAAGAAGAAGGGAGAAAAATCGCGCAGTTATTCCTTGACATATCCTCAGACCGGCGAAGTGCTCCGGAGCGCGGAGTTCAAGTGGAAACAAAAGATGCTGGGCTATTCTGTGGTTGAGAGAGTTAGACATGTCGCGTTGTACTTGTTGCTCTGGGGAGAGGCCAATAATGTGAGGTTTCTTCCCGAAACACTCTGCTTTATCTTCAAGTGTGCCCTAGACTATCTTGAGTCCACAGCTGAAGCCAAAGCTTTGCCACAAAATGACTACCTAGATCGAGTCATCACCCCCCTTTACATGTATATCAGGCAACAACAGTACGATTTGACCGACGGAAACTGGGTCAAGAGCGAAAAAGACCACAGTGCGGTGATCGGCTACGACGACATCAACCAGTTGTTCTGGTACCCCGAAGGCTTGGATGGCATCGTTTTCACCGATGGAACGCGTCTCGTGGATCTTCCGCTCGGTGAGAGGTACCTTTCCCTTGGGGACATCTCCTGGAAGGACTCGTGCCGCAAAACCTACTACGAAACCCGCACCTGGCTCCATGTGGTTACCAACTTCAACCGCATCTGGATCATCCACGTTTGTGTGTTCTGGTACTACACATCGTACAACTCCAAACCCCTCTACACCCGAAACTACTCCCAGCTTTTGGATAACAAACCGCAGCCCCACGCGGTCTGCTCGGTGATGGCTTTTGCCGGAACGCTAGCCTGTTTTGTCCAAATACTTGCCACCCTTTCCGAATGGGCCTTTGTGCCTCGAAAATGGCCCGGTGCCCAGCGTCTCACCAAAAGAATGCTTCTCTTGCTTCTCGTCACGGCGGTAAATTTTGGGCCATCTGTTTACATTTTGGGGCTTGTTGCTTTGGACGAGTATTCCCTCGCCGCACGAGTCATCGCGGGTGCCCAGCTTGCCATCTCCTTTGTCACGGTTGCTTGGTTTTCGTATCAGCCGCTAGGGAGCTTGTTTACCGGTCTCCGTGTCAGGAATTCCCGCAGATTCACCACATCCCGCACCTTTACTGCTTCCTTTCCTCAGCTCAACCCCCGTGGTCACTTTTTCTCCGTGGCTTTGTGGGTCTGCGTATTTGCCGCAAAGTTCTCCGAGTCCTATTTCTTTCTCACATTGTCGCTCAAAGACCCCATTCGAAACTTGGCAACCATGTCCATGACCCGGTGCGTGGGGGAGGTCTACTTCGGCAGTCGCCTTTGTTTGCATCAGGCAAAGCTTGTGTTGCTCCTTATGTACGTGGCCGATTTGATCCTCTTTTTTCTTGACACGTATCTCTGGTATATCATTTGCAACTGTATCTTTTCGGTAGCCCTAGCATTCTCGCTTGGTATGTCGGTGCTCTCGCCCTGGCGAAATATCTTCACCCGGCTTCCAAAGCGGATTTTCTCAAAGATCTTGTGCTCAGCCATGACCGAAAATACCTACAAACCCAAGCTCCTCGTTTCACAGATCTGGAACGGTATCGTCATCTCTATGTACCGAGAACACCTCCTCTCGTCGGATCATGTCAGGAACTTGATCTACGATAGGTCAGAGGAGGGCTGCGAGTTGCGAACCCCATTGTTCTTTGTATACCAGGACGACAGCGCCCTCACTCTCAACGATTTCTTTCCACCCAACCTGGAAGCAGAACGAAGAGTCACCTTTTTTGCCCAGTCCTTGGCTACGCCGATTCCTGAACCTGTCCCCACAGATTGTATGCCCACCTTTACCGTGCTCATACCTCATTACTCCGAGAAGATCTTGCTCAAGCTCAAGGAAGTTATTCGTGAAGATAAGGACTCAAAACTCAGTTTACTAGAGTATTTGAAGCAGTTATCCCCCATTGAATGGGAATGTTTTGTCAAGGATACGAAGCTCATTTCCCGGCAAGAAGCCAGCAGCGAGGCATCTGACGAACAGCCCACCGTCCATCAGCTCTTGAAGGGAAACATAGACGATTTACCATTCTACTGTGTGGGATTCAAGAGCTCGTCGCCATTGTACACCCTCAGAACGCGTATCTGGGCTTCCTTGCGGACCCAGACGTTATATCGAACGGTTTCCGGCTTTATGAACTATCACAGAGCGATTAAACTCTTGCACCGGGTAGAGAATCCAGATATCTTGGAGTACTACGGGACCACCCCCGCGGAAATCGAATACGAGTTAGATGTGCTCGCCAGGCGGAAGTTCTATTTGATCGTGTCCATGCAGCGGTACCAGCAGCTATCGAAAGACGAGCTTGAAGACGCAAATTACTTGATCAGGGCCTACCCGGAACTCAAAATTGCTTACTTAGATGAAGTCACGGAGGCGGATGGGGTCAGCTACTACTCCACTCTTTTGGAGGCCCAGCGGGACGGGGAAGCCATCGAGGTGGTGCAAAAGTACCGGATAAAGCTCTCTGGGAACCCCATTCTTGGCGATGGCAAGTCGGATAATCAGAACCACGCGTTGATCTTTTACAGAGGCGAGTACATCCAAGTAATTGATGCTAACCAGGACAACTACCTCGAAGAGTGTTTGAAGATCCGTTCAGTGCTCTCTGAGTTTGAGGAGAATGAGATCGACCCTTCACCCCCGTATATTCCCGGTGTGCCTTACCAAGACATCAGTCCCGTGGCGATTCTTGGGGCTCGAGAGTACATCTTCTCGGAAAGTATTGGGGTTCTAGGGGACATTGCGGCGGGGAAGGAGCAAACTTTCGGGACCTTATTTGCCCGGACCTTAGCGGAGATCGGAGGGAAGCTCCACTACGGCCATCCTGACTTCCTCAATGCAATATTTATGACCACTAGGGGGGGGATTTCCAAGGCCCAAAGGGGGTTGCATCTCAATGAAGATATCTACGCAGGCATGAACGCGGTCGCGCGTGGTGGAAGAATCAAGCACTGCGACTACTTTCAGTGCGGAAAGGGACGGGATCTTGGGTTTGGCTCTATTCTCAATTTCACCTCCAAGATTGGTGCTGGCATGGGCGAGCAGATGCTCTCCAGGGAGTACTACTACATGGGGACCCAGCTCCCACTCCACCGCTTCCTCTCATTCTACTACGCCCACCCAGGGTTTCACGTGAATAATCTTCTCATCATCCTCTCTGTCCAGTTGTTTATGTTTGTGTTGTTGAATTTGGGGGCGCTTGCCCGCGAGTCGATTATGTGTATCTATGATAAAGACGTGCCGATAACTGACCTTCATCGGCCGATTGGGTGTTACAACCTCCGGCCGGTATTAGATTGGGTAGACCGCTTCGTTCTCTCCGTATTTATCTGCTTCTTTATCTCGTTTGCTCCATTGGTGGTTCAGGAGTTGTCGGAGCAAGGGATCTGGAAGTCTGTCATCCGCTTGTCCTTCCACCTTATCTCCATGGCGCCAGCTTTTGAAGTTTTTGTGTGCCAGATTTACTCCAACTCTCTTAAGACAAACATTTCCTTTGGTGGGGCCAAGTACATTCCCACCGGAAGGGGCTTTGCCACCTCTCGTACCTCATTCTCGCTTTTGTATGCCAGCTACGCCCAAAGATCCATCTACCTCGGGGCCAGAGTCTTTCTCGTTCTTCTTTTCGCATCCGTGGCTATGTGGCAAGTCTCGCTTCTCTGGTTCTGGCTCACAGTTGTTTCCCTCTGTCTCTCGCCGTTCTTCTTCAATCCCCACCAGTTTTCATGGACACCGTTTTTCCTTGATTATAGGGATTACATCCGTTGGCTCACACGGGGGAACACCAAGTCTCATCACAACTCATGGATTGGGTTTATGAAGAGCTATAGGGCAAAGTATACTGGCTACAAACGGAGAAAACTCCAGGGCGGAACGGATTCACCCGCTTCCACGTTTCTGAGGGTTGTGAGGGGAAACTTGATCTTCTCCGAGGTGCTACTCCCCTTTTGTGGAACTTTCTTCACCTTTGTGGCCTACACTTTTATCAACGCCCAGAATGGGGTCAAGGAATACGACTCGGTGAATTCCATCCTACGGATGCTAATCGTCGTGTTTGCTCCAATCGTGCTAAACGTGTGTACGTTGTTGGGGATCGGAACCTTTGTCTGCATTCTTGGACCGGCGTTCAATATCTGCAGTAAGCGTCTCGGCGTTTACACTGCTGGTTTGGCCCACACGTTGGCCATTGTCTATCATGCCCTATCCTTCCAGGTGTTGTGGTTAATGGAGGGGTATGACTTCACCCGAACCTTGGCAGGCTTCATCTGTGTGGTTTACTTCCAGCGGCTCATCTTCAAGCTTATACTCGTCTTGTTCGTCACTCGTGAACTTCAGGAGTATCTGCCGAATACATCCTTCTGGTCAGGTGTGTGGTTTAACCGTGGCATGGGCTTTCTCGTGCTCTCACAGCCCGTAAGGGAGTTTTTTGTGAAGGTAGTTGAGATGAGCTTCTTTGCGATGGACTTTTTCCTCGGTCATTTTCTCTTGTTTTTGATGGTTCCCTTCCTTCTTGTGCCGTTGATTGATGTGTGGCACTCTAGTTTGCTCTTTTGGTTGAAGCCCCACGCCACGAATCTCAGTGCCCCAATTCTATCCAAGAGGCAGCGACGGGTAAGGAAAAAGCGAATGGTGAAGTACTTCCTCTTGTATTGTTGTATTTTGCTTTTGTTTGCTGCGCTATTGCTCGGGCCATTTTATGGTTCTAAGTATATCCCAGAATTTCGCTCCACTTTACCGACCATGGCAAAGGAGTTGTTTCAGCCGGTTCACCAGAATAGGAATGATACAGGCAGCAGAGCCCCTCATACAATCGTAGTGGTGGCACCAACCGTACGACAGGCTTAAGGTAAGTGACCGATGTTTAAATTTCGTATTTTTGGTCAAAGATGTAATACTTTAAGTCTATTTTTGTGGTAAGCGATCACTTCGGTAAACTTGAAAACTGGAATTCTGCCCTCAATTTGTGTGGCTCATCGTTTCGACTATGAAAATAGCAGGTATAGTCCAGCCTCCTGGTAGTTCTACAAGCTAGGACTTGGACATCTTTTTGTTCCTCCTCTAAGAGTAGCTATTACCGTTTACGTATAGGCTCACCAAGTGCAGTGTACAAGTCAGATCTTTGCGTATTATTCCAGGATAGGATTAACGCTGCTTGGATATATGCTTGACTTTGGAAGTATGATGAAGGGGTAACTGTATTATAATATATACCAGAGTATGAGTTATAGTAATAATTTTACTAATAAGTATTTATTATATATGCGTATTCACACGTGATTCCATATATATATACCTGTCGGTCAGCAAAAGAGTAATTATCTACATATAAACCTATTAACCATATATATATACATTTAGATTAATCTCCGCCTATGAAATATCATGCCTGAGATCAATATACGTGTTAGACTGATCAGGCACTAAATATATTACACTGTAAGTTTGACATGCATACTAACCACTATACTATTCATTTGTAACGACCAGGGCTGTTATTCGAGTCGCACTCTGACTTTTCTGCAATAAAGTTAACGTATGCTGACTATATGGGAATTACAGGCTACTCAGTATACCATACAGCATACGTGTCGATGGTGCCTATTTGATCCAAGATTTGAGCCGGTATCGGAGTTGCGATGACGACATACCGGGCACAGAGAAGAGAAGCGTAGGCCGATAGACAACTCCAGAAACCGTATGCATCGCAGTTTGAAACCTCGTTATACATAGACGCATAGCTCAACCGTTATGCGTGCAGATACAAGTACCTCTCCAAGCCTGGATTATGCGGCGGATTCGGGCTGAGAAAACAGACCACCGTTGCATGCATGTTTGTATGGTATAATCCGGGTATTGTACGGGTGTCAGAAACGTAGCCAAGTGGACGAGCAAAGAGCTCCGGCATCGGCTGTATACTTACTCATGGTAGCTGCAGAAACAAAGAGCTTGTGATTGCTGGGTAGGGAGCATACATAGGCAGCTGTACAGGTTGAGGCATTAAATCGCTACCGTAGAAGTCATACGTCTCCGCTAAAATACTTAGATTTTGATATCGGAGTCTAGTGGAGCTCCAGGGGGGATAGTCAACTAAACAGGAACCAATGCAGCCAAGAAAGACGCCGCCCTGGCGTGATAAAATCCCGCCGGGATTCCTGACTCGGTTTCTGACTTTGGGTTCAGAGTTTTGACGCGCCGCTGTCAATGGCTTCGCAAATATGACTCGAGACGGTATTTTTTTCTCTCTGCAAGGAATAATATTTATTTGTATCATATACAAATTTTCCAGCCTAAGATAATAACGGTCTTGCAGTAATGCAGGCAAGCCCACCGCAACCCACAAGGTCTAGTGCAGCTTCCAAAGTTCGCTCATCCTTCCGACACGGAATGGTATGCGCTTCCAGGATGCGTCGAGGGTCTCATATATCGGAGCTCTTCGGAGGTAGATATAGTTATCGGTATTGACCCTACACGCACCAGTTACCAGAATTCTGAACAAGACTGCAGAACGAGAGAGCCGTCTGGGTGTAATAATTATAGTTGTTGGTGTTTTGGCGTATACTCAACGTACGTAATATCTCACCACAATTGCGTCATAATTCCAGCAGATTCCAGCAGATTCCAGCCTTTACGCTTCCAACTCAAGCGGATGGAGGTTACTGTGGACCTATGGGGTAAGAGTCAGAATATAAGCACACTGCCATGGGAGGTGATTTGATGCATGCACGGGGAAATTTTTCATTAAGCACATAGTTGGGTTTACTTATCCGCATATGCAAAATGGCTGCATAATCCTGCTCTAAGCCGTTTCCTGACCATCTCCGAGGTTGCGAGAGAAGGGAGAAAAGGAGTGCTCTGGATGTAACATGCGGTTATAGGCGGCTATAGTGTTTTGAATATGGAATGCCTTTGATCAGAATAACAAGGAGAGACTATTATGAGACTATGAGACTATTCTAACAGCGATGACCACATCTTGTACACACTGACGTTTTTTTCGATATTACGGGTATATTAACACAAGTTTTCGCCAGTAAATAATCTCTGAAACGAAAACATTGCATGTAGCTGTAGAACTGCTTTTGGCATAATGGAAAGTGGTGTTTGGACACGTGCCCATCAGTGTAGGCACGTGCTTATCGGCGTAGGGAATGTTCATGGGTTATAGACAACGCTCATGGGTATAGACCATGGGCGTAGACACGTGCCCATACGTGAAAGCTATCTAAAGTTTGTCCAAACTTGGAATGTCTCTCATTCGATAAGGAATTATATCTAGTGCTGGGCCAGGAAACCACCGTCAAGATTAAAGTCTTCCTCGATGGATGTATATCTGGAAGAAATGAAGCTATTGCGGCTATAGATTTATGCCGTTGCTACTACAGCCATTTACTCACTCTAAGATGTACACCACTGAAACTCAGCCCCCGGTCAAAGGAATTTCCCATTTGAGTATCTGACTACAAGTCCACCCTAGCAGCTGGCCCTGTGCCGTGTTATGGTATAAATCTCGGGCGATGAGACTAACAAACCCGCCTGGAAAATGTTCCACTGTAGCCAATTAATATACAAAAACAATCACTCGTCTTGTCAAAGAGCAGGAGGCCAGGCCCTTTCCACAAAAAAGCGAGGATACCCGTTTTAACGCATTGAATGTACTATGCGCCTACCCAGATAGTAAAGATAAGGCCTGGGCAAGAGGCCAAATGACTAATATACATCGTTGGGCTATTGTTTTACACAACTGGCTAGGTACCACCACGTCAACATGCGCCATATCCTCCTACATACCCATTGTGTTTGACATGGCTGAAACCTAAACCTACGGGTGGGAAATTAAAACACCCCTGGAAACGTTTACCCATACAGTAACCTCAGCATAAACAAACTTTATCTCACGCGAAAGTATCCCAAACCTCCACGTGAAAGTGCGCCCAAACCACCGTGGGCAGGTGTGTAGCAATATGTCCTACAAACGTGCTGCATAGGCGCATGACACCCGCACTTTCAGGAAACGCAGCCCAGCTGCACGCGCTATTAAATTGCAAACGTCGCGCCCGTTTTGTCACGCCGCATCAACGGTAGCGATTGCTCCCCTCTTTATCTGTTTGATGTGACCCCGAACGTAACCTCATGCATGCCGAAAAAGAAACCACATAACAGCTATATAGCGCTATCTCCCAAGTACCGATAAAACTTGACACAATCCCAACTCTGGATATTCGCATTTATACTCACTTCTATACTGGTACCGTCTAGATATACCGTATACAATCTTTTCTCCACTACAATCCTCGCTACAATCTTGTTCCCCTTTCGCTGCAAATCCTGCCCACAATGAATCAAATACACATCGAGAAACTACACAATCTGGTGGCGGTCTCGCCCCAGCTACATAGCCCGCGGCCAATGTCGCCCGCGCTCCCCTCGCCCTTGCAAAACGCCCGCCATGCGACACCTACGCTTGACGACGTGCTCCAGCAGCAGTTCGAGAGCACGTTTGTGCCGCCACCATACAACATGGCCACCTTTGCGGAGTTTCTCGCGCGCACCCACCAGCTCGAGAACTTGGAGTTTGTGCTTGAGACGATCAAGTATGTGAATGTAACCGAGACAGGGGTGAAGGTGGATGCATGGATGCACTTGTACCGCAACTTTCTCGCGGAGGACTCGGTCAAAGAGGTGAACCTCCCGCACGCGGTTAAGGATAAGCTTCTGCGCTACAATGGGCACATACAGAGCGCGGAGTACGGGCTTTGCGACGATGCGGTGATTGTGGACGCGCACAAGATCGTCAAGGTGCTCTTGGCAGATGCGTACGTTGAGTTTGCGCAGACCGTGCGACGCTCGCAGCTGATCCTGGGCGTCAGGCCCGTGGCTGGCGACTATCAGTTTGGGCAGGCTACCAAACCCAGACGTGCGTCCGAGTACGAGTCACCGCTCCAGGAAGCGCCACACCGGGCCATTACTCTGCCCCTTTCGCCTGCCCACCCGACCTCTAACCCACTCTCTGTCCAGATCGACGAGGAGGCGGTCATCGACGAGGAGGACTACTTCAAGCAGCCGTCACGTAACGGGTCCAACAGTAGCGGCCGTACGTTAGTCTCGGAAGCCGAGTCTCGCGATAGCCGCCAGAGCTCCGTCGAGCGTGATGTACGCAAGAGTAATACCCGCAAGAACTCAAATGACATGCTCTGGGGGATGAAGAAGGTCGGACGCAAGTTGATATACTCAAAGTGGCGCCGCACCAGTAGCACCTCCTCCGCCTCTGGCGTGGATCTGAAGACCCCGCCACCTAACTAATGATAGATTTTTAATGAATAATGAACCGGAATGAGTGTAGAAGACGGTAACGTGACCACGGCCATTATGTCATACCTTGCGGGGAATGACCTGCTTTTAGGTTTGGGCAGATTGGTTACATATGCACTGAGCCAAATTAGGTTTTATACTGTCTCAGGCTAACATTAGGTTTTACTTAGGCTTTTTCTTATGCTTAAGGCACAGCCGTCATTGGACTATACTTTTCATAGCACTGGAGGGTGCGTTTTATCTTTGTTGCCTGCGTGAAAAATTTGATAGAGGTAGGAACCAAGGTTAGAGCGGTTTGACCTGGAATGAGGGGGAGTGATCAGGTCGGTCAGTGTCATTGCCAGTTATAATTATCGCTTGTACGTCAAGGGTGGTTTTGTAGCTCGTTGTACGTCGTCAGTGATTCGAGGTTGCTGGATTCTTTTCCAGGTGGTGATATTTAATCGATCGGTGTAAAACTCCTATCTCCTCTCTAGAAATTCCAGAATTGGGAAACATCTATTCCCTCAACTCTATATACTGTTGCTTAAAGATATACGTCAGAATGGACATGTGCATCTGGAAGCATGGCCTTCACTGGACCTAAGCCGTTTTTGCTTTGCTTACTCCAGTGGGTATCACTTCACCGAAGTCATAGACGTTGGTACTCTAGAATATACTTTCCCTCGGCACGACTAGGCAAAGTTCTAGAAATAGCACCGTCGCTCGATAAATCTGCCAAGGGACTGGGAACAAGCCACGCGTCTCGAGCCACTTGATCCTTTTAGGACCACCCCCACACAACAAATGAGCTTATAACCGGACTACAACAAAAATTGCTGACATCAGCTGTTGTCCCCCAGCGTGTTACAGACTTTTGCACCCCCCTTATGCGTGGAGAACCCCCACTAAAGGTTGGAGCATATGCACGTAGTGCGTTGAAAGGCGCAACCCTATGGGGTTGACTCTAACAGCGAGACAATGGCACCAGCTCGAAAAACTTAGGTACGTATGTTTGGTAAATTCAGGACAACTAAACACCTTAACATAGCTCCACGTTAGAATGCTTGGCTATATCCATTAGTGTGAAATGCTTCAGCAAAGTCTGCCGTCCGTAGGTCGATATGCGTGTCTGAACGCTAGTAATATCAGAGGCAGTTGTTTGTGCATAGCAGAGGTTGGGCCTAGAACTGTTTCTGGCACACAGCGGCCAGTAACCACGCTACGGATCCTTTACTCCGAGCAGACCATCTCCTCCAACTCACTTCCTTTATCCTGTAGAAAACTTCGAGCTTGTCGAAGCCGATCGGATAGACTCGCTCGCCTGTAGTAGATAAACCTGGCGGAGAGATTCGCCCCGTAGAGCTTGGATCTCCGAAGGTACAGTTAGGGTGCCGATAAGGCTCAGCGGCCCGCGCGGGTATACCAAGATGTGCAGCTGCACCTTTCGGGGGGGTAAACCCCAGAAATGTGTGTTTAAACGTAAAGAATGGCAGAGAAGTTCGAAACCGGGCCGTGGGAGGTAAAGCGACAGTTACAATATATGCATATGGATCGAAAAGGATTAATTAACGTAAATGGTCAAGGAGGAATACTGGTTCTATGACATAGGTTCAGGCTTACAAGCGAGAGGTATTTTGGGTACGGCTAGGATTTAATCCCTTTCGTAGACTAATATCAAGGGCAAGGTAAACACATTTACAGTAATGGAAAAAAAAAAAAACATTAGGCATATGGGCGATCTGAGTGGCTCCGCTAGCAGAATTGATCTGCACTTCGCACGTTCCTGAGGTGTGATATCCATCTTTGATGGCGGATGCTGGTCATTCACGTAAACAGCTGCACGAGTTGTACTCACTCCCCTCGCGAGTGGCAGGACGCATATTTCCTTTTAGACGAGTATGAGCCCCCGACTATACTACTCCCTCGTTGCTCCCCCCATGACTACGCCTAAACCGTTATACCTTAGTCTTTGCCCTGAAGGAACTTTACAGTTTTAGACTGATCGAGCCCAATACAAAGTAAGAAAAAGGTTTCATACAGTTCCAAGTGGCTTGAGATCAGCTGCAGAAAGATAAACAGCTAAAATATACGCCTAATAGCGAGCGGGCCGTGTTTCTGGCAACAGAGAGCGGGGGTTCGGCGAAAGCTTGCCTGAAATGAAGCGCACAGTTTCCCGCGCAAAAGTTTAGCAAGTTGTACATATCAGGCTAAATTGCTAGTATTGATTAACCACCGCTGATCCCAAAAATGTGCGCACGAATGCATGCACACCTCTCCTCTGGTATGGAATTCAGGATTTCTCTATCGATAATCCCAAGCCATATTCTTAGATCGCCTACGTAACTTGATAGAGACGATGAGTATATTAGCCTCAATTATCCCCTAGAAACTGGCATGACGATGAGGTCGGACACCAGGAACCAGCTGACCTTCTGACCAAACCCCAAGCCGATTGCCCTCCGTCTACTGATTGAGTCTCAAAAAGCCTTACTATTTCTCTTTGGTCCAAAACATTACGATACAGGTGCCCGATGTCGTCTGGGATGATTTAGGTAGTCGGAAAGGTAATTCTTACAGGATATCGTTTGGAGCGGGTCTAGAGAGGTTTGGATAGGCTCGTGAATGACTTAAAAGTCTAATTAGAGTGTGAAACCTTTGCATCCAGTGGGTGGTCGTTAGACCATGACTAGAGCCCTGTCTAGATCCACGCCAGGTAGTTTAAGTTTGTGACATTTGATTTTCCAGACCAAGGGCGAGGATGCTTTGTGGCCCTTGCATTGTTCAGTGTACTGGCTACTTATGGATTCACGTGGGACCCAGCGGGAAAGCACATATGGGAAAGATGGTCCAAGCCTTCCGCAGCCATATAATGCCATTCGCTATCACCCTAGGAAAATGCCACTATGGTAAAACTGAATGGGAGCGCACCAGGAGACTAAACCTTTATGGAGGGCCATTTGAGTCGGAAACCTAGAAGAGTCACAGCCCGTTTAGCATGTGCTAGTACCTTCACTTTCTAGACAACAGAAATTGACCCCCGCTATCCACTCACGCCGTGCCAAGACGACGATATGTTTAAATTTAATCTTGGTAAATTATGTGCGGGAATTTTAATACCCTCAGCACCAGTAATTTCCACCAATCTTATGCATGATTGCGAAATAGAGATGCACCCCCCCTTTACCCTCTACTCTCCCTGCGTTTCAGCCATGGCACGTGATATTTGCTAGGGCTGAAAAGCAGTCATGTTTTTTTTCTTCCCAAGCCCGATCGTAATACATGCCTTGACTGGCGCCGCACGCTCTGGCGCTGAGAGGGGAAAAGAAGTACCGGGGAGGTAGTTGTCACGTGATTAAGACGTGCACATACCAGCTGGTAAAAATTCGTTGAAGTTTTTTTTTTTCCAGCGCTGTTACTATGGCAGACGGCGCCGTAAGGTGCACTGGGCGGATGTCGCATAGTGTAGGTGCCACCTCGAACTCTTTTCATTAAATAAGGTGTACAAAAAAACCGTACCCTGCCTTTACAAAGGCCTCTTTTTTTAGATCAACCAGACTATATACATTTAAAATGGCTGTACGTGACGCTCCGAACCTCCCGTGATACGGTCCGCAAGAATTTTGCCCCAGTGAAAGAACGAAAAGCGGAAGTGAATTGGCGAAGAGGCCGCTACCTTTACCCAAAGGGCTATTCCGCCAGGACTTCTCAATGAGATATCATGCCAATAGCCGAAGCAACAGAACCCAGAATGGTTATTTTCCGGCATAAGACTGGACTTCTCCCCGGTGCCCTTCCAGGCTTGTGCCAACTTCGTTTATATATTCACCGCACTTATTTCTTGCAGACGTTCTATCCGGAATAATACTAACACCTTCTAGCGTGAAATCAAGGACATCAAGCAATTCGTTGAATTAACCAGACGTGCTGACGTTAAGACCGCTCTTATCAAGGTCAACCAGAAGTTGAACGCCAACGGTAAGAAGTTCAAGCAGACCAAGTTCAAGGTCAGAGGTTCCAAGTACACTTACACCTTGGTCGTCAACGACGCCGCCAAGGCCAAGAAGTTGGTCCAGTCTTTGCCAACCACCTTGGAAGTCACCCACTTGTAAATTTCCTAACGTTATTTCCAATTGATAACACACAAAAGGTTTTTATGAGGGTTTACGGGTTTGATTTTTCTCCACATACGAAATATTAAAATTGAACTGAATGGTTAGTTTTTGTTTTGTATAACTGATGCATTAATAATACTTTATTTGGTCATTTTTAATCTCCGTGTAGGTTCGCAACTAGATAGCTAAGGGGGGCTTCGTGGTCACACAGCTAGTGTGTAAGCTCGTAGATGACGGCACGGCAGAGGATTGTGCTTGGGCACTAAGATGTCTTGTTTCTGGAGACCTTTCTGGATGGAAACTGAGTACTGGTTAAAGGATTAAGAATTAGTACAAGCCAAGGCCCTGTCTTTGAGGTTACACTCTGTTAATTCACCGTGCTATTGATACAATACTCGTCAATACTAATCAAACAAGCTATTCTAGCTTACGAATAGTCTTTTGACACGTATCCATGCAGTAGTAAATCCTCAGCGATAAACTCTTCATTGATCAGGTGTGGTACCCAATTTAACCTCCATTTTTTTCTCCAAATTTATAATTGAAAAAGAAGCAATCATTAGTGGTTGCTTTTCTGGATAGGCTTATCTAGTTCGGATGAGGCCTCAATTATGCATGTCGAGGTTATCTCACCCACGTTGCATGAGTGTAGCTTGTAACCCACTGCTAAATACCCAATATAAAGCAGAACTCCAAGATATATGTCTAATCGATTCCTTGGTTCTAATAAGTTCCAGATTAAAACTTTGACTAATGTGTTCTTGCTACCGTGACAACCTCATCGGACTGACATCGTATAGTACAGAATTGCAGGTATAAGGCGTACTATTTTATAGAAACCTAATTTTAGTTGTTTAAGCGCACACCTGACAGTAGTTCTGACTGTAAACATTCTTCCAGAAGATAACACCTCTCTCAGAGGCCCAGGCTGATGATATTTCCGATGCTGTCGCTACACATGAATAGGGCTCGGACGATAGCGCTTAATTTGATACCTACTTGCCGGATCCACCATTGAACTTGTCTAAGCTAGCAAAAAAAAAGGTAGGCACTATACCCCATGATTCCCAGCTGGTTTAACAAAGATAGCAATTTGTTAATAGATAATTATTAACAAATCTCTAGGGTATGAAACACACAGCCGATACTCAGACGTGCGTGACCCATTCACGTGATGATAAAAACCTGACCTCAAAAGAGACGCCGCATTGCCTTGGCTCTCCACTCCTTTCGCCTCCCCAATCTCATCCATGTCGTCGCCAACGGTTCTGCCAGCCAAGGCGCGAAAGGTCAAGCGCGAAGAAGACATTGACATTGTACACGACTCGGACGAAGACTTCAAAGACCTGGAGCTTGCGATCGACTTCGACCCCGAAGATGTTTTTGACGAGGAGTCGCTTGACTTAGACACAACGCTTCTGGGCCAGAAGATCTGGCTCTTGCGGTTACCACGCTACCTATCGTCGAAATGGAAGGGCAACGTTGATAAGCTCTCGGGCCAGCAGATCGGGATGGTGCGGATCAAGAAGTCGCTGAAGCCGAACGAACGGCCACGGGTGAAGTTGGAGATTGACGACATCAAGTTGAAGGAGCTTGAGAAGGAGATCGATGCGGTTATCGATAAAGAAAAGAGCAGCTATGCAACCAACACACCGTCTACGGAGATCCCCAGGGAGTACGACGTGAACATTCTCAACTCCAAGGTGATGAACCAGTACGTGTTTAACGAAAAAAACTTGGTCAACTACAAGGCTGAGTACCACGCGGTCAACCCATTGCCTGTTCAGCCAGATTTGCAACCGTTGACGGCCAAACAGCAGTACCAGAAGCAGCGCTTCCGCGCGTGGCAGCAGCGCCAGGACGAGGCGATGCTGCGCAAGACGGGTGCCGTACCGTCGATCGAGGACGACAAGCCCATGAGACGGTACATTCCGTTTGTCAAGACGATTCCCAAGAAGACCAAGCTCTTGGGTGCGGTCGTGCACGACTGTCAGGTGATGCCGTCACGCACGGACGCGCGGTTTGCAAACATCAACCGCATCACAAAGATGAAGATCCCGACGGTAAAGGTGCGCCCGAAGGTGACATTATTGGAGGAGGTTCCCGGGATCACGCAGTCGAACGTGGGGCCGTCGTTACGTGGGGGGCATGTCACCACCGGCTTTTTGCAGCGGAAATCCGCCAATACCAACGCCGACGGCACCGGAAGGGCCATCAGAATGCCCAAGACCGATTTGCTAGACTTGTTGTTCCGTTTGTTTGAGGAGTATGAGTATTGGTCCATGAAGGGCTTGAAAGAGCGCACCAGACAACCCGAGTCGTATCTTAAGGAGAGCTTAGACAGCATCGCCACGTTGATCAAGAAGGGGCCATACACGTCCAAGTATACGTTGAAAAACGAGTACAAGAAGTTGCGGGATCAGGAAAGGGCTGCCGACGGTGACAGACCTGTCCGGGTTCCTGATGCTGAGGACAACGAGGATGACGATGTGGAAATGGTTGATATTGCGTAGGGATGTTGAATATAATGAAAGGGTCAAGAATATAGTGTAAAACTGCAAACAGAGAGAGCCTTGAGGAAGGAAAGGCAGTTACTTTTAGATAATGCACCCAGCCCTTATAAACTCGCAAGACAGCGAGATAGAACAGATACGGGTGGATAGATAGCTGTCACCCATGCTATCCGTTTGGGCGACGGCTGATAAACGCTGAGTCGCGTTGATATTTGGGCACTAGCTACTTTTGAAAATGTAGCTAGCTTGGATAATTTCTTCGAATGACAGAGGCACCATCCGTCATCTCTCACATAAGAATGTATTTAAGTTGTCCATACCGGACGTTAATCTTTGCAAAGTATGGATAGAGGGTAGGGTATTTGAACAACCCACGGTTGGCCTTCAGCCCCTACAGCATATTAATTCATCGCCAATATACAGATTTTTACAACATTTTAAATAAATTCATAAATTTGGGTTTCCAAAACTCAAAAGACTATCAAATTTGATGTGGGGGGAGTGAAGTGTATGGCCAATGTTATCATGATCTTGGTATGCAGGTGGGAATATCTTTCAGCCGAGCGGATATTTTCAGCACCCCCCCACACATTTCAGATATTGTGATCCCGGCACGGAATAATCCGGAGGGCATATATAACAGCCACTTCCTTCGTACTCACTTCACAACCACTAATTCTCCACTATTGCTTTATTATCTACCGTCGCTATTATGGTGAAACAAATCAAAATCGAACAGGTAAGAACTTTGAAGCTTCTTGCGCGAATACGTACTAACATCACAGCCGTTTTTAAACTTCCGTGGAAGATTGAGCGAAGGTGTCACCTACAACCCAGCCAACAACACGCTTCTCTGGGTGGATATTATTGCCGGGGAGGTCCATCGGGTGAAACTTCTTGAAGGAGATGACTACACCCCAGAGCAGCTCACTACAGTGGCTGCCACCCACGAAGTGGTGAAGGTCCCCGACAGTGTGGGTGTCATTGGACTAACCAAGGACAAAGATGTTTACATTGCTGGGTGCCAGTTTGGCTATGGCTTTGTCAGCTTTGTCACTGGCGAGTTTGTATATAGAAAGCGATATGCCAACGCCCTGGCCACGTTGAGATCCAACGACGGCACCGTTGACCCTCAGGGAAACTTCTGGGTGGGGACCATGAGTGACTTCAGTGTTGGGTCTGTGAAGCCAGAGGGGTCGTTGTATCGCATCAATACCAATGGCTCCATCGATGAAGTTTTTTCTGAATGTCTCATTCCCAACGGGATGGCTTTCTCCGGTTCTACGCTCACCTGGATCGACAGCTTGACATTTACGATCTGGAAGTTTGACTATAACCTGGAAACTGGAGAGGTATCCAACAAGAGACCACACATTGAGATTAAGAAGGTTCTTCCGGACTTGAATTCTCCCGAACCGGATGGGATGACGATGTTGCCGGACGGCTCAATCTATGTCGCCGTCTGGTCGTCGTCCAGAGTACTCCATTTTGACCCGGAGGGGAAACTTGTGACGGAATTTGTGTTTCCAGCAGAAAGAATCAGCTGTGTGACGTTTGGAGGGACTTCTGGCGACGAGATGTTTGTCACCACCGCCAACCAGCACTTGGACGACGTGACCAGGTTGGACGAAGTTGAGGACTTTGGGGGTTCAATTTTCAGAGTCAAGGTTCCGGGAGTCAAGTCGACACCAAAGAGCATCTGGCAAGGGAGCCTTGAATGAGGAGAACTGATTTAATACCTCTTCAGAGTTCGGCTTCCATTGGAAGTTCTACTGCGCCAGATGAGACAAAAATTCATAGCTTCCAGGCTATTGCATGTTTTTTATTCCTTTTTCCTAAATCTCGTCTGAAAAATCCCTGTGTAGGCCTTTAAATGAACGTATCAAGCCAAAACTACGGGGACGTTGACTAATCCGAGTTCAATACCCATCAACCCTTCAATGCTTTACTTAGACACAAGCTAGATTTGCCAGGTTCTTAGTCCAATATCTATCCAACTCCTCAGTTGATCCCAAAACTTGGCATTGCGGGGTTTCTTGAATAGTATATAAATACTCTTGGAACGTCTCATAACATATAATATATATATCGTGTACTTACCAAAACACACGTGTTGATTACCTCAGCACAACCCTCCAATGAGGAACAACTCGTTTTTGGTTGCCAAATTTAAACGTGCGTGTATAAGTGCTACCACGTCCGTCTTCTTTCATCACTAGAATCACCCAAAATGCGTTTTAGATTCATCCCAGGTTTTGTTATCATCAAGTACGTCCTTGCTTGTGTCGCCTCCACCGTTTTCGCTGGTACCCACCTCGGTGGTTACGTCTGGTACGGTCTCTTGGACTTGGACTAAGCACTTTGCTTAGCCGACTTCCATAGTACCCCCGGGGCTTCCAAGGCGCTCATAATAGTTACTGCCATACGTCCAGTCGTGGTTGGTTTTGACTCTCCTGAGGTCCCATCCAGGTTCATATTTATACACACTTCATTTCTTCTCTTTTCGGGCCCGCCCAATACAAAACTTATTCATTACTGGAATGTAGATGGGGACGCCCCAAAACAGCCTTTTTCCAGGAGCAAAGAGCCTTGACGGAAATGTGACTGGTCTGAAGCCAATCACACCCAGGGCTTGCATAAGTTGAGCCATCCTAAGTATTGGCCAAACAAACGTAACCTTTAGTTGGTATAATTATTTAAACTAATTACTCTCTCAATCTTTTACCAGTGACACTCGCCCATTATATAAATTCTCGTACTGGGCTCATCGCTGTTGGTAATACGGCCGGACTTAAAACCACTTTTGGCGATCGCGTACCTCTATGTGCCACGGCCTTAGCTTAGGTTTTCAGCTTGAGCGATAAAACTACAGACTCAAAGGCGTTCACCATCAATAACACAGTTCACTAATCCCAACATTCATGCTTTGCCAAATACCCAAGCCTATAGCCCATTTGGTTCGTGGGATGGCGTCTTCCCCCAACTTTGTCGCCTCCTGTCCGAAACCCACGTACGACACCGGATGCACCTACTGCCAAATCCCGTTGTTCGATCAAGACTCGCAGATTGATCTCACCAAGCCGTTGAACGGAACCAAATCCGGGTTCTGGAAACATTTGGTGGTGTTTACAGGCGAAAATGCGCACGACTGGCCGTCCAAAATCGAGCTACAGCCGGGCACCTTGGTCGCGGAGATGAATTTTCACAAACGGACGTTGCTCAGTCCGTTCCACCCGGTTGTGGTATCCAACAGCTCGCTTCCCTCTCCCGTGTTAACCAAGAAAGGTCACTTTTCTGTGGGGTTGTATCCAGATAACAAGCTCTTCCAGATTTCGTTGCAGGACGTGCCTCTGTTTATGGCATCCCACTTGAAACCCGAGACGGAAGCCCAGGAGGTGTACAATCCCTTTGTACTAAAAGCTGCCCAGAGAAAGGAGGTTGCTGTGAAGGAGTTTCCTAGCGAGGCCATCCCCAACCCGATGGTGCTTATCTGCGGCCACGCCAAGCGAGACGTCCGTTGTGGTGTGCTTGCGCCACCGATCGCGGCTGAATTTGAGGCGGTGCTTGGAGAAAATCGTATGCTCTACGACCCAGACCTGAACCCAAACGGCTGGAAAGTGGGCATGATTTCACATATCGGGGGCCACGTCTATGCCGGCAACGTGCTTATTTTCGACAAGAAGTGGGCAGCCAAGGAGACGGTAGAAAATACGAGGGGTGCCGTCTGGTACGGCCGTGTCACCCCGCAAGACGTTCAGGGGATCGTCCAGGAAACGATCTTGAAGGATAATGTGATTCAGGAGTTGTACAGGGGCGTTGTTGAATGAGTTCTGGGAATTTTGGAACGTTGATTTGCAATATATTATAGATGTATGCCTACCTGAGATTCGTTGATGAGAGATAAAGGTAACGTAGCGGTTACTGGTGACAAGAAAACAATAGTAATCCCCAGGATTTAATTACCAAAACAGCTATTATAATGAGTTATATAAATCTCATCTTATCCGTAAAAAAGATAAATAGAAAAGTCACTTTTTCTGTTTTGCATGTGTACATATAAAATTGAGTACGGGGAAGATTCTTGTTTCTCTAAATGGTTCGCTCTAATAGGCTTCCCAGATATCCCTTTTATGGATCTTGAGTTTAGCTCTGTATGTAATAAAATCAATTTTTTTATTTTTTATCAAAGTCACCACTATCTAGACTTTAGTCATTTCACTGCTACAATGATAATAATTCAACCCTGCTAATATAAATAATATAATTAGCGCAGTTTTGCGCCTGTCATTCTCCAGCTCCATGGCACACACTTCTATAATTTTTGTGCAGGATATACATTATAACATCAAGATCTAGCGCTAATCCTGCCGACATAACCTCATAAACCAGCCAAACACACTCATCCTCCCTCACACCCAATGGAGGAGGAAACTGAAACACTAAAGGCTAAAAGCAGATCCCAGGAGGTCTTGGCACGATTCCAAGAAGACGACGACTCGGACTTCGATCCCCCGCCGAAAGCCAAAAAGTTGATCACGCTCGATGACCTCTCAAGGCAGCTAAATCAAATAGCGGTACCGGATTACGCAGCGGGACCGGATCCGTTTGCTGAGCCACCTCTGACATTGACCCAGGAAACCCCGACGTTGACAAAGAACGGAGGCCCCGCCGTGTCCCTTCTTGCCCGGGATGTAGATGACCTTGACGACTTGGAGATCCCCGATAACTTTACAGGAATTCTCCCAAAGCCTCTGAATCGGGAATATCCGAAGCTGGTGAATTTTGTCCGGAACGGTTCCAGTTCCAGCTACTCTGAAACAGATGACACCCCATTGACGGACTTGGACATGGACTTTGAGCTAGCTGAGGTGACAGATTTGCGGCACCGGTTTGAAGCGAAGCTCGCAAGGTTGGTGGCAGAAGCCGAGTTGGAGCTGAAGCAGTTATATCAGCAGTTTCGGCCTGACAGCCGGAGCTCCAGCGCCAGTGAGGACTTTTCAGACGGGTTTGATCTCACTTCAGAGCAGGTCAATGGTGGAATCTTGACTGGTTTTGACGAAGAAGCACTAGGAGTCCGTTATATGCATGGTAAAAGGATTCCCAAAAAGGCCCTGCGGAGCTACCTTTCGTCCAAAAAGCCAGCCCAGGTTAAGAAGGCGGATCTAGGGAGGTATGGTGATGGTACGGAGTTGGACACGATTCCGTCGTTGCCACTTGCCTCACTCAGCAGAAAGGCATCGCGTCAGTTCCAGGAGACGTTGAAGAAGCACCGAAAGCCAAAACTCGGCCTTTTAAGGTACATCAATACAGAGCCTGTGCCTATAAGCCCCCAGTACGGCATCCAGATGCAATACAACGCAAAGCTCCACAAATGGGAGGGCAACGAACAGGAGCTTCTCCGGTTCGAGGAGCCTAGAGCAAAGAAAAAGCCGCGGAAACCGGATTTGATTCCGTTTGAGGGCGCAAAAGACCAACAGATTGTTGGAAACATGCTTTTTGACCCCCAGAGCATGCGCTGGGTGAGTCTCACCCGCGCAGACGACGATGTGTTTGCCGGATTGGACGACTTGAAGGATGTGAAGGGCTCCCTGAGTCCTAGAAAGAGCCCTCAGAAGATCAGCTCGGACACCCGGTTAGGGCGGTCGCTCCGTAACGTCTCCAGCCGGATGAAGTTGAACGACGACTATGACGGGTTTCGTGTGGGAGATGAGTTTAAGGTGCCATCGCAGGTGGCCGAACGATGGAAGCTGGATGAGGCTCGCTGGGAGAAAAAGGTGCGAGGGTGGTTCGACAGTACTGACTATGAATACGAGTACTTGTACGAGCTCCGCAACATGGTCATGCGAAACTCGTAGAAGCCCAGGGGAATGTGACATGGTAGGAGGCTAATGAAGACAGGAATGGCCTCCATGGTACCCCCAGCGATAGTTCTGGGTCCTCAGCTCCAACTCAGATCCTAGGATCATTTTTTTTTGGTCGTGAGTTGTGGATACGTAAGGCACGTTCCATCCATCTATTCCTCTCCGGCCAGGTGCAAGTGATGCCTTTCCTAGAATTATCGTGACTGTACAGGCTAGTTCTGTCGGATCCGTTTTGTGAGGTGTATGACCGTCAGCTAGACGTGTTTCACAGAAACTCGCTTTAATATTTACGAACCGAGAGCATGCGATAACAGCCGATGATGTTTAATTAAGCCACATCCAAGTGCTCTGAGCTAAGCCTAAAAAGCAGACAAGACGGTTAGTGGCGAATATTACTGGTTAATAAGGTGGTATTTCCGGAGGGGAGACGTAAAGTACTACTGCCTGATGACGTATCTAGAAATGCCCTTGGCTCGAGATTCTCGATTTTGATTCCCGTTTAATCATTATATAAGTGTAAAGCTAGGGCTCAGATCGTATGAAATAGTACATTTGATCACTAAGAGCTTAGCTTGAGCACATACATTGATGGAGTCAAAGTATAAAGGAGTTTAAAATAAATATGTGTACAAAAATACGCCTTGAATAAACCTTACACCTATACTGATGATGCTCAGAATAATCTAGCACAGTTCAGGCCCACGGTCTCTATGCAGGTCACATATCTTGTCACGCCCAACGATACCAATTCTGACCTGTCTGTCTGCACCATTTCCTATAACAGCCCTGTTAGCAGCGATAAGGAATATTACCATCTGTCTGAGCTATACATACCGTTACCATGCAATCATATACGCTTGTGATTACGGTACTTTTTCTCTTGCTAGCGCAGCTCGCGGTTAAGCTCGTCACCAAGGACACGATTCAGAAGAAGTTGTGGGCACAATACGTCCGCTTCTCACCGTCCAGCCAGCTCAAGACCTACCAAGCTAAAGCCGCGGAGATTGCGCACGTTGTCAAGGAAAAGAATGCAATTTCTCCCCAAGACCACTACGCTAGGTGGACCAAGTTGAACCGCCAATTCGATAAGTTAACGAAGGAAAAAGCCGAGTTGGAGAGTGAATTGGCGACACGGCAGGCGCAGTTCGCCAAGTACGTTAGTTATGCCATCACTGCATCTATTACCGCGCCGTTGTGGTTCTTCAGGTATCAGTACCGCAAGCAGGTGTTCTTCTACATTGAGAGAGGCGTGTTTCCAGCCTGGATCGACTGGTGTCTCGCGTTGCCGTTCATGGCTACGGGCTGTGTCGGTTTAACCATCTGGAGTGCTGTTGTGAAAGCTGTTCTCGGGCAGATCGAGGTGATGGTGCGGTTCATGTTGTCTGAGGAGGTACAGAAGCCGGTGAAGGTGGCAAAGGTGGAAGAGGTTAAATAGATACGTTTTCTCGGGATGTAGTGAATGCCAAAGGAGGCGGATGAAAGCGTTGGATATTGTTTGAGGAGTTAAAATAGGTCCTACTTTAGTTAAGTTGCAGTTGTAGAATTCCCACCACCGATGACAAAGGACTAATAACTAGAGTCCGTTGTGTGTAGCGATCCGAGCGTAAATTCATCTTGTAGAATGGTTTAGATAGGCACCTTCAGGGTGTAGATTCCATAATTTGTGCCGCGCATTGGTGAGTACCACAGGACTGAGAGGTATAGGCTGGAGATTATCTACAAGAAACCACCTATTAATACAGCCACGATAATGCTTAATAACAACCCACCTTTAATTGGTTCTGAACAGTTTTGTCCCCAATAAGCATTAGAATTTCTAAAATAAATTGTGAAATACGGACTAATTCTAGCCGTCCCGGCCTGTCTTTAACTCTTTTTTTTCTTGTAGCCTGCAGTCCGGGTTACCAACCCCGGGCATACTCTCACCTAGTAAGGCGTTGCCAACAAACAGACGCTAGTTTTGCACCACTCGCGGAAAATAGAAGGGGGTTCTCATCTGGAATTTCTGACGAGCCTAAACGCTCAATATACACAATCGCGTAACAACCATGCCTGTAAACTGCACCAACTTAATTCGCACGCGTCGCATTTCGCCTCGGAAAAAATCAAAGGATCGTGCGCAGGGCGTCGTGGAGATAAGGGCCGTACGTGGCCCCTAGGCAACAGTCGCACCACGGCGGCCTCAATTATCCATACTTATTTGATCCGGAAATAAACCCGCTATATAATGCCAAACATATCCACCGATGAATAGCTAAGTTTACCCATACTCCTAGACCCGCTTCTTGCAAAAACTCACATTCGGTCGTGTCCTCACCACCGCTAATTTTTGTCTACTTCAAACATCTCCACCCATTGGCGCACAACGTACTCTCTTCCTCCTCATCGCCATGAGCAAGCAAATATTTGAAGAGGACGATCTGACTTCGTCAGAAGAGCTCCAGTCGTGGGTTGCGACATATTGCCAGTTGTTTGGGCACGAGTTTTTTGCCCAGATTCCTGCAGAGTACATCGAGGATGACTTCAACTTGACCGGGTTGGCCGCCATCGTGCCATACTACCGTGAGGCGCTCGATATGATTCTCGACTACGATTTCGACTCGGAGGAGGAAACCAAGCCTGCTGATAAGCAGAGCCAGCTTCCGCTCATTGAACACAGCGCAGAGTTGCTTTATGGGCTCATCCACCAGCGTTTTATCCTCACAAAGCAGGGCTTGGGTCTGATGGCGGCCAAGTTCGAGAGTGGCCAGTTCGGAAAGTGTCCGCGTGTTCTCTGTGAGCAGATGCCGTTGTTGCCAATGGGCAGACACGACCAACCGGGCAAGGAGACCGTGCGCTTGTACTGCGCCTGTTGCAACGATATCTACCTCCCGTCGTCGTCCAAGTACCTTAATATCGATGGTAGTTTCTTTGGAACGTCCTTCCCTGGAATGTTCCTCAAGGTTTTCCCCGAGGTGGCACGCATGATCAACAACCGCACGCAGAACGGCCAATTCGAGCTCAAGTGCTTTGGGTTTAAGGTGAATGAGGTGTCCGCAAGCGGTAGCCGCATGAGGTGGTTGAGAATGAGGCCGCAGACCGAGGCGGAGATTGCGGAGTATGAGCAGTGTGAGTTTGGCGCTCCGAGCGAGGTTGATGGGAGCAGTAAGGAGACAATGGTGAGTGATGATCAGAGTATGTCCTAAGGTGTGGCACCCGCAGTCACCCCGTCATTTTTTAGCATCTGTGTTACCTTACTCTCATTTGTGTTACCATGGTATTCCTTTGTGAGTCTCATGACTCTCATCTGTCGTCATGGTCTTTCACTGTCCGCCGCATTTGTCTCATTGGCTTCGATATTTTACGTTTCTTCTGTACTATCTCGGCGCTCGCTTGTCAACCGTCTTGCAGTTTGACAAGGTTATCTCAACTTCTGCCATGCCATTTCATTTTTGTGCTCTTCACTCTCTTTCCATTCGCCTGTGCGGCCCTCTGTATTTTATAGCATGCATGCGTCTTTTAGAGCTGCATGCCCCCCCCACCTAATAAACGAAATCTTGTATCGTGATAGTGACTAGAGAATCATGTTGGAAGGGCAATCTGAGAAATGGCTTGTCCTCTTATTCAGATACCCAGCGAAGGCCCCTAATGCTATTACTCTTAGCCGATGCTATTTCGATTTCCACCGTTTGGCATGGCAACGAAGCGTTGACTCCAAATAGCAAGTTTGTGAATAAGTTAAATTCCAATATTGCATGTTTAAACCCATATATTTGTACATCATCCTGCTACGCGGTCAAGGCTGGAATTATACTTATATACACCCACTGCTGAGAGATTCTCCTCCCCGCTCGCCCATCCTAGAGCATACTTTACACCACATATAGAGATTTACAGGTTTAAATTGGTAGTGACTCCATCCTAATAGGCCACGGTCAGCTCTTCGACTGCCGCTGAAATTGGACATACGTCAAACAATGTACGGTATATACCAGTACACTGTAGCATACTATATGACAAAGGTATAATGTGCTAGAGTACTGTCGCTAATTATCTTGCCGGATGTAATTTTCAGAAATCACCTATTCTAAGAATCCAAGGTTTCGCCTTCCAGAGCTTAACTCATTTTGCCATCTTTTGGCACCGTCGTGCGCCGCACACAGCCGTTCCTTATCAATCTGAGCCTAAAACTTTTGCCCCATTTACCCTATGTTTGCACCCCCACCACACTTCACCATACCTTCTATGTGCCGATGTCTGAAGCCAATAGCCCCCAACTAACGGCCACTACGGATTTGGAAGCGTTTGGAATCCAGCTAGTGTCTCAGGACTCGTTGGAGCGGCACATCGGCGAGCGCGCCGATAAGGCGATGCTCGAGCGGGAGGCGGAAATCGAGCAGAAACGGTTAGAAAAGGCCCAAGTGCAGTTGAAAAAGGTCCAGGAAAAGCTCTATGCAATGCAGAAGAAACTAGCCAGCCCCCGAACAAAAATTTCCGAAAGGCGAACCCTCACGGGCGAGATCCAGTGGTGCCAGGAGAACGAGTTGGCAGCGGTACAGAAGGATATCACAGACATCCAGGGCCGGATGGACCGAGCAGGTAGTGCCCAATTGGAGTCAGAAACCCGGAACGAGTTCTTGGTACGGACCGGGAAGATAACCGCATTCGGCAACGCCACCGCGTTTGCCCACGATACTTCGGATGTTGTATCGCATCAGCACCTTCGCACGCCCGGGTTTGCCGCGGCCAGTGTTCCCCTGGTTGTTGAAAAGCACGGAGAAGAGAATGAAATAAATCCTAGTGGTCTCAGTGGGACGGGCCCTGATGCCTGTGATAAGCGGATTCACGAGCATGATCGTGACAATGTTCCAGTTCAGGTTATTAGTGACGACGATGAAAACTACGACGTTGGAAGCGATGCTGATGAAAATGATAGTAATGACGACAACGAATACACTCCCAGGACCAAGCGAAGGTTCACACCCACTGAACAGCTGGAATCTGATTCTGACACAAGACCCCGGAAACGCACACGGGTGATCGTTAAAAAGGATTCGGAGCGGAATATGGACGATGGGGACGAGCTGTTTTATCAGAAACGACTCCGTGACTGGGCAGAGCGCAGAGCTGCTGCGCGTACCGCGGCAAGTATCTACGAGACTTCTAAGACCACCAGCGAAACATCTGAGGTGGACTCTGGGTCTTCAGAGATGGAATCTGAGTGGCAACGTCCGCACCCCACCATCCCCGATGCTGTCCTCAATTCTGACTTCCGCATTCCCGGCGACATCTACCCCTCCCTCTTCGACTACCAGAAAACCTGCGTGCAATGGCTCTGGGAACTCCACCAGCAAAAGGCCGGGGGCATTATTGGCGACGAGATGGGGTTGGGAAAGACCATTCAGATCATTGCCTTTCTCGCCGGTCTCCACTACTCGGGAAGGCTCACCAAGCCCGTCCTAGTTGTCTGCCCAGCGACAGTACTCGCCCAATGGGTGAATGAATTTCATCGCTGGTGGCCACCGCTCCGCACGGTCATTCTCCACGCGACCGGTAGTGGAATGAGCAAACCGCAGCTTGAAGCGCTAGAGAAAGATATAGAAGGTGAGCTGGAGGCTTTCAGTCTTTTGGGCTCAAAAGCGAATGCCAGTGCCCAGGAAATCGTTAACCGTATTTTTAACAAGGGCCACGTGCTCATCACCACCTATGTGGGCTTGCGGATCTATTCCCGCTACATCCTTCCCCGCCAATGGGGCTACGTGGTGCTCGATGAGGGCCATAAAATTCGTAACCCCGATTCGGCCATCTCACTCGCATGCAAACAGCTCAAAACCCACAATCGGATCATTCTATCGGGTACCCCCATCCAGAACAACCTCGTAGAGCTCTGGTCGCTCTTTGACTTTGTATTTCCTGGCCGCTTGGGGACACTCCCGGTGTTTCAGACGCAGTTTTCGGTGCCCATCAACCTCGGGGGCTATGCCAACGCGACCAATGTCCAGGTCCAGACGGGGTACAAGTGTGCGGTGGTGCTTAGGGACCTTGTTGCGCCGTACTTGTTGCGCCGTTTGAAGGCCGATGTGGCGAGGGACTTGCCAAAAAAGCACGAGATGGTGCTTTTCTGCAAGCTCACCGCGTGGCAGCAGCGGAAATACGAGGAATTTTTGCAGTCGGGCGACCTCCAGAGCATCATGAGCGGAAAGCGCCAGATGTTGTACGGGGTGGACATTCTTCGCAAGATCTGCAACCACCCGGATTTGGTCGATCGCGTGATTCTTGAGCGGAAGAAGGGGTACGGGGATCCCGCAAAGTCCGGGAAGATGCAGGTGGTGCGGACGTTACTCGATCTCTGGACAGCAGAGGGGCACCGCACGTTGCTCTTTTCGCAGACGCGTCAGATGCTTGACATTTTGGAGAACTTTCTCACTACCTTGGGCTACAGGTTTCTTCGAATGGACGGAAACACACCCATCGGACAACGCCAGTTGCTTGTGGATGCATTCAACGAAGACGCGAGCATCCCGGTGTTTTTGCTCACCACCAAGGTGGGAGGCTTGGGGGTGAATCTCACGGGGGCGGACCGGGTCATAATCTACGATCCGGACTGGAATCCGTCCACTGACATGCAAGCACGGGAAAGAGCCTGGCGGTTGGGGCAGAAGAAGGACGTGACGATCTATCGCTTGATGATCGCCGGATCCATCGAGGAGAAGATCTACCATCGCCAAATCTTCAAGCAGTTCTTGACCAATAAGATCTTGAAGGATCCCAAACAGCGGCGGTTCTTCAAGATGAACGAACTACACGATTTGTTCACCTTGGGTGACCAGAATGACAAGGGCTCCGAAACGGCAGACTTATTCAACGGGACCGAGAGGGCGTTTGGGGGAAAAGAGCGGAGGCTGGCAAAGTTGGTCAAGGGGAATGACGATGATTTCTACTCTGTCGCAAGCATGTCGGGGGTCTCGGGGCTAGAAAAGTTCCAGGGAGAGAAAGAGGTGGACAAGGATGAGAAGGTGATGGAGGGGTTGCTTTCATCAGGGATCCACAGTGCGTTGGAACATGATTCAATCATGCTGGCGTCGTCACCGGTTTCGGCAATGGCCGAGCGAGAGGCCAACAGGGTTGCGGAGGAGGCGGTTCAGGCGTTGAAGCGGTCGCGGCGGAGAGCCAGAGGTGAGATAGGGGTGCCAACCTGGACGGGAAGAAACGGTTTTGCAGGAAAGACTCCGACCGAGCTGGTTGGAGCCAAGGCGGTTTCGGCCACGGAGCGGACGATTTTTGGGACTGTTCGGTCTAATGCCAGCATCAATAGAAAGCGTGGGGGTAGTGACGCGGAGGAGGTATCCAAGCCTGTGCGGACCGGTGTTTTTGCCGAGACAACTCCCAGGATATTCTCTCTGAATTCTCCCGGGATATTCTCTCTGAAGCCTTCCTCTGGAGTATTTGCTAAGAAAGTTGCACCCGGGATATTCTCCAAACCCTCACCCTCCCCAATTGCCTCGCTGTCGATCCTAAAACAGCTCCGAAGCAAGAAGGATGACGAGCAGGCACAGGAAATGACGGAAGACGTGGGAAAAGCCGAGTTGGTGGCGCGCATTTCCGCATATTTGAGCCAGCAACCTGAGCTGTTCAGCAAGTCCGGTGCCATCATTGAGTCGCTTGGGTTAGAGTTGAAGGGCCAACAGGACATGGCCACGGTGCGTCTGATGTTGCGACTGATTGCCAATTGGAGCAAGGAGAGAGGTGGGTGGGTGCTCAAGGAGGAATTCAAGTAGAATGAAAGACACTACGTGGGTATTTAAGGAAATGCCATTTTTATCTAGCTGAAAGGCTAGAATTATAGGAAGCTCTTGGTGAGAAAATATGGAGAAATCATGACTCGTTGATTGGGAGGAGACACTGATGAGGTTTGAACGTTAGGTATTGTCAGCTTGGGACTCTCACACTTTGTTTTAGCACTAATAACGAAACCTGCTTGTTTTTAGAGTAAATAAAGGTAACCGGTTTGATATTTTAACCTCAAATTCCAATCCATTGGTTGATTTACAGAGTAATGACGAGTCAAAATCCAGCATTTTAGCGCCATAATAAGGCGCTAGTCTGGGCTTTAGGTGCATTTTTCCAAGTTACGAGTACATTTCCGCCCCGCTGGCCAAATGGTTAAGGCATCCGCCTCCTAAGTGGAAGACTGCGGGTTCGAATCCCGCGTGGGGTGGGTTTGTTTTTTTAACTGGCTTATCTCCGAAACGCGCTTCTGAGTAACTCCGAGTTGTATCTTCGAAGCCAAATCTAACTATATAAAGTCAAAAGATATAAAAAGTCAGGAAAGGGCATGAAAAATGAGACAGTAGGGGAAACTGCGGGAACCCCCGTACTTGAAACCTCCCACTGTACCGGTTACAGCGACTAAGCGAGTCTTTAGTCCATCTGCTTCCTTATCTGTTTCCCTAGCTGCTTTTCGGTTTTTGTTATCATTCTCAGGCTCTACCAAAGGCTATGGATAGTATATTCTAGCCCCTTTTATCAAACGGCAGATGCGATGACTGACGCCCCATTGTTGCATTGCCTCGGCTAAGGCCGATCTGGGACCCCCCAAGAGGAGGCTGCCATTTTATCCATGCCGACGTCTTGAACAAGTACCTGCCACCACAGCCGTGTATTATCCCAGATTGGACAGTATGTTACGGTAGAATAACCCACTAGGCTTCTATCAGCCGCTTGTGTATGCTCCGGCGGTGAGAACACAAGCGGCTATACACTCAGATGTGTACAGGTCGATGCGGGGAAAACCCCTCGGGTGATGGCTCGATGTCAGGTCATTCTCAGTTTCCAAGCCTTAGACTCGATGGAGATTCACAGAAGATCTCAAGTAAAAATGGCATGGGGGAAAGATAAAATAAACGGAATGATTGCCAGTAGGAAGAGCCTTGTTACGTGGCGGATATATATTATAGCCTAGGATTGCATAGCTTAGTCTGCCGCGCTAGTGACCTCACATATGAACCTAAAAAGTCCCCAGGATACAATCACGGTATTTTACTAGTATCGGCGATACAGCTTATCGTGATTGATCAAACCGCATAAAGTCACACCCCCGATAGTTTGATCGCGCCGAGACCAGGGGGTTCGCTGGTCCTGCACCGGCGGGCGTTGGATTCCGAAAGATGCTCCGGAAAAATCTGTGCGGCTCGTGATCAATGAGGGGAGTCGTCGACCCCAGGAATTTTCAGCTATATAACGCCCCCATCCCTCTTTCTCCAGGCTTCAGCCATACGCTTCCAACTTCATCTTTGGTGACACATTACACCCGTCCAGAACAGACCTTTAGCTAGTACATTAACATGTCCGAAGAAGAAGCCATTTTGAACGGCTTGAACGAGACCGAGGCCGAAGGCTTGCTCGAGATATACGTGCGGATGAACGGTGACTGCGAAAAGGACTACTGCTTCACCATCAGCGTCAACGACCGCTTCCAGGACTTGCACAAGATCTTTGACACTTTGCCTTTGGCGTTGAGACCAAGCATCTTGTACCACCTGAAGCCGGTGGCGTTCCAGATCTCGACTCATCCCGGGTTTTTAACCCGTGACGGGGGCCTCCTCCACACGTACGACGCGGACAAACCGCAGTACTTGAAGTCTGTCGACCAGAACGAAAAAATAGCCGATCATGTATGGCCCGGGCAGCTAATCGTGCCACTTTGGGAACGAAACCTACAGACCCAGCTCGTGCTTATCTCGGTATTGGGCCTCTGGTTGTACACAGACTTGCCGGACTTTATTTCGCCAACCCCGGGCATCTGCATGACAAACCAGTTTACACGTTTCTGCGCCTATTTGGTGAGCAGCTTGGGCTACGATGATATGGCAAACACCTTGCTCGACGAGATGCACAACGACATGGGCGAGGGAGGCCAGATCGCGTTTTTTGCGTTCCACGTGGTCAAAGCCGCCATTTTGACGCTCATAATCTGGTCTGGGATCTTCAACCCGTACACCTTCACCCCAATGGGCAGATTCTCGAAGATGAAGACGGTCAAGGATTTGACCAGAGAGGAACTCCTTGCGATCGGCTGGACTGGCTCCAGACACGCCACCACGGACGAGTACAAGGAGTACTTCAAGGAAACCAGGGTCAAGCAATACGGCGGCATTATCGGCGCCTCGCGCGCTGGTGTCTTCCAGGAAATGTCCACTATGGGCGTCCAATTGGGGCCAGGTGAGGGATTCGACACCCCAGTGACCGAAGCCTCCGGCAAGCTCTCCCTTGAGGCAATGCGCAAGAGTGAGAAATTTGTGCTCAACTACGAGTATTTAGCCGCGCTCGGCGAAGTCTTTGAAGCGCAAATCGATGCCCTTACGGATATCAAGCTCCTCGCCCAGGCAGTCAAGGACTATAGACGCTACGGCCCGATGGCATCGAGTGAGAAAGTCCATGAGTTGTACTTGCAGAGAAAGATGTTGGGTAATGGCAAGATTTCCGTCACAGAAGCGAACTAGGAGGGTTTAATACAATGATTGTCGATTTGCGCCAGGGAGGGCGATTGTAGAAGGAGCGGGGATTGTGGAGCCATGGGGGGAATGCATGGGGCGAGAATTCCACGGTCACTGAATGTAGATGACTGAGATCTCACTTCAAAGTGGTGTGTTCCGCCACTAATGGTGTTTGAAGGAAACCTGTTTTGTAAAAAACATTATAACTGGAAAGAGGGCGTCGGGTTTATATCAGGAGCCCGGATAGAGGGTGGTGTGGGTAACTTATAAAGTAAACCCTACCTTCTGATACAAAAAAAAAAAATGCAAATCAGACTCTTGCCGAGGGTTCTCTTTTTGCTCACATGGTCTGTACCCCTCGGTTGAAAAACCTGCAATTCGTTCCTACCTTGGATTGTAGTTGGTAATATTTCTTGACCGCCACTTATGCCGATATTGTCACATCCTCTTTGTGGTAGGTCGTGCCCCAACCACCACACATGCAACATTATTTTCACCCACTGTAGTCAATACATACCAACTTGGTTACAGCCAATATTACTCATTATCAGTTTCCTTTCTAGTCCTGGCTTTATCCTCTACCTTGCATTTAGTCACATCCTCACTCCCCCTCTTTGTATCCATGTCCCTCGACCCGTCGCTTTTTCTATACAACCTCACGCTTCTGCCACCGACGGCGGCGGTGGCAGCGATTGTGGGCCAGTTTCTGGGCCAGAAGCACCAAGAAATCATCGTGGCACGCTCGCCCGGCGTGCTCGAACTCTGGAAACCGGACCACCATACGGGCAAGATGGAGCGCGTGTTTCGCCACAACACGTTTGCGACGATTCGCGCGCTCGCAAGCTTTCGGCTCGCGGGAGCGACTCGCGAACACATCGCAGTCACCTCCGACTCGGGCCACATGACGCTCCTCGAGTGCGATTTAAAGCACCAGACGTTCACGCAGCTTCGTCTGGAGCCGTACGGCAAGACAGGGATCCGCCGTCTCACCCCCGGCGAGTACCTCGTGGCGGACCCGAAGGGCCGCGCCCTCATGACAGCGGCAATCGAGAAGAACAAGCTTGTCTATGTCGTCAACCGCAACGGCGATGAGGTGACAATTTCATCACCACTTGAGGCAAACCGTGCAAAGATTCTCACATTCGCGCTCTGCGCCGTGGACGTGGGTTACGAGAATCCGCTCTTCGCAGCGCTCGAATGCGAGTACGACCACGAACCCTCATCGTATTCGGTTACCTTCTACGAGTTGGACCTTGGCCTCAACCACGTGCTCAAGAAGTTCAGTGCGCCGGTGGACGCCTCCTTCAACTACCTCGTGAGTATCCCCGGTGGCTCTGACGGCCCGTCGGGGGTCCTCGCGTTCGGAAAAAACTCCGTCCAGTACATCCACCCGAACAACCCCACCATCTCAGCCGTACTCCCTCAAAGGGATAGTGACACCTACGTGGTTGCGGCTGTGGTCCCCAAGATGAAGAACGAGTTCTTTGTACTCGTGCAGTCGCAGCTCGGCGACTTGTTCAAGCTCACGGTGGAGTACGCCGACTCTGTGACGGCCCTCACCATCCGCTACTTCGATACTATTCCGGTGTGCAAGTCGCTAATCGTTCTCAAGAGGGGGTTCCTCTACGCCGAGACCGAGACCGGAGCCAAGCACTTCTATCAGTTTGAAAAGCTTGGCGACGAGGCCTCTACATCCCCCACGTTCCATCCCAAACCCCTTGATAACTTGGCCCTCGTGGACGTGATCGAAGCTCTCAACCCCATCACGGGCGCCCTCCTCAAGGGCTCGGATATCGTCGCGCTATGCGGTCAGTCTGCGCGCTCAGCGGTGAAGAAGCTCACCCACGGGCTAGAAGTCAGCGAGTTGGTCAGCTCCAACCTCCCCGAGGCAGCGCAGCGCGTCTGGACAACCAAGCTCGCGCGGGTCGACGAGTATGACAAATACCTCGTGCTCTCCTTCGCAGCGTCGACTCTTGTCCTCTCTATCGGAGAAACGGTTGAAGAAGTTGCTGACTCGGGGTTCCTCCTGACCTCTCCCACGCTTGCGGTCCAACAGCTCGGCGAAAGAGCTCTCGTTCAGATCCATGAGCATGGAATTCGTCACCTAAAGCACGGTAACCTTACTGAATGGTTTCCGCCAGCCGGTGTCCGCATCGCGGTGGCCACAACCACCCCTTACCAGATCGCCATAGCATTATCCAACCGGGAAATTGTCTACTTTGAAATTGATGAGGCGGATAACTTGAACGAATACAACGAGCGGGCTGAAATGGTCTCTTCTGTCACTGCAATGTCGCTCGGTGATGTCGCTCCCGGAAAGTTGCGCTCCTCACTACTCGCCATCGGTTGTGACGACCAGACGTTGCGAATTGTCTCGGTGGACCCTACATCGACCATGGAGATGCTTTCGGTTCAGGTATTGGCGTCTAACCCTGCAAACTTGCGCCTCTTGGCCTTGCCCGACACTGAGGCCGCAGTCTCCTTCACGTTGTACGCCCATGTGGGGCTCGAAACTGGGGTGTATGTTCGGACCACGGTCGACGAGCTTACGGGCCAGTTATCCGATTCACGGACCTACTTTCTCGGCCCGAAGCCTGTGACATTATCCACAGCCGTGGTGAATGGTCACGTCACTATCATGGCGTTCTCCACCAGAGCCTGGATGGGTCACGTTGTCGGAAGCACCTTCAAGCTCACACCGTTGGTGTACCACGCGTTGGCAGACGGCTGCGCGTTTAGCTCCGAGGACTGTCCGCTGGGCATGGTGGGGGTCCACGGGACGGCATTGACCATCTTCACAATGGTGAATGCCCATGACGACTTGAACATCACCTCTGTTCCGTTGCGGTACACCCCGAGGGCTATTGTGGAGGGGCCAAAGTCGTTCTATGTCATTGGTGCTGACCATGGAGTCAGGTCGCCGTACCAAGAGGGCGTCGATCCAGAGACGTACCGTGCTTTTGGGTATGAGCGTAAGCCCGGCAGCTGGGGCTCGTGCCTCGAAGTGATTGACTCGGAAACGCTTGAAACCACAGATACGGTTGAACTACAACACAACTTGGCCGCTTTTAGTGCCTGTCACTGCCACTTCAAGCTCCACCAGGAGGCGTTTTTGATTGTCGCCGTTTCGCAGAACCAGACGCTCGCTCCCAACTCCAGTTCCGCTTCATTCCTCTACACGTACAAGCTCCGCGATGGAAAGGTGGAGTTCTTGCACTCCACCGAGCTCGAGGCGATCCCGCTCGCGATGGCTGAGTTCCAGGGGCGGTTGCTCGTGGGGATGAAGGACACCTTGCGGGTGTATGAAATGGGCCAGAAGCAGCTCTTGAGGAAGACATCCTCCCGGCTTAATGTCACACAGATCGTAAAGCTTGCCACGCAAGGGATGCGGGTTATCGTGGGGGATGTCCGGCAGTCCGTGACCTTCTGTGTATACCGGCCGCGTGAAAACGCGTTCGTCGCGTTCGCTGATGACACCATCGCCAGAAATACCACCGCGATGACGATGCTCGACTACGACACCGTGATTGGAGGCGACAAGTTCGGAAATGTGTGGGTTGTGCGTTGTCCCGAAACGACTTCGAGGCTCTCCGACGACGAGCACGGACTTGTGGACACGGCGTTTTTGGCTGGCGCCCCGCACAGAGTGAATGCCCTATGCCACTTCCACCTCCAGGATGTGCCAACCTCGTTTTCCCGCGGGGCAATGACGATGGGAGGTCTTGAGACGGTGGTATACACCGGGATCCAGGGTCTGGTTGGGGTTCTTGCACCGATTGCCACCAAGCACGATGTGGCGTTTTTTACCAAATTGGAAACCGCAATGAGAGAGAACTTCGAGAGTATTACCGGCCGCGAACACTTGATCTTCCGGGGGTATTATGTGCCGGTTAAGGGCGTGGTGGATGGCGACTTAGTGGAGATGTATGGTGTATTGCCGGGGTCGGTGAAGGCCAAGATTGCAAACAGTTTGGATAGAAGTGTCAAGGAGGTTGAGCGCAAGGTGTCAGAGATGCGGACCCGTGCGGCATTTTAAATAAAGGACCGGGGTGAGTGAGAGAGGTGGGGACTGGCCGTGGATAAGGACTGCCACTTAGTTCACCATTGACTTGTTTAAATGCATGTTATTGGAGGTGTAGATGCTAGCGGTTATGTTCTATCTGCTTGACATAATCTACGGATAAAAGAGTATTAACCCAAGACTGTATTTAGAGAGTTGGTGAGATTCAATGCAGAAATGTTTCCTGCCTCTCTTCAAGCTCACAATAGGCAGCACTCTACCAATGTTACTCTTGTCTTAAATTGTATTACAGCCTAATGCTCCATTAATTCAATCACCCGACTGCAAAACTCCTCGACGAGTGAGTTTTCTTCCGGGCCACCAACCCGCAAGTCGCACAACTTCTTATTGGCGATCTCTCTACGACCCTCCGCCGTGGGCTCGTTCGCAATAGCCGCGTCGCTCATGATGGCGAGGATGGTCGACAAATGCGTCTTCAACGACGCGAATTGCAACATGTAGAGGAGTTTCTTGTCTTTCAAGAGTTTATCAAACCCCGAGGTGATTTCAGGGGGTTTTGCCGTTAGCACCGCTGGCGCCTCCGGCCTGGCCGCCTCTGGGAGGTTCTCGTGGCTATGGGCCTCGGACTTGAAGCATTTAAGGGAGCAGTAACGGATCTGGCACTTTGGACACTTGTATTTTGACACTTCCACCTGACATATTTCACACCTGGCTCCTTCTGCAGCCATTATTAAGGAGGGAATGCAATACAACAGTGGGTCTATAGGGTCTCACATTGCCGTTGGCAGCCATAACTTTTTCAGCGTTTGTACAGCATACAGGATTGTTCTTATATCAGACGTAGCCAAATGACTTCGCCACATTGGTGTTTCTTCCCTACCACAACACACACACACACAATGTCCTCATTACAACAATTGGTGGAAGAGATTTTCCCAGCACAGACTAACCATGACCAAGGCACGGAACCGATAAGGGGTGCAGTGCTCATAGATACCAGCGGCTACTCGTTATCGCATTACGGGGTCTGTGGTAATGAAGACGCTGCCGTTTTGTTCAAGCTCTCCAAAGATGTTTTGAGCACAGAGGGGTACGGCGTGGTGGATTATAGAGAGTGCAAGGTGTATATTTACAAGAATGAGAAGGATGGCAGTTTGCTAGCCGTTTTTGCGTGAGGAATCACCTGGAGACTGAATGATCAACAATTTAGGATTCTGAAGGATCTGAATACTTTAAGTGATCTGCAGTTCTGACGGTCAGGGCTCTTGGATGGCTGGATTCTCCATGAGGGTTATGAATGGCACAAGGTGTACCCAGGGGGCTACCTGGTGATGGACTGCCACCCATCGCAGTGAATTCTTCAGTTCGCACTGTGAGATATAGATTATCTCGCCTTTTTATAGGTTTATGATTTAATAGAAAATAAGGGAAACCGAAGTAAGAGAGGTAAAGTTTCTTGTCAGGGCCGCATGCCATGTACCGTTCGTATGCCTACTAATCACGTACCATAACGGTAAAATGGAAAATCTTTGGCGTTATATGTCAAGACAAAAAAACTAAAAGCATACAGTTTATTATCCTAGAAGTAAGCCGAACATTGCCTAGAAACGGTGTAGACTTGGACTCGTCCAGAGCGGCCATAAACACTTGCTTCGGAACATTGAGTCTTTTAATTATAGAGTATCATTATGCCCCAGAAATTTACAGTAATCTACCGTTAATACGACATTCACTTTGCAATTTGTGATGTATATTGGCACTGTAACAATTCAGCTATATGCCTATATTATTTTTCATTCACACCCTCATCCAGAGAGTCAATATCTTCAAAAACCAGGCCCACCGCTGCCACCTCCAAATCCACCACCAAACCCATTGCCACCACTTCCCCTACCAAACCCTGGCGGACCATCATTGCTAAAACCTGGACGGCCTCCGTATCCAGGCCCATACGCATTACCTGGTCGCATGTTCCCTCCCACATTCCCCGGTAGCCCACTGCCAATCATTTCCATATCCATTCCGTGAGGTAATGTGGGATCATCAAACCTGGCTCCTGGAACTCTTCCGGGCCCCGGGCTCCCATGGGGTTGGTTGAAAATCGGATGGTTAGGCGTAGGGATCATTCCTCCATCACTGCTACCAGCCAAAGGATCCAAATACGGCTTCATTTCGGGGTAAGCGCCCACCGGAAGCCGATCTCTTTCGCCGATAGTCGGATAGTTGGGCTGGGCACCTGGCGCCTGGCCGTTCTGTGGCCTCTGTAACTTGAACTCGTCCTCAAACTTCGGGAGGTCGGGATGTGTGGAACCCTGCGGGGTATTTGGATATTTATCAGACATACTATTAGATTGTTTGTAGTTTTTAGGAAGATGGTGCACTATCGTACAAATGTGAAATTGCAAAGTATAGTCGCCTCCAGATATGCTTGCTCTTCCCCAGAAAAGAAAGTTGTTACCCGGCATCTAAGGTTTATAGCACACAGGAGCATGTATGTAATCTATGCAGGTTACAAGGGCTTAAGTAAACGACTTTTTTTGCCCTTGATCCACTTGACTTTCTCCACAGCATCCTAACCTCTAACTCTTTCCTTCAAACGTACATCTTTAGACTCTCTGGGGGAATGCTCCGAAAAATCTGCAATATTTTAGATACGAGTCGAGACCCATTACATTTGGAAATACAAATAGGTCTAAATTTGGAAATATAGATAGGTCTACATTTGGAAATATAGACCTATATTCAATTATGATCGGTTTGGTGAAGCTAATGACTCGGAGGCTACGCTACCCGGTCAAAGGTCTCGCCATTCACGTGCGAGCCCGTCATGCTGCGGCGGACGTTCGTCTCAAACGCCTTTTTGTTCTTCAACAAGTCGTTTGCAGCGTCCTTGTTCAACGGATCGTGGCCGTTAGGCTCAGAAAACAAAAACTGGAGGCCGATAAAGATGCTGTTCAAGTTCAAAATTGGCGTCCAGTCCTCGCGCAAGATGTTCAAGCACACATTCCCCTCGTAGTCAATGTTCGGATGATATATCTTGACCCCGCACTTGATCTTAGGCGGCTCGATCGGGTAGTTGTCATCTATGGCGATGGAGAAGGGGAACTTTCCGCCGTAATACGGTCCCTCGCACGGGCTGATCACAAGCTGGAAGTTCATTGTGTCGTCTGATCTGGGAAATGTTATTTTAATAGACTCCGGAAGGTCCAACTCGGTGATATCTTTCTGCACGCGAAGTCTGGCGGCCGAGACCGCGACTGAGGACGATCTGGATGAGCCAGTAGAGACGGTTGAGCCGTTTTGTTCTGCCTCTCGTGCAGCCTGTTCCTGTTTCTGCTTCTGAAGCTGGCGGATTTTCAACTAAAACGTTAGTTTTCGAAAAATTGAAAGGGCAGTGAGATTTGATCGGGCTGGGAGGGAATGGGAGTATGGATAGAGAGCATTGTAATCATTTGCAATGAGTTTTAGTGACTTTTTTTTACCGTGCTTTTTCTCTAAAAGGTGATCACCAGTATTCTGCGAATTTCTTTCGTTCCTTGGGGTGGCCTCAGTGCCAAAATTAAGACTATTCAGGAAGAAAAATCAAGGGGCACCCCTTCCAGGTACATCTATGACTTTGCTCTGCCATCTAGCAGAGCTTAGCTTTTAAGGAGGGGTCTCGAAGCTAAGCAGATGCTTCCACAATGTTGAAAGCTGTAGTTGGCCACACCTATCCGTCAACATACATAGGACTAAGTCGTCGCCAATAAGCCATCTTGGATTATAGCACTGCGAATCGTGTCAACGTGCGAATAGAACGTTGAAACATAAAATGAGATGGGTATTCTAATAGACGTACCAAATGAAATGGCAATCACTTTGATAGGCGGATAGAATGAGACGACTATTAAGTGAGACGGACCAAACGAGGAGGGGAGCAAAAATAGGCGTAATATGTGAAATAGCTATCATTCCCGAGTGTATCAGCTGATAAATGTCCAGAAACGATCAGCCAATGAAACTTGACACCTTCTAATAAAACCTGACATCTGCCAATGAAGTCTGAGGTCCACCAAATGATTCAACTTGTCGTCAAAAAGTCTTGGCTCTCAACCAACGACACCCGCCGCCTTCCTACCCTTGTACGGCAAGTGCTACATTGGATATCCCCAACCGATCAACATGATAGCACCTCCTAACCCCCCCTGAGCGCAATTCTTGCCATTCATACATACCATGGTTTAGGTTATCTCTACGATTCCTCGCCACTCCACATCTCTGCCTCGCTTGTCTTTAAAGCCTGGTCGTGCACCTGCTCGGCCGGGTAACGTGTTGCGCTATCAGGTGCCGTATCGTCAGGAGGAAGATAAAAAAAAATAGCCACAATTGCAAACCGAGAGGACTTTTGTTAGCACCCTACTAAATCAGTCCCATCGAGCCCTCTAGAACCGATTTTCGCCAGTTCCATATATTGCCTTTTAGAGTTCCTGCTTTGTCCAGTTTTTGAGAGACCCAAATACCCCTTGTATTTCATTACCAGGGCCACACAGAGTAATCCGATCACAGCCGGTTAACCGTTATCAAACCAGCAGATATCACACAAAGGATATCAGCTAATCGCCTTACAGTTGGTTCCTTTTCCGTTTAATTGCTCTCCAGCACCTCTGAACCCCAATTTGATTGCTCGCATCATTGCCGCAACCTTATCGACAAACCATTCAGTGTTGAGCTATCAATTACTGAACCACTTAATATCATCGGAGAATCTATTCCTTCGAGCCATTCAGTGTTAGACTGTGCATTGTGCCATTGAATTGTGGTTTCGTCAAATACTATCCATTGAACCATAGTTTTACCACTTAATTCGCCCCTTAGCTGCTTCTCAATCCCTTCTCGGATTTTCTACACATGACCACCACTGTTCCATTAATTTACGCGTTCCCGGAGTTCCACGGGGTGGCGGAAGCCGTGGCAGACCACATTGTGGCCGCGCAGAATATGACATTGTATAATAACTTGGCCAAATCAAGCAGTGCCGCAAGCCTCGGAGTCACCCCGATAGGCAGCGTGACCCCTGCGGAAACCTCTTTTGTCCAGCTAAACTCGCTCAACACTTTCCAAAAGGGCCACTCGCCATCGCCGTCGATATCTAAGGCCACCGCGCGTAAGGAGAGAAAGCAGCGCGAGACGCGGTTCAAGGTTGCGATTTCCGGGGGCTCGCTCATCAAGATCCTTCGTGAGGGTTTGCTTGACCGTGAGGACATTGAGTGGGCCAAGTGGGATATTTACTTTGCGGACGAGCGGTTGGTGCCGTTTTCCTCGCCCGAGTCCAACTATGGCCAGGCGAAGCGCGAGATCTTTGACCGCATCACCGCCGAAGCCAAGCCTAACATCTACCATATTGACGAGGCGCTCCTCGATGACCCGGATGAGTGCGCGGATGCTTATGAAAAGTGTCTCATCGACAATTTTGCGCGGAAGGACTCCGTCAAGTTGCCCATGTTCGATCTCTTGTTATTGGGCTGTGCGCCCGACGGCCATGTCGCATCGTTGTTTCCGCAGCACCCGACGTTGCGCGAGCAGCACGCGTGGTGCGTGGCGGTAACCGAGGCCCCAAAGCCGCCGGCTAACAGAATCACGTTGACCATCCCCGTCTTGTGCCACGCTCACCGGGTGACATTTGTGGTAGAAGGTGCGACAAAGGCCCCAATTATCAAGACTATCATGGAGAGACCAGAAAAGGGCTTACCGAGCAGTATTGTCAACGATGGAGCTGCCGGGAGAGTTACATGGTTTGTTGATGATCTGGCGTTGACTGATGTGTTTGTGACGAAGAAGAAGTATAAATTTTTAATCAGCGAGAGCTAGAAGCAGTGCCGGGTGTGACTTTCCTCGGGCAGTTATCAAGTCGGGGTGTTGCTCTATGGAGCAGTCTCAGAAGCTAGTATATACGATTAAAAGTCGTAAATGAAGGAGTATTACTCTCAGGGTATAAACTTTTGGTCACCTAACAATGTCAGCTCCAGGCGCAGCCTGGTGTTATCCTAACAGACCCTAACAAGCTGGTTTAGGAAGCAGCTTCAGGTGAAGAAGCTAGTGGTATGGTGGGAAAAGAGTGTCTATTCAGCGATAGCTGGGGTCGTTGGAAGGTTGATAAATTCGATTTAACCATAAAGAGTGAGATTTGAATCGAGAATGGGATTTTGAACTATTCAAGATCAGAAGTGGAGAAGGATTTAAATTGCACTAAGCGTAGGCTAAACGACTGGATGGGTGATATATAGTCCAGTTTATTCATATCAAATCCCCCAATATTTGGAGTTGAACGAACGAGAAGAGTTTATACTCTAATATTATTACTGTATGTGTATAGGGGTGCTGCATTATTTATCGGAGTTTGTAGGCGCAAAATGGAAAGATTCCCGGGATCATCTCAGGTTAAGAAAAATGGTTTTAATTAACAAATCCGGTGGAAGTCTGAAAGAAATATTTACTAGTCCTACCCAAGCTGTCATGATTCCAGATAAAACCGCTTTCAGAAACTGCTTTTAGAATGGCAAATCTTTACCGAACCTCACACGCGCATCGATGATCGTAAGTCGCACCAGCGTCTCCAGTGGCATGCGTTTTGCGAGCTGATCTTGCCGCCCTCTCCTTTGGCACTATATAAGTATCAGAACCCTCGATTCTTTCGTAATCATACTACTTGCTTCGTTTCTAGTACACCCCACAACGTTATTTTCCACCACAGCCTATAGCATATGGCGGCTACTGAAAATGTAAAGGGTAGCCCATGCCCTTTCAGAAAGCGCCTCTCAGCCTGAATCGACCCTTTTAGCAGGGCAAAACCTGTAATACCAATCCCTCCTCCTTCCCTTTTTGATACATGCTGGCACGGAGACTAGGCACTACAGTGCTCACGTGAGTCGGCTATTTCCCTATTGGGACTGTGTGCGACCACAGTTTGCACTACGGTTAGTCATCAGCTCTTGGCTCCGACACGACCTCATCGAGAAACGTCGGATTCTCGTATAACTGGGCCGCCACACCTCTTCTCCTTACCTCTTTCACACTCCCAACCAAAGAAAATGTCCCCTGTTATCGCTTGTGACTTAGAGGCGAACCGGGTCGAGGAATTGGAGCGATTGCTCACAGAAGTGAAGGAGAAAGTGGTCAAATATGTAGCCTCCGCTGCGCAGCCAGGCGCCTCCATTGGCCCCCGTTTGACCCCCCAGGAAGTCACCGAAGGACTCAACCTCCAGCTTTCTGCCACCGGATCGGGCGAGGAAGGTCTCCTCGCGACGTTCGACGATGTTTTGCAGTACTCCGTTAATACGTGGCACCCGGGCTTCTTGGACAAGCTCTATGCGTCCACAAACCCGGTCGGCGTGGTCAGCGACTTGTTGTTGAGCGTGTTGAACACCAATTCGCACGTGTTTACTGTTTCGCCCGCGCTTTCCGTGATTGAGAGGCGTATTGGCAGGGAGTATGCGAACATGTTTGGCTACACGGGTGCCCACGCGGGCGGGTTAACCTTTAGCGGTGGGTCCTACTCCAACATCACGTCGTTGCAGGTTGCCAGATCTATTTTGTATCCTGAGACCAAAGCGCGGGGGAACTACTTGCGTTTCGCGACGTTTGCCTCCAAGCACGCCCACTACTCCATAGAAAAGAGCGCCATACTCCTTGGCATGGGCTCCGATGGGCTTTTCAGGGTGAACGTTGCGGATGACGGGACAATGGACGTTGTCGACTTGGAAGCGCAAATCTTGCGCGCGCGTGCGCAAGGCTTTACTCCTTTGTACGTGAATGCCACTGCCGGGACCACCGTCTATGGCTCCTTCGACCCCTTCCGCGAAATTTCTGCCGTCGCGAAGAAGCACGGCCTCTGGTTCCATGTGGACGGCTCCTGGGGCGCTAACGTGGTGTTTTCCGAGACGCACCGCCACAAGGTAGCAGGCATCGAGCTTGCGGATTCCATCACCACCAACCCCCACAAGATGCTCGGGGTGCCAACCACATGCTCCTTCTTGTTGCTCCCAGACGAGCACGTGTTCCAGACGGCGAACTCGTTGGACGCGCCGTACTTGTTCCATAACGCGGAGGGCGGGGATAACTACGACCTCGCCGACGGCACCATGGGCTGTGGCAGACGTGCCGATAGTTTGAAGTTGTTTTTAGCGTGGCAGTACTTCGGGACGCGTGGCTTCGCCGCGCGCATCGACCACGCGTTCGCGATCACCGCATACTTCAGCCACAAAATCGCCCAGACTGCAGGCTTCCGCTTGGTCAGCAGCGCACCACCGCCATGCTTCCAGGTCTGTTTTTACTACCAACACGATGCGCAGTTTGATGACGGCGAACGTAATACCCGTGCAACACGCTTCATCGCCAAACGCTTGCACGCGACGGGCCAGTTCTTGGTGGATTACGCCCCGAACCCAGGCTCCGCTGACGGTGAATTCTTCCGGGTAGTCTTCAACAGTCCGGTTGTCACCAGTGATACATGCGACCAGTTGATCGCCGCCATTGAGGCTGCGGGGAGAGTGGTCCAGAACGATCTGGAGTAGATACAAATATATAAATGGGGGGGGGGGGGAGGGCGATACCTAGATGCACTCTAAGGCAAGGATTGATTTCCACTTCGCACCCGTGTAGATTGGTTATAAATTTCGAAAAGCTTATTGACAAGTGCATAAGGATATAGTTTAAATGCATCATTTAGCTCGCCATACGCTCAGTGGCATGATGGCTGTTCCACGTAGTTTCAGCCGAAGCTGTGTCTCCAGACTATCCTCGGAGCTTATTTCCAGAGATGCGCTAGTAATTATGGCATATGTCATTTCTTAAGCTGCATTGCTGTCATGCCTTCCGTTTTTAAGTGTAATTCCCGGCGCGTCTTCCTTTACCATATCCCACAGTCATTTAGTCCGGATACCTTGTATTGTTCTGTTTCATGTGTCTTTTACTTCTATGCCCCTTTCTAACTTTTAATTTATTTCCCTCTGGGGACCTTTTCTTTCTGTTTGAAGGTTTTCATATGCCATCAAGTACAGGGATTGTTGTTTCTTTTGGTCTCACTTTTGAGTAAAAAGCCTACCTCTGTCTCGAAAGTTAAATCGGTGTTTCAAACAGTCTCTATTCTGAACTGCATGTAAGAGCTCCGAGACGAGGAAAATCTGAGATGGGTTCTCGCAAAGGCTTGCAGCAAAATAAAGGGCAAATAGATACTTGCCAAGACTCTGAGCCCGGGGGGGGAACATATAATGGGGCGGTCGGATTATTAGGATTTCTTGCAGCAAGCCCAGAAACCTAGCTGTATGTCTTATCCCAATGGGTCAACTATCATACCCTTTATCACCCTGAACCCTGCGGTTGAGTATGCATGTCTACAGCGCCTTATAATCCCTGTACTATTCCGTAGTTTCTTTTTGTGGGGTCGCCGGTACCGGCCGGTACACTCTGGCTAAGGCCTTAATCCCAGTTCCTATGATGACATGATATGACACATTCTTTTGCTGCACGAACGGAATTGTAAAGTGGTACTCTGTCCGGGTATGGCTTGTACCCGCAGGGATCGAAGGCTAGGAGAACTGTCGATATAAAGTTAATTCACTCAGGTTTATGCTCATTATGATGAAACGATTTCTAGTCGAGTTCTATGCGTTTCTAGTTCCTGGAAACAATTCAGATATGCACATCGAACTTTCCATTGGAACCCCCGTGTACTGGAACCCCGCTCGTATCCCTATAACAATCTTGCATTATGTGTCCTGCGCTTGGTGCCGACTATAAGACCTTTACTAAAAATGATGTCGCTCGTGTAGGTATTTACGTTCCGAAATTTCTTCAAGTAATACACTTCCTTATCAACTTAAGTTACTTGTATTTAATCCATGTTTCTTCGTTGAGAAGGGTAAATTCCTGTGCTTTGAATTCAGACCATACGCCTCACTTGGAATCACATATGTGATAACATTCCACTTGCTTATCTCACTGGCTTCTGTTACATTCCTTGTCGCGAGGACAACCAAACCTTAGATGATAGTACCTTCGATACACGAGTATAACTACATAGCCTCTGTATATGACGACTAGTGAGCCCGGAAATTACTCCCGCGCCATTATGACCACCCCCTGCTCTAGGTAACCTAGCTTTGTTCTCTGGTCTTATCAAAAAAAATAGTTAAATCAAGATTTTTTTTTAAAAAAAAAAATAAGAGCCTTGTCCTGGCGCTTCCTTCCAAACCAAGTGTATTTTATGCTAGGGCGTGCTAGCGTAATTGGAGGTTTTGGGGACCGTTGCTAGGCGCCATGGGTCTGGGTCTGGTCCATAGCACTGTGAGCTGTTTGTTTTTTTAGCTTATCATTCCTTCCTATTGTGCCCTAGTGCGTACGGAACGTCTAGAACACTTCGACCTACCCGCCTGTGTCTTGGCAGCTAAACCAGCAAGTACATACACGATGACGTAGCCAAATTCCATTCTCCCACTTGCCGATATGGGCTCCTTATTTGAAGGTTTCTCAGTTCCAGACGATCGCTGGAGAAGGAGTAAAAATATAAGAGGCGTGTAGAGCTCTATCTCGACCCTGGTCTAGGATATAAACTACTGAATGGAATGCCTGAAACGCGATATAACTATAACAGATTAGCAGAGATGGGTCCCCGAGGTTTTACAAAGCGTAAGTCTGTAAACCCATCAACTGTTAGGACCTGGAGCACAAGGTATCTGTTCGCTCCAAAGGGAGTCAGTCCGCAAAGTTCTGTTCGATGTGGCTGTTTTGGAAAGATTAGCACACGTCACTTTTGCAACTGTACAACGCTTGAGTTCAGCTTTCCACCTGTCTCCGGAGAGCCATAATTATTTATGGTCTGTGTGGTAAAACCAGGGTTCAAGTGTCTTCTAGTCTCTCTAGAGCGCTCCTCTAATATATTGAGCCAGGGACTAAGCAGTTTCGTGGCTTCCAAGGAGTTAGCTCGGTGGATAAGACCAGGGGTCACGTACTATACAGGGAACTAAACGCAATTAGTCAACTAGACGAAGTAGAAGTCCAGCAGGCTGGAGACCTAAAATTGCTGTAATTTCTCTTTCTCATGGCTAAGTTAGCCAAGCCAACGCAGCTCGCGAGCCGTAGCCATTCAAGGATGAGAAATCGATTCCACCTCGTCTGACAGACTTGACCAGGCCCTATTATACGAGGTCACACGTCCAACGGTATTCCGGCTGTTGGAAAAGCAATCTGAGAAGAAGAAAGCAAATCGGTACAGTTAAACTGGCCCCTCGGTTTCATTTGGTTGGATTAGAACCGTATTACCAAGCTCCGTCTACAGCCCCCAGAACTTGCTTGCTCGCATGTCCATAGGAAAATGTCTATGCGTTCAGGAGTGCCAAAAGTTGACCGCTTGCTTTCGTTCGAAGCCTTTCTAAAAATCGCTCGCTCGGCGAGAGGTGGCCGTGTAGCCGTTACGAATCGTCGGCTATGAAAACTACGTATGGAACGCCTGGCTTAAAGTATTAACATAGTCTAGGGCGCTTGTACGCCGGGCTATGTAAAGAGGTTTAATGTCGTGTAGTAGAAAACACGTGAGATGCGTTGTTAGTGGCGCCTCAGGCTGCCATGTACGATTAATAGACGAGTTTTGTGCATATGCATCCGGCGATTGTGTCATGCCCCCGTCGGATAGGCTGCAGGACCTTTGCCCTTTGGTGACGGCACAATGGGTTTGAAGGGACCACGGATCAAGACTGCTAACTAGTCTGGCCCCTTTTGCTAAAGCATGCGGTATCGCTTAGTTAGCTTACTGAGCCTGCTACGTACTGGTTAGTGGCCTTTGTGCTACACGGGTACTGGATAGGAGGCTAGTTTGCTCGTGCAAATAGGCTCCACTCGTCACTGCGATGCGTATAGTAAAGTAGTTCCAGTAAGGTACTATTGTGCTGTATTCTTGGTTAAAGTTGTTGTCCACGCGAGAAGGTATGTTGATGGTAGCTGATGGCTTTACCGGTCAGTACGTTTGACGGAACCAGGTTGCTATTTGCAACCGTCTTGGCACTTAGCGGCAAAGGGTAACTACAAACTTCGTAGTTTCCGGCCCGTCTGTCGTTTGGAAGTGAATATTTTTTATTAGGACAAGTCTTTCCACAGAGGAAGCGCGGGCTCTACGCCATGTGGCGGTGCATATGCACGCTTGTGCTCTCCACCACCCTGAACTAAAGTAGCGTGGAGAGGCATCGTGAAAAGCCAGACGTCGTGTTTCAGCTATGAGGGTTTGCGCCCCGTAGGCTTATACTTGAATATGGTTCTGTGGTTGTACTTTTTCGTTTAAGGAGTTACCATTGTTTCGCCAGGGTTTCTGGAAGGCAGAGCCGAAACTGACGTGCATACAGGGCTATCTCGTTAGCTCCTATTGTACTTGGAGGTTTCACACCTCTAGGCGCATAGCGGATCCATTATGATTGTGTCTACGGCAGTGTTATGTGATCGTAATATATTAATGTTTATCGTAAAAGCCAGGAACCCATAAAATCGAAAAAATAATGCAGAAATGTCGTAAGAGGCATAAGGTCGTGAATAAGTTAATAGCAAGCGTTGGAGTACGGTTCGTAGTAAGGCAACGGGTACAGCACCGGAGGCACATAGTACGACATTGGGTAGCTTTGCTGGACATACATAGGAGGAGTGTAGACTTGGCCGTAGTAGATCGGAAGCGGAGCAACCGTTACCGGGACAAATGGGGTAACTGTCTGGGCAACGTATGGAGTGAGTTGTTGAGGAACGTATGGAGCAAACTGTGTATAGTGAACCCTCTTAAAGTGTGGAACAGAGAAGGCGTCCTCTGAAATGTGTCGTTTGTGAGAGATGCCCGATACCGGGGTGATATGTGGAGAACTTGGAGTCATTGGGTAGACATTCACGTTGTGGCACGGCGTGATGCAAGGCGCGGGTTTGGCGTAGAAAGGTGTGGCAGGATGTACCGGAGAGACAGGACAAACCTTTGGCGTGGCGATCAAACTGTCAACGTCCACCTTCAACGCCAAAAACACGACCGTGTCTTTGACGTAAGAGACCCATTTGGTCCATTGGGCGACGCTGACATTTACCTGGTAGTCCATCTTCGCAAGAGCCATCTTTTCCAGCTGAATCAACTTCTGCACAGGCACACCGGAGATCTGCGCCCAGCTTTTGGTGGTGTAGGACTGGTCGTCCAAGAACTTGTTGGCGAGCATCAAGCTTGCCACCACGCGGGTGTACGTGAGCTGAAAGTTCTTGATAGTGGCGCGGTGCGCCAGACTAGCCATCTTGGACAAGTAGAAAAGGGACGTTAACAAGACCTGGTTGGAGACCTGTGAGTTGTGCAAGAGCTTTCCGATGAGCTTGCCGTACACCGGCGAGAGGCTGTGGGGGTACGCCGAGTTAGGGCAGAGAAGGTGCCATGAGACATTGGTGTATAATTGAAGCAGTTGGGGCGATGGTTGGTGCAACATAACAGAATACTGGATCAGACAACTCCGTCAACTCTTCATGAGCGAAGCGATGGCTATATATATATCAGTATTCATGTCTGATGGCAGACTTCAAGCTTACCAGACGCATCTGCAGCCGCTAGTCAGAATTTACCTCGCATGCGTTACCGGGATCGGCGTATGCAGCAGGTCGCATGTGCATGATTCAATTCTGTTCCGCATGCAGGAAATGCAACAGCTCACATAGGCTCTGGAAAAGAAATTAGACGCTGCAAGTGCGAGTAAGCTGCAGCTGCAGCTGCGAGTTAGACAAAGAGCGCATCCCGGTGGCTAGGGCAGAATTGGTGACTCCCACGACTGCGCCGGCCTACGTGGGGGCTATTGTAGTTGTCTACTTTTGGTGGCCTCAAAAGGAATGTGCTGGCAAAATCTCTCACTCTTCAGGTATAGCGTGTAATTGGGATGCTCTGATGCTAACTGGTCTAGACGTCCGTTACGCCCCCCCCCCCCCCCCCCCCCCCCCCCCCGCCTCCAACAGCTACCACCGAGACTCCATGGTGCGCGGTCGTGTAATATTTGTAGAGTGCATGGTGGAAACGTTTCCGACAGCCACTCCAGCTGAGTAAAACCGAAGCCTGTATTTGCCTCGGATGGGCCTCAGGCTACGCAGATCCGTAGCAGTGACGCTGGGAGACTAGTTTTACCAGCATACGATTTTTACGTCTTCCCACATACTAATCCCAGACAGCACCTTTCTTCCCACTAGGGTATTAGTATCCCCGGTAGTACCTTTTCCTCCTAGAAACGAAAAGCTAAGCATGCGCTACAGCTAAACCAATGAGGCCAACCAGTTGCAAATAGGGGTATTGGTGAAACGCAACCCAAACGCTAAGCTAGTGTGCGCTTTTGTTTACTAAGTTGCAGTAAGACACTCCAAAAGAAGTAATAGTCAGATTCAGTCAATCGCCAGGGCAGTATAATTGTATCAACCCTCAACTTCTGAAATTGCTATCCCTGTTGAAATTGCTCCCCCGGGGGAATATCTACCCGTAGGCGTACCGGGGTATCTGGGAAATATTTCTCTCCTTCGGGCGATTATTCGCAGTAAACGATTGGCGAAACTGTTTGATATACGGGTAAGCCGGCGGGGATGGGCCGGCTGGGTGACAGAGTCCAAGAGTTATTACCATGCGGAATATCGAACTAAATATCGAACTAGCTGGGATTAATCGTCCCATTTGAGCGTCCCATGAATTTCAGCACGTTTGCATACCTCTGTAGATCAGTGTGCTAAAAGAACGTCTCCGTGAACCGGTATCAGAATGCGTTCCACTCCGATCCTAATAAATGCAAGGAGTTCCGGCACCTATCTCTAACTCTTTGTGGAATCGACGGAAAGCCGCTGCCGACAGTCCCCACTTATGAGACATGCATACTACCGTCTCACGTATGGTATAACCCGCTGCTACTTTTTCAATGGCTTATTGATAATCATACTTTATTTTTCCCCCTTTTATTTTTGAACCGCCCTATTGGTGTGATTTTCCTGCTATTCGTATCCTCAGCCTGTCGCAATGGCTCGCACAGCAAATACTCCACCGCCACCCCATGCTATGGCTGTGATCGGCGGTTTCCAGGGTAACACTGTCCAGGGCTTGTTATTAGGTTTTGGAGTGTAAAAAAAACACGTGATTATTTTGTATATTCCAATCTTGGGCATCGGGATTAGTTAGCCCTTTGGAGGCCAAACGTAGTCTAGTCTCAGCAAGGGTCTCACTACCATGAGACTAAAACCACTCTAGCTGCTTGGCTTTAGATATCTTGGATGGTTGGTGTAGGACAGCGCTGCTACATAAGGACCAGGGCCTGGTCTCAGATTAAGCAGATACGCACATTGTATTAGTAGGAATATTTCCATGGGGCTAATCCAAACTTAAATAAGCGGCTCCTCCAGCTAGAGCAAAGCTTGTGCAAGTCAATTTGTCCTCTGTAGATATACGATTGGCGTGGCTAATATGCAGTCAGAGGATACTCACGGTCCACCCAGGCTCTGTCATTTCGGATATACGCTCTCATCTGTGATCTGGTACTGCGGCCAAACGCCCTACTTCAGTCACGAAGGACTGGTGGTTTCTGCGTCGCCCTGGAATTCGCACAAGCGACATGTCTCATTTTTGGACGATGATATTGTGCATGCAGCCATGACGTACCTCGGCGTAAACTCTCGCCCAGTCTAGTCTTGTTTATAAACAAACAGGCATAAGATGCCTTTTACTAAAACCCGGCCAAAAACAAACTATAAACCAGTGAAAAGAAGTAAACCCCTTTTAGAGTTTAGGCATGACAGCTACTCGCCACAGCCTTCCTTTGAGGATTGCGATGCAAGGTTACGTAAAGATGATTCAGTGTAGGGATGGTTCGTAGGCGATTTACTATTCCTCCGGTAATACCGAACCGTAATGCACCAGGCGTCTTATATCGCTTGGCTCTGAGCTGGAAATCATCTGATAAATGCACTCTATAATGTATGGCCTGGTTCGGGATCGGCCGATGGGGATAATCGCCTGTGCGAGCTGTTGGGGAGGAACGGCTACAGCCACTGGTCATAAGCCTTACAGCCGATAACTGTGGACTCTGTTACGTCACCGAAAATATGTGGCTTGGCCTCACCATGCATACAGGCGTAGTCCTACGAAGCTAGGATCGGCAAAGAGCCAACCTCTGATATTCTTTATTCTGAGCCTTGAGCGCCGACTATCAAAGATCGAGAGAGATGCGGTACAGACTATCTGGGATGTGGGCAAAAAGGAGTAAGTACCACATGTCTTGGCTAAGCTCATGATCTTGAAAATAACATTGGTGGCTGCTCTACGCCATATAACCTTACACCACCGATCGACGGAGGCTGTGTTGGCGAGACTGGATCACAGGTGTTACACTCTCCGTATGTTTGATGTGTCCGCAGCTTCGAGTGAGGCTGTCTTGCATCCGGATTATGTCTGCTCTGGAACCAGCGTAATCGTGAACGATCAGCTAGGCAAGTTCTAAGTGAACGTGGGTCATCTGGCGAACCCCGTTTTTGACTCTTCTGTCAATTCCATTTACACCAAAAGCGGTAAAAGTCGTATTAAAGGCACATGTATATGCTTCAGCTATAGCTGTTGCAAGTAGACTCTGGTGTAGAACAATAGCTACGGTTAGCGTCAGGCGTTTGGATGGGGCCAACCATAGTTTACGATCTGATAAGTAGCTTGGGGGCCCAGGGACGGCCGCATGTTGCGCAGACGCCGCCAACGCCTAGGAATCTAGCATGGTCGGAGAAAATCTTCGCGAGAACTTTTGCTAAGTTAGAGGATCAGCAGAGGTTGCCTAAGACCCCCTGGTCCTATTGTGCATACCCTCAGAGATAACTGCAGTGTTTCTATACCAAGGCGCATCAGACGTGGAAACCCATCCGCCTTGTGCATGCAACGTGGATCGCCAGGATTTCATGGATCGCCCTCTATTGGTACAACGCATCTCCTAATGGTGGCCACCAATGCTGGGCGTAAAAGTACCAATCAAAACAAAAAGTCAGAGCTATGACGCTACAAGTCGACGTGGAAGAAGAAAAACGGGTGTATAAGTGCCCCTCGCCTACGTACCAGAGAATTATCGATGGTAAGTGGCGTAATCTCAGTAAGGGTGCATTGTGCACTAGTGTAGAAGTTAAAAACTAGTGCGTCAAAACCGTATCAAAAAGGAGTCAGCGTACAACTCGAGTGTTCAACCATATTGGAGAATGTATGACTTGTTTTGGACATGGTGTACATTTTGTTCCCAGTAGTCAAGTCAAACAATGTTGACACTTCCAAGAACTAGTAAGATATATATCTGTGGTCCGTAAAGGGGGGCAAAAGCGCTATGCATGCGTATGAGCGTATTGGTGCAAGTGACCCAGGTACATTTAAGTAAAAAAAGTGTTAGCGTAATTACCGACGACTGATTTACAAAAACTAATGCCGCAAGAGACGTAAATATATTTGAAACACACAAAGTCTATTAGCAAGGCAAAAAAATTAGTGAGCTAGATATATATTTACACTCGTGTATTGCTTCGCGTATGTCGATATGGCCGCCGCTTAAGCATATATAAATGTTGGTATAAATTCAAATATTTGGGCAGCGTAAACCCTAAATAATTAGATACGTGCTCGTTTGTCGTAGACAGCTAGTTTTAGTAAAATTCATATATTGGTTCCCCAAAGTAACCAAGGTTAAACTTCTGGGTAAAGGATGCATATGTATATATTTCATTATACTAGTGATTGTATCGTACTTGAGCTCGCATATTCACATCGGTGTACCTACGTGCTGCAATTACCGGACCTTTCTGGTTGATACGTATTGAAATTGAAAAGCCACATGTATCCTTCGTATAGTTTGTACGTGGTTGAGTGTCTTTGTAAGATCGCAACAGGTCACCTTTCATGACGGGAGAGTTTGCCGTAGCGCACCAAACTCCTAGAAAATATTCTAGCCACACTGCATGCCGATGATCGCTCTAAAATAATTGCCCTATTGTGCTACATGCTGATTTCTGCATTCTGATCGACTAGGAGATTGCGTTAGCATATGCAGTGTGCCGGTTATTACCAGGGCATGGTCGTAAAAGTCCCATGTCACTGAAAAAGACTGATTATCCCAGACTGGCATGGAAATGCATCCCATACTTACGGCAGTTTCGGAGAAAAAAAAAAAGGACATTGGGAGGCAAGGCATGCCGATTCCTATTGTTGAACTCAGAAATCAGTCCGCGCATCAAGCCTCAGGTTCCTCTGCCTGACACCTATCCCGCGATTATCTCTCACACCGACGAGCTAATTACCGTCCGAAGACAGTCGAAACAGCGGCAGGGTTAATCATGATTTATCCAAGCAGAGAGATACCTTTACCGGAAGAATCTCATATTCCGCGTTTTTATTGGGGCTGCTCCTATGCATATGTGTAACCTTAACCGGTTCTGCCTTGTTCTGCACCTCGGACGTTTCACTCACGTATACAGGATTCCGGAATAGTATTACATGCGGCAGGTATCACAATAGGGATCTTACTGTTTCAGACAAACGAGAAAATGAGTCCATTAAGCGAGTCTAGGAGATTTCACATTCACCAAGGGCATATACTGAGTGTAGAACATAGCTCAATAGCTTCTTTTGAGGGTAACCCGTCACCTGTGGATTGAGGTTTAAGCTGTATAGCTTCCCGCCTTAAGGGATAGATCGTGCAGACCCTAGTCCAGGTTCCCCGATTCACCAGTCCTGTGTATACCATTTCTCTCCTTGGAATACCGCCGTGAGCCTGCAGTTTCGGGGGAGGGGGCAAAGTCATCGCTACGATGATCACTGACTGTACCACAGAGATGACCCAGCTGCCTCTATAAGACCCCCTGGTTTGACATTGACAACAGCATGAACCCAGGAGGATTCCTACCGAGATTAGAATGGTTCATGCGACCAGCATCTTTGTAGAGATACCGTACCAAGTCCCAGTGAATACGATCCACGCGGTATAGGGATTTGGCCTTTAGGGTAAATAAGACCCGTCACTTGGGGTTTCATTTCCCGTAAAAATCAAGAAAATGGTACGGTAGCCAGATTAAACTTGTGCATGGCAGGAAATACCTGGCCCTGTGCTGGGCCAGTGCACACGTAGTCTCACTAAAGACGCATTCCTGGAACCTGAAACTTGCAACCGGTGCAAGACCCAAGTGCAGGGGATGGCTGGGAAATATTATTGCTGCGTCCGTCGGACGCAGCCTGGAGCCGTTTTGTCCCCCATCTGTGTAAAGTATTGAGAAGTCATGCACACAAGACTACCGATACCATGTATGAAGATCTACGAAAGCCCAATGCCTTACAAGACGTGCTGCATGTCCCTTACTTGCTATCCCTTAGACTCTTAGCAGCATGGATCGGCAAGATAGCTCCACTACGTGACAATTGATCATGATCTACAAGCGCGAAAAATTCCGCCTGCTTCCGACTAGTAGCCACTATCGACCAGTAAGACACTGCAGTGACTGATCGGTGCGTCTGGTCTCCAGACCGTGACGAGGGAAAAAGATTTAAGTGCTTTTGAGCCAAAGTCATCAGTCGATACAAGATCAGCACGGTGCATGGAAATGGATCGCACAGGGGATTAACTTATACGACTTTGACCTAGAGCCCTAACCCCATGTATTAAGGCCGCTCTAGATCGTAGTGGCACGCAGATAATCAAGGATAGCGGTATTACTCAGGTCTGGGACGTTCTTGCTTTTTTCGTATTTCGGAAGAACATACAAAAAGAAAAAAAAATGTGACGTAGCACAGAAAATACAAATTTGCAATGGACCGACCGAAACCTTACAGAGGCAACAGCCTAGAACGACGAGGAATGTGCAGGGGCCTGGTTGAAACACCGGAGTTTGACTACAGGCTTGTCTCATGCATGCATCTTAAGCCCTATCATGCCAGACTAGTCCACACTAGCACTACCTGCACTTTATGTGTATGTGACTGAGCTCCAATGCCCAAAGTTCTAAACCTGCATAACTTTAGTACGGGACACGTATACCCAAGTGGTGGCAAGTGTTGACAAGTATCAACAACCTTGTTTTAGTTCGACTCAAAGGGGCATGTTTCGAAAACTGGATCGTACATATGCATGCTCAAGATTGATTCCTGCCAAATGGAGCATGGGCAGGGCTGCAGCTATCCTGCTAACATGCCATGTTTTTCGTAGAGGCCTCTACCCTTGTATGACTACGTTTTTTTTTCCGGCTGCAGATAGCCCTAACCCACCACAGGTTTTAACCGGAAAAGGTGATTAATCGCAGTCCGCGGACATTTGACATAAAACTAGCCCAACACTTATACGAATCAAGGTGGAAAAGAAAGAATTACAGTCACATGGCAGACATGGATTCCCTGTTGGATTTTCTGTGCAGATTTAATTAGCATCGATTCTCCCCCAAGCCACCCCCTGTAGGAGTTTAGTGCCGACTAGAAATCGTGACTGGCTAATCCTTGTAGAAGCAGCTCTAAGGAGTCCTATAACTCCAATTAGATGCGTCTGTAAAAGAAAACTAAACCTTCCTTCCAACACAAATCGAGCTATCCTTGTAAATGTCACAGCTGTCTCCTGGGGTACAAGACCAACCTTTCTAGTCAGAGAAGGGACCATTCAACACCCCCCGGCACCTGTACACTGCAGCTTCGCAAATCCTAGCATAGGGTGACCCCAGTATCTGTATAGATCGTGCTAAAACACATTCCTGGGTTCTTGTGGTTTAGAGTAAGTTCCGGCGATCTTTGCAGCCAAAATTGGGCACTTCCTGCGGTTTTGGCTTACTTCATAGCGTATACCTATCTGCTATAGAAAGTGCATTCGTTATACTAAGAAGGCTAAAAAAAACTAAAGCTAAGGGTATTTACCACACATAATCTCCACAACACAGGCCAGCACGAGTATGAGGTGTAATATTTATCTGCGATGAAACAGCCATATTCAAACATAGGGTGTTATACCCGTTCGGAATTGAACTTGGTGGCTAGCCCTGAAAAAGAATAGTGATAGGCTACCGTACAGGTGGCTGGTTCAGAAAAAGGTGGCGGATTACTGAACGTCTTGCGTAGACCGTCAAGCTCAAAGAGCTACCAATTAGTGCTCTACCTCCAGTAAGCCTTCCTAGCAATGAAAAGCAGAGAGAATGGTGTTTAAGGTAATAGTATGATGCTTCGAGCTTGGGTCTGTCAGAAAAACAATGCTGGACCTGGATCCTGTCAGAGGGTACACTTTTGAACGTGTGGAAGTCGAGTCACAACGACTATTTGTATAGTAGCACTCGGCTTTTTAGACTGGCGACTTGAGGATAACCCTTGCTTCCAGAGAAACAGCTAGAAAGCACGGAAAGTGGATCGGGAGAACAAAGTTTGATTTATTGTAACCAGATTTAAACGGAGTCCCGAGCACCAGATTGCATAGAGAATATCTATCGAAGGGCAGAGTCGACCAATAGATGACATTGGGGCTTCTGCTGTCCTGGAAGACAGTAATTGGGATCCTTCAGGTAATGGACTGTAATTCTTCACTCGTAGACGTCGACTGGGATTTCTCAATCGAAGGAAGCGAGGATTCAACCGTGCTATCTGATGATGGAAGTACAGCATCGATATCGCTCGCAGTCCCGGTAGTATCCTCAGTGCCATAAGCCAGTAGAGGTGAAGGACTCAAGGGATAAGACCCATAAACCAAACATTCGTCCGCCACGTTTTGAATTTAGTATTAAGGCAGCGCATGTAGCATGTATCATATCTCCTAACATTCTCATCATCCCTGTTATAGTCCTTTGCTTTTAAAATCGTATTTCCTGATTAGTAATGACTCATGGATATGTTTTCATCAAAAATACATAAACCAGAGGTATGAGGACGAGGCTGTTTCAATATAATGGGGAAAGGAAAGAGAGAAAACGATGGGTAGTAAGTCTGAAGCTGTCCCAGTGAGTTTCTATACGTCAGGCTGTGTTTGAGGAATCCTTTCATAGAGGTTTGGTCTAGTGCTTCCAGATCTATCGGGTTGAGGTCTTTGCTTCAATACACCGTTAAACATAATTACAGTGGGCTAACGAAATCAAAACAGGTATCATTAAATAGACAATAACGGGATAACTAAATCCCGGGTGATTCAGCAAATCACCGCTATAGTATATCTGTTGAAAATACTACCCAAAAACAAACCTCCAGAAGCAATAAAACAAAAAAGAATGCAGCGACAGAAAAAAAAAATTGAACGAGATTAGAAAGCAAAGTAAAATGAAAAATATAAAGTACTCAATTAATGGGTGACGGAGCAGGAACCGATAGCTGTTGAAATCAATCAATTCGGAATATGTGCACATGGTTAATGCGGCACTTTAACGGGCAGGGCTCTCGTAGCTGCTGGCGCCGTCGGTATTGGAATCGGTGGCTCTGGTAACTTCTCCGAAGTTCACCTTTTCACCTTCTTCCTGTTCCATAATCTTGACAACGTAGTCTTCCTTGTCGGTGACGTCACTTGGGACGTGGAAGAAGCGATTTCTCCAGAAACCGTCATCACCAATAACCTCCTTGGCCATCAAAGTGTAGCCACCGAATCTCGGCATGGCAACACTCCAGACGAGCCAGTAGATGATACCAACGGCCACGATACCCCAGGTAGTGACCGGATGAATCCAGTAGGGCAAGCTTTTGTAGACACTCTGGCCACCGGTTGGCGGAATGTACGGAGCGGCAACCAAGTACAAGGAGGCCAAGGCAAAGAAAAGGGTGACAGGGAACGTCGCCTTGATTTTTGGGTTCCATTCGACCAAACCCCTGCTGGCCTTCCAGTTGACGTACAACAAACCCACGGCCACGGCAAGGTTGACCAAGTTCAATGGGTAGGAAATCAAATTCATGACAAAGTTGTACGCATCACCTGGAGGTGGGGCGATGATCGTGATAACACAGACAACCCAGTGCTGGAACAAACCGACAAAAGGAGAGTTGAACGGTCTAGAGGTGGCAAAGAAACGAGAGAACGGCAAAACACCTTCTCTCCCCAACTGCTGGATGATTCTCCCCTGAGAGAAGATAACCGATAACACGTTACCCAACGCGGACAAGGCAACAAAGACGGAGCAGGCCTTTTCAGCAGTCTCACCGAAAGCGATTCTGAAGAAGTGCGCGGCCAAGATTCTCCCGGAGTCGGCAATTACTTCCTTAGGAACCACCGCAAAATAGGCAATGTTGACAAACATGTAGATAATGGACAAGACAACAAGCGCAATTGGGGCGGAGTATTTCAACGTCTTGACCGGGTCCTTGATTTCACCCAACGCGTAGTTAGCGTTGGAGTAGCCGATGTAGGACCAAATGACGTTGTACAAGGCATTGACAACCCCATACCCGGTAGGGGCTTCACCGGCAAAAGCGTTGGTGAAGTTGCCGGTTGGCTTAAAGTCGTTGGTCTTCAACCCACCGCCCAAGGCAACCCAGCCGGTAACGGAGATAAAGAGAATGATACCAACCTTGAAGACACCCAAGACGTTCTGCAACCACAACCCGGCCTTGATAGAGGTACCGTTAATGAGGAAACAGAAGGTGATGACGGCGATACCGATCCCACGAGAGTTCCACTGGGTCACCTCAACGTTAGCAGCGTTCAAGATGTACTCACCGACCACGATGGAGTTACCAGCGGCCCAACCAAGGAAAAATACGTAGGTGGCATACATCGCGGTGGCCAAGAACCTTGGCTTGTTGTACACGTACTCCAAGTAGTTCTTTTCCCCACCGTTTCTTGGGATCGCAACCCCAAACTCCATGTACACAAACAAACCAGCCATGGCAATCAAAGAGCCGACAAACCACAAGAGCAAGGCGGTACCCACAGAACCAGCCAATGCGTAGATGGTTGAGGACACGGAGAAAATACCAGCACCAAGCATACGGTTGCAGATCAAAGAGGCGGCCGAGAAGTAGCCGATCTCCTTCTTGTTGCGGTCCAACTCAATGACCGCGGCTTCACCGTCGAAGGAGTTGGACTCATCATATTGCAAGTCTTCGGAGGAGTTCTTCTTGGAACCCCAGTTCTGGATAGCGGACGGAATTTTGACACCCATTGTAGATTGATGAACCGTTGGCTTATTTTTTTTTTTTTTGAAAAAAAAGATATAACCCCAAAAAGCACTGATACAGGCAAAGCAAAAGAAGCGAAAAGAGGGTGGCTCGACACCGTTTATATACAAACCTGTTCCATCGCTTCTTTCCGGCATGTGTGGTGACTAAGAGAAGCCCGTAAAAGAAAGAAAAGTCTTGGTGCAGGTGCATATTGGTAGGGAAATGTGCACTCCTCTAAACGGGACGACACAAAGGTTAACCATAGTTTCTTTTGAGACCCGTGCGCTTTCAGAACCAACAGGTGTGCGGCTTGTGGTACGGAAAAGAAATCCATAACGCCGTGACCGCGAGTCAAATTTTCTATGCGACATAATACCTGCGGCTGTTAGATGCATAATAGCTGACTCCTGAAGGGCTGGATGACAGAACGGTCTAGTGTGATACAAGCCACAGTTTCGTCTGCCTCTAGGCCTTACAGAGCGGGTAGCTCCGTCAGCGGAGGATGTATGCTGGGCTCCGGCGGCGCGTAGATGGGTAAGCTTAGCGTCCAACATATCGCATACTTCATCCGGGGCGAAAGCGTTAAATTTACACTGCTACACCCGTGATCTTTTATGGAATCGTTTCTAGTACACCATGGATGTAGCCCTATGATCCACAGCACCAGCCATTTAGAGTGTTGCCCATCGGGGCTTGTTTTAGGTGATTTAAACAGACACTTCATCTCAGCAACCATATTGCGAATGATTATGGCGAATAGGTATCCTGTGGACCCAATCAGAAGCCACAGTTCCTTCAAGGACTTGACATATGTCTGTTGCGGAAAATTTTCTTCGTATGCATGCATGAGGTGCGTTTTATCCCAATTGAAGGGGGGTGCCATCGCCGTTGCAGGAACTGTAATCTCAATTAGACGTGGGCAGGGATTTTCCTACGCCGAAAATATAGATAACACAATCACACGTGATGGGTATGTTGTGAGTATGGTTAATAAATCTGGTAACTAGCCAGTTTTTCTATTTAAAAATAGCGCCGGACCATTTTATTCGGAGGGCATTCGAGACTGTGGATGCAACTGACGTGATTATAGGGTTGCCAAGCCCCTACAATATGTCTCATTCATCTTTGAGGAGCGGGGTCCATGTTTTGTAATTAATGTAGAAAGAGAAGGATCCTTGTCCGCAGAGGCACCTTTGGATTCCACAATCTCCCGATGAAGGTGTTCCAGCCGGTACCGGAAAGGTGGAGCTCGCTCGGTTTTATTGGATCTTATTACAATCCCCTGAAGCGGGCTTCTACACAATCAACAGACGGGACTGTACCGTCAGACTGGATAGTGGGAGTATACCCATGAATTTAGATCGCCGTTTTCCTGAACCTCGAGCCACAGTTTTGTCGCGGAAATTCTAAAGGGCTAGCCAGTGGAGGAGCTGTGATAAAGGCAGAAACGGCCTAACGGGACTGTGTAGGTTGGTCTTATAAAACGCCGTACGAAAAGTAGCGATTAAAATTGATGATTTCTATTCTTTGGTGTGGTGATTGGTGATTCTTTTTTTCTTGATGAGAGGACAATGTGATAATTGGAGATCCTATTTCTTGGGGAGGGTCATCAGAGCGGACGGTGTGGTAAATGATGACTCCTATTTCTTATCGAGGGAACAGTGTGGTTGACAGGAGATTATATCGAACATGACTCGGACATACACCAAGTAGACACTCATTTGTACATGTAGTTACAACCGCGGTGAAAAAATTGGCCACCAGGCAAACGAAAGTTAGGCGATGAATATCTCTCTGGGGTCTTTTAGCAAAAGCTCTGAATTGATTCAATATCAATAATTAGATTGGCTTGCAAAAAATCACAAATTCGAGTATTGCCAGTTGTGTCATTGGGGTGGGTTGACACCTGTTTGCAATTTTCAGACCGCAGCACCTCGCTAAAAACGTTTTACACGATGGATTTCAATCTATCGAATAACTACATTTGCTATTCGCCTAATTGTAACAACATGGTCCAAAGTGGGCTCCTCTCACGCCACAACACGATCTAACAGAAAAATCGAACCACACCGCGGTGATAGGCCAGAACTTTTCATATTTTCACCGATAACATACCGCAAATAGATGGAATTACAGAATTCTTGGTGGCCACAGGCTGCACACAAGTATACTCTAATGTCTAATGTATTACCCAGCTGAGCTCGCTAACATGCCCATCAAGGCTTAACCTTAATTCTAGGCGAACAGCTAACTTTCTTCTCAGCCTGTATTCTAACGTGACGCTACCCGCTAACTTTGCCGAGCCCTAAAACCCCCCTTTGTATACGGCTTATTTCAGTTGTCACTTTTCCTCCATTTAGAGGGCCGCCACGAACTTCTCCCATTAGATATTGGTTCCCCGGAGTACAAGTCAAGTATTATCCTGCACACACCATTGAAATGTTTTTAAACGCAGGAAATTAAGCTACCGCCATACTAGCATTATATCCGGCATTTAGGTGCTGAAAAAAAATTCATGCATGGTCAGGATGACCTGATATAACCCTTGAAGCACCAGATAGTCAGTAATACACAGGGATATCGCCGTTAACTACAGATGTTTGCCGCCCGTTTCGATCCAGGTAGTCTAACCTCTACATCTGTCAAGAATGAATCCAAGAAGAGAAGATTGAGCAACGACAGCGATGAACAGATGAGTGAGAGTGATGACAGTAGCTCCAGCTCTGAGGATTCCGACAATAACTCTGATAATGAATCTGATAATAACTCCGACAATAATTCCGACAATGAATCTGATAGTGCATCTGATAGTGAAACAGTGTCTGGTGCCGATCCAGACACCATGGATGTCGATGAAAGCTCTTCAACTAAAACCGTGGAATCAAAAGACATCCCCATTGATGCCAAATTCACCTCAGTCTTTCAGAGATTCAAGTCCTCAACCACAAATGTAGAGGATGCCGAGTCTTCCTCCGAAGACGAAGATGCCTTGACGGAGAAGCACGATTTGGTGCCGTTACCCCAGCCAGATTTACCCAGAGACCAACGATTATCGCGCATCAACACCTCTAGCTTGGACTGGCTAGGGAAGGTGGACTTCGTGGACACCACCACCACCAAGCCGTTCGATACGTACGCGCTCCACCCCACCTTGCTCCGTAACTTGGAGGCTGGTGGGTTCAGGAACGCCTTTTCGGTTCAGGTGGGTGTGTTGGACAAACTATTACCGGAAATCAAAACCAACCAGCTTGCACCAGACTCCCACGGAGATTTGCTAGTGAACGCTTCCACCGGATCTGGTAAAACGCTTGCCTACTCCATTCCCCTTATTCAGTCATTAAGTAGCCGCATTGTGCCGCGTCTCAGGGCCATCGTTTTGGTTCCAACAAAGCCTTTGATCAACCAGGTCCGTGCGACGTTGAGCGCGCTCGCGAAGGGGACAAACTTGCATATCGCCACGTTGAAGAACGACATATCGCTCAAGGAAGAGCATGAGAAGTTGCTTGCCAACTGCCCAGATATCATTGTGTCGACCCCCGGGAGATTGGTCGATCATTTGACCATGAAATCTGTCGATTTGGTGAGCTTGCAGTGGTTGGTCATCGATGAGGCCGATAGATTGTTGAACCAGTCGTTCCAGAACTGGGCGGAGACGTTAATTTCCACCATCGACCGCGACCAGGGGAATAAAAACACAATCACCAACAAAAAGTGGGTGCCACCCTTGACAAAAATGATCTTTTCCGCAACCCTCACCACCGATGCCGGTAAGTTAACCGGCTTGAAGTTCCAGCAGCCACGGATTTTGGTAGTCAACGACTCTCACGAGTTGGTGAACGAAATGTTTACCGTGCCAAAGGCGTTGACTGAGTACACGGTGAGACTTTCGTCCTCATCGCAGATCGGGTTCAAGCCATTGCTTCTCTTGAAGTTGTTGTATTCCAACCCAAAGTTGAGGTCCAACGTGTTGGTCTTCACCAAGTCGAACGAATCCTCCATCAGATTGACCCGTCTCTTGCAGATCTTGGCCACAAAGCACTTCTCGTTCAGCGCTGGGCCGTTGAGCATCCAGTACGTGAACTCGACAATTTCCACCGCGGCACGGACCAAGATTTTGGCCCAGTTTTCCGCCGGCACCGTGAACGTGTTGATTGCGACAGATTTAATCGCCAGAGGGTTGGACATTTCCACCATTCGCTCCGTCGTCAACTACGATTTACCCAATTCCGCCAGGGAATACGTCCACAGGGTCGGAAGAACTGCCAGAGCAAACCAGGATGGTGACTCCTACTCGTTGCTCGTGGGTAACGGTGAGTTCAAATGGTTTATGAAGTTGATGAGGGATGTCGAGAGATCCAAGGTGATTGTCACCGCCGAGGAGGACAAGGAACGCGGGGTTGTGATAGAAAAGGTGAACGAAACCGAAGAGGCTGTGTATAAGGAGGCCTTGCAAGCGTTGGAGAGAGAAGTTTTCGAGAAGAAGTAGTGTAATATACAAGTTCGTGCAAGAGCTCTACCAACCAATACTTAAAACGTACATTGTTATACCTCCAGCTTTGACCTAACAAAACCCAAGCTACCGTACCCTCCCCCCGCCTTATAAATTGGCGTCAAATAATATATACACATGTTCATTACAACACCAAGTCTTCGTCATCGGAATCACGACTTGGAATCTGCACCCTGCCACTGCTCGACGTAAACACTCCCCCGACGGCCGACTTGAGCGACGTCCACATCCCTCCGCTACTGTTGGTCTCGGCCACGGGCGGAAACGACTCTTCCTCGCGACGCATCAACGACTCGTTGAACTGGCTGCGGTTCTGGTTGTATTGCATGTTGGCAAGGTTGTCGATGGACTCGGAGAAATTCTCGGATCTCACGGGGCTGTGTCTACCCGGGGTGGACAATCTGAACGCCCGTAAATTTGGGTTCGTTTCGGCATTGAGCTTCGCCATGTGCTTGTTTACGACGTGTCTGGCCTCCTCGATGGTAGCGGTAGCGATGCCGTTCCTGCTCTCGGGGAGGTCGTCTTCATCATAGTCGAGCATGTTGAAGCCTAGTTTATCCTTGATCTTTTCAAAGAGGTTGAAGTAGTTGAACACCAACGGAACCAAGATAAAGCGTGGCAACCAAGAGTTGAAGCCCTCACCGAGCACGGTCAAGTTAATGGACTTTCCCAAGAACAGCTCAAAGCCAGAGCTTCTGTCCACAAGCAAGGTCAAGAAGTTATAGCTGAGCGGGAGGGTCAAACGGCACGCGTAGGTCGCGTAGAAGAGGCAAGAAACAGGATCGGACAAACCGCCGTCGTTAAGGTGGTACTTGAGATTGAACAACTTGTTCTTGCGCAAGGAAAGAACAGATGTCATACACATGTATGTGAGCATGACGACGGAGATAACAAACTTCACGGGCGCAAGCTGCTTGGCAGCTGTAAGCAAGAGGTTCACGAGTGAAAACTTGGTAGAGTGGAGCATCTCCGATTCCACCACGATGATAGACAAGAGGCAGATTAACACGGAGGCAAACCGGTTGTAGAGCGGAATGGCATACTGGTAGCAGAAATAGAGCGCCTTCGGGGACAAGAGCTTTGACAAAAGGCGCATCGATTTGGATTGTTGGGTGTATCTGAAGTGCAACTGACGGGAAGCGGCGGCTTCCTGGATATCTTCAAACTTAACCACGTCTTGGAATCCCTTCTCCAAATCACAGATGGCCAGGATAAAGCGATGCTTCTTGTGGTGCAATCTCCGAGACAAGTCGACGATGCGTTTGGTGGTCAAGTCCAGTTTCTGGAGCTCCGTCTGGAGGGGCTGGGTGCCGGTAGCTTCATCCGGTAGCTGCCGTTGCAAATCCACAAGCCACTCGCCAAACTCGAATTGGAGGTCATAGTCCTCCTGCGCGATGGCGCGGAAGCGCTCAATTTCATGGGAGATTTCCTGGAGCCCGTACTTAAGATCCTCGATGGTGTCATTGGCCGTTGTGATTTCCACGTAGCAGCGGTTGAGGTAGCGCTGCGGGCTGCCTAAGAGCCAGTAGTCGCGCGGAAGGTTGACTAACCCGTAGCTCATGAACCATAATGCGAGAATCAACGAGTAGGAGTGCGATAACGCAATAACAAGCGACTTTAAGCTGGCAAACGTCAAGCCCACAGAAAATACGAGGTACAAGAGCCCGAGTAAGCCAGCAACAAGCATAGCCAACTGGTACTTGAGATTGGTGCGCAACGAGTCCTTGAGCCGAAGCATCGGCTTGTGGTGGCCAGAGTCATAGAACTCCTGGAGCACTGGCAAGATGGTCCACGTGAGAAAGAATGCCGTCCAGTAGGTAGATCTCCAGCAGACTGCAATAACTCTGGCGGGTAACTGGAACCACTGGTTTGCGTCAGCACTGTTCTGCGACGAAATGAGGTCGATTGGAAGGAGGAAGATGATGGAGACCGGGATGTATATCGCGACGCTGAGCGCCAGCGCGAGGTACCATTTCTGGCGAAAGACGCGAATGTGCTTATTGATCCCATAGAGTGCGAGCACGAGCGCAAGTGAAAAGCACAAAACCGAGGGCCACCACTAAAGGTTAGTATGACTTCCATCGAACCGCAAGGAGTACATACCATGTTAGGCTGTGAGTCGTTATAGAGGGCTATAATCCAATAGATAACTAATTATAGTTATAGCGCGTAGATTCACGTCGGAATGGGTTGGCTTGGGGTTAGCTAGCCTCAGATTGGGGAGGGGGCCAGCAAAGATGGATTGTTGTACGTCGATGTTGACGTTAAAACACGAAGGCAAGAGGTGCGGCACGCACGTGACTAGAGAAGATTTGGTTAGTTTCGCCTGTAATAACTGGAAAGTTGAAGCTATTGATATTCCTGAATTCCATTGCGATCCTTTAAAGTACATTAAAAAATAGTGTCTAAATTACCGCAATGGTGTCGTTTGAAATACTAAAGTATTTGTCCAGCTACTCAGTACTTTCTAAAGCGCGCGAATTTCGTATATGTTTGTCCTTTCCTCATCATTCTTCTCCCATGCACCCTTTTTTGTTTTCCTCTACTCAATTAGTATAGTCCTTTTCGTATGGTTTTCCTTTCTTTCACTGCTATATCCTCCCTGGCCATGTCTATTAATATAGCCAGTTTAACCCAGATACCCACGCCCCGATTTAATTGATCTTCGTCCCCCCTCATACTACAACGTATGATTCCATTAGTTTCATATTTATCACCCCATTGCATCATATAGTGAACTTCTGTATTATACAAGTCATGACGAGCTAAGACAGCCTGCATTTACTGTGCTCAGATCCGTGTGACTACTACCAAAATATTGCCTTAACGGTACCGGTACCCATACCCGGACCCTCAGCCCATTCCAACACCTCTAGGGCTCCCACAACAATGGCAATGGTGGTGGGCAAGGTCAAGACAACATAGCCCCAGAACAAGACGCCCGCCATCTCTCTTTGAAAGAGATCGTTCAACTGGCAGATCTGCGACAACTGGATGGCGGGCGGCGAGACTGTCAAGATGAAGCTCACCACCAAGAAGATCGGGTCGTCCAAAATGGAGATCTGGAAGTACTTGACAGCCACGGCAATAAGCGGTAACAACAACAACAGCGGCAACACCATGCGCGAGACTAACGAGGCAAACACAATACGGTTGTAGTGGCGGGTCGGTGGTGGGATGTCATTAGACGGTGCTAAATTGGACCCGAGACAGATCAAAATGAGAGGAATAGAGACAGATCCAAGCTGTCTGATGGCAGAAGCAAGGGTGTGGTTCAAAAACGACTCCTTGACGTAGAGCTCCTGCTGAATCGGGGTGATGGTGGCCACAATCACAGCCAACAACATCGAGTACAACGGAGGATTCATGAAACCCATGAACCTGGCTACAAAACGGTTATTACTAACGTTATAGGCGAACTTGGCCCATCTGTTCAGAAGTGGAGGCTCGTAGACGATTGGTGTGTCCTCTGGTTCTTCGGATTCGCGGGGTTCGATCAACTCAGTCTCTTCATCTGGAAGGGAGTCCTCAACGTAACCCGTGGTCACGAGTCTGATCTCCTTAGGGTCACGCTTTCTGAGTAAGGTGTTGTAGCCCCAGGACCAACGCAAAATCTGGCCCAACTGCTGGAAGATCAAGAGGTACAAGATACCTCTGGAGGCAATTTTCTCCGGGGTATCATTTTCGACATCCTCCCAGTCCAAGTTAGGCAAGGTGTAGGACAAGGCAAGGGTCAATGATACAGGCAACGAGTTGGAGTTACCGAACGCGGCCATGGCCGTGACAAAGTCAGTTTCGGCGTCGTTGAGCAGGAGAAGGCTGGAGGTGGTGCGGGAACACAAGTAGCCGATGGCAGTGGAGATGGCGAAGAAGATGGGGATGACAAACAAGTCTATCAACTTCTTAAAGGAAAGCAGCGGCGCCAACTTGGTGAACACCAAACAGGGCGTGAAAAGGTCCACGTTCAACCGCGAAATGGTTTTCTGAGCATTGGAGTTGAGAAGACCAGATTTAGTGCAGATGAAGCCTGCAAGACAAATGAACACAACCTGGACGGTGGCTTGGAAGGTGATCCGAGAGATGTTAGCGTACGATAGTTCTTCGCGAGCCATATATGCGTGTAGAGTAGGTGTTTTTTTTTTTCTAATGGAGGGCCAGCAACGGTAGCACTTTAATACTAAGAGCAATGGAGGGCGTGCGACGGAGATGAAACTGCGAAGGTGGCGCTTAAATAATTCAATACGCGGCTAATCTAGGTCCCAGTTTGCAATTGCGTTTCTTTTGACGCGCTCTGTGACGGGGGAGAATATCAGAACATTCGGCTATTGTTAGAGGAGGGGGCAATGCTGAACGTGCAGGATATTCGCCAACGCCGCCTGAAGGCTCGGAGTTATTTGACGTGGCATGAGGCGTGGGAGTTTGAATAGCGCACACTTCGGGCCTATTCCAAAGCCATCGGAAGAGAATTGTATGCCTGTTCAATGAAATACCCTGTCCTTTTCTTTTCCGCCACAGTTGGTTCCTCTGTTAAGATCGGATCAAGGAAACGTTAGTTGACAGATAAGCCAGGGGGTAATTAATTGGGAACTGATAAGCAGAGCACGTGCACGATGACACCAGTGTACGTAACACAGAATACACGCATTAGAAATAAGGTTATTAACCGGCATAGATAGGGTTAATTGTGCTGCGAAAAGCTTGGCTCTTAGGGGGACCAAAGTACCATGTTTTGGGATGCCAGTGTTCCGCGGTTAGATATAGCTGGGGAAAGAGCCCGCACAACAATATATTGCAACGCTACACGTATAATAAGTATCCTGTGTAACTGTGCCCCGCTTACACTTCTCATCAGTAGCCGCGCGTACCTGCGTTGTAATGTCTTACTCTGGACCAATTTCTGATTGCGGTTTAAGTTAGGTCATTTGCAGGACTCGAACCATGAACATTGCTTTGATCCAAACGATGAACCAGAAATGGATCACTCCCTGTATCCACCAGCAGTCGCCTAGATAAGGTTTGCCAGGCGCTTTGTTTAGTAATCTGCATCCCCGCTTCTCCTTCATATCTCCGCACAACCTAGAGGAATCAAATATGGCAACAATAGTGTAGCAAAGCCACAAAAGCAAGCATTCCCCGAGTGAGCGTTCCATCAGGTGAGCCGCCAAAACATGCACGGGGTGAGTACTCCAATCATTTGCGGATTGGCGTTAGGCGGAAGCTTTGGAAACCCCTACCGTGATTGGGAAATTGCATCAATTATAAGGCTCTCCATCTCGGCCATCAAATTTATGTGCCTTTTCTCTACCCACTGTAAAGATTCAAAGCGGTTGACAGATCTTCTGCTGCTTTACGTGGGGTGATCCCCCACAGCCTCTGAGCTCCGAATCCAGTATATCGGAAATGCTTTGCCCTGCACGGTTCTTTTTTTTGCCAACAGGTAAACAAGCTAATGGTCACATGACCACACCGAAAAAGTATCATGCACGTGACTTGGAATCCTGGTATCCTGCTTACATGTATGCTCTGTTAGCGTTTAAGGCCCGAAGACATTTACTTCATCATCTCCGTGTCTTTGTTTCAGTATCACCTATGCTATCAATTTCCGTAATTTATCAAATCCCCGCATCCTAACTAACGTCCTTCCTCGATTGACCATTCTGCCATGTCCTCGCCAAACCATCCGGCTGCAGACGAAGCACTCTCTGACGATGACGACGAATGTATCAAAGTGCTCACGATGGCTCACCAGTCGGTCAAACACTCACAGCGACTGGCGCCTAGCCACCGCTCTGACTTCTCTTTTGACACCGCACGGCGCACGGTACACCGCCAGGGCTCGCTCATTCTCCCCGAAACAGGCGAAAGGGTCCACATCCAGTCGTACATTCGGGAGCACCCATCATTCGACGATGAAACCACGCTGCTAATAAGCAATCACACCACTTACGGCACCCAGCCGCCTGTATCTACTAACCGAAACCTCTTTCCGGGTACCACCGTTTTCCTTCGCCGGATCGCCGCTCTTGTCGTCTCTGAAAAGTTTAGAGCGGTCATGAAATGTGCCTTGACATACCTTCTAGCCTCGCTTGCGGTCTACTACCAGCCCCTCTCCGACTTTATCGGCCACACAGACTCGAAACACGTGGTGGCAACCGTCGCGGTCTACTTCCATCCGTACCGCACCCGCGGCTCGATGTACCAGTCGCTCATCTTCGTCTCTGTCTCCATTGCGTTCAGCTTTGCCGTGTCGTTCTCCTGCGGTTTGCTCGCGGCCTACTGCTACACCCACGGTCAGGATGAGCTCAGCTACGTGGTGGATCTTGTCTGCTCTTCGGCGGCGCTTGGGGTCATTTCGTTCTGGAAGCAAAAGATCTCTAAACCCACGTTCAACACCGCCTGTTCGTTGGCCTCCATTTCCATCATCTCCACCGTTATCCGCGAGGGCAGTCTCCACGCGGGCGCCATTCCCGTGGAGAAGCTCAAATCCACCTTTGGTATCGTCTGTCTCGGGACGTGCTTGTCTTGTGCTGTTTGTTTCCTTATCTGGCCGACGTCAGCGGTGGACAATCTCCGTGCGAGCTTGAACGAAAGCTGCAATCTCATGTCGAGCCTATTGTCGAATGTTTCGCACAAGTTTTTGGTCGGCGAAAACATCAACCTGAAGGACGCCGTGATGTTGTACTCGCGGATGAAGCTGAACATTGCATCGCTAAACGCTTCGCTTGAAGAGGCCCAGTACGAATTGTACGTCAGCGGCAGAGAAGGCGAGTACGGGGTGTTCAAGAAGTTGGTCAGCTCAACCACCGCGTTGGTACGGCTTCTCGACGGGTTGCGAGGCTCCGCCGAGATGCAGTGGATGTTGCTTCAGGCGTATCGCAGCCATCAGGAAAACCCTGAAAGCGATAGCTCCACGCTCGACTCCTTCGTCGACGAGACGTTGTCGCGGTCGCAATCGTTTTTCAATGCCCAGGATGTCAACGATGTCCCCCAAGAGGACCCCATCGATCCGTATAAGCTCTTTGACGTGTTTGTGTTTCACCTAGGGCCTTCTCTTAAGTCATTTATCTTCACGATCAAGGCGATTCTCAAACGCATTCCGTTCGAACTGGGACCGGATTCGCCCGTCACGGAGACCCTTAACTACCAGCACAGCTTGGCCAGTGCCATCGACTTGTTCAACGAAAAACAGCAGCTCGCAATCCAGCAACTCTACAAACAGCAGATATTCAGCTCCATGGAACAGAATATCGACTTGGCCGTTGGTCAGGAGGAGGTGGCTGCCAGCTGCGGCAACTTCAGCTCGGTCTTGAAGGAGTTTGCCAACGAATTGAAGCGGTTTTTAGAGTGTCTCGAGGAGTATGGTGACTTGAAGGACCAGACCCAAACTCGCACGTTCAACTGGCTCAAATTCTGGAACCGCTCACCCTTGGAGTCTCGCAAAGGCATTGCTTACAACCATCCAACGAACGAGCGCAACCTCAACTCGGCGTTGACCAAACTCACCCGCATTTCCCGCCCGGTCGCCAGCAAAACTTGGAATTACCGTCTCTGGGATTCGCTCCGGCTGTTGAAACGCGTGGATATTCAGCTAGCGTTCAGGGTCGGTATCGGGGCGTTCTGCATCTCCATCTTTGCGTTTCTCGAGCCCACCCGACAAATCTTCACCCAGTGGCGCGGAGAGTGGGCGTTGGTTATTTATTCGATCATGATGAACAAATCCACTGGGGGAACGTCCATGACCGTGAAATGGAGGTTTTTGGGCACGTTTATGGGGGCGTATGGCGCCTGTCTTGTGTGGTACATGTCTGGGGGGCATCCTTACGCCTTGGCTCTCGTGGGCGCGGCGATTGCGGTCCCTTCGTTCTATATTATCATCTACTGGAAGGCCAACAATGCGTTTGGCCGGTTTATCTTGCTCACCTACAACTTGACCGCGTTGTATTCCTACTCCATGACCATGAAGGACGATGAAGATGGTAATGAAGGGGGTGACAACCCCATTGTCGGTGAGATTGCGTTCCACCGATTCGTGGCGGTGGCGCTTGGGGTATGCTGGGCGTTGATCATGGCGAACTTTGTCCTTCCCAACAGTGCCAGGAGTCGCTTGAAGCGCGGTTTGGCCATCTTGTGGTTGCGGATGGGTGTCATTTGGAACAGTGACCCGCTTAGCTACTCCTACGATCCCGAAACCATGCTGACCTATCTCGTGGGCATCAGGGACCAGCAGGGCGTGCGCGGAATCATGAACGAATTGGAGTCCTTGTTGAAACAGGCCCCGATGGAGTACCGTTTGAAGGGGAACTTCCCCGAAGCGACATATTCTTCGTTGTTGAAAAGCACCACCAAGATTCTAGACTCGTTTCAGAATTTGTCCACCATCATTGAGCTCGACCGTGTGTTAACGCCGAATGAGGAGTATGTGGTGAGGTACACAGCGGGCGAACGTAAAGAGCTTCAGCATCGCATCTTTCTCATCTTGTACATGGTTGCCAGTGCGGTGAAGCTCGGGTTTCCTATTCCGAGCAAGCCCGCCTCTATCGATCACGCGAAAGACCGCATGTTGACCAAGTTGCACGAAGTGCGCCATCGTCTGGACTTGGTGCTCCAAAACGAGGACTACGTGTTGCTTTATTCTTACGTTTTGGTCACTTCCAACATCGTGGAAGAGTTGGACATCATTTTGGAGTTGGTGTTGGAGTTGTACGGATCAGTCAGCGAGAGCGCGTTGGAATTGATGTAGAGACCGTCCGCGTATGCCAATTGAACTAGCTCGATCAGAATTATTTCCGCGGGCAGTTGAGGTTTATTCAAGGCTCCTTGGATGGTATGCACTTGTCGATCGCTTTGAGTGAATTGGACCCTTGTGGGAGGGGTTTACTCAAGAGTAGGAGATCCAGCACAGCAGTTGGAGCGTATACTTTATCATAATCGTGGCCGGATCTGCAAAACTTTCAGGCTAATATCTTGACTCAAGTTTCAATCACACCGATTTTCCAGATCGGGATGAGCATTAGTATATAGAAAGAGGGTTAATAATAT